TTCTTTTTCTATAAAACCACTGATTAAAGTTTATAAAGATCGTTCTTCATTGGCTTTTCGTTTAGAATAATATCAAATGTTTTTGTCAACTTTTTAATTCGGTTCTCTTTTAATTTTGTCTGGTATTTACAATCTTAAAATGCAGGATAATAAGTGTCTACGTATCAAATGGTACTTGACCTTCATAATGGTGTTTTTCAGAACAATAACTGACTTTATTCACTTTTTGAACATGCTTCTTCAGGTAACCGTTTTACCTCGCTTTTAGACATGTCCTTCTTGTGAATATGCTGGTTACTAAATTGGTAGCTTTAGTACAAGATTGATAGAGGCTTATTGTTTGGAAATTTTCTCCAAGATTGTTTACAATCTGATTTCAGTGTCTTGACTGATATGTCCAAAGTGACTTCTCGCAGTTTAGGTTGGCTTATGTGGCTCCTGAGTCTAGAGTGGTTGGTGCAGGAGAGATAGTGGACCAACCAAAGAGAATTGCTCTCAATTATCTCCACGGAAAATTTCTAGTTGACTTATTTATTGTTTTGCCACTTCCTCAAGTAAGGCTCAATGCTCTCAATCATCTTACTACACTCTTGTTGCTATGAGTTAATGAATTTAAATTGTTTTCAGATCATAATTTTTGTAGTTTTGCCACAATACATCCAATCATCTGGAGCAAATGATGCGAAGAATCTTCTACGTATGGCAGTGCTTTTTCAGTACATTCCAAGGTTGTATAGGTTTCTACCTCTGCTTGCTGGTCAATCTCCATATGGCTTCGTATTTGAGTCAGCATGGACGAATTTTATAATAAACCTTCTCACTTTCATGTTGGCTGGCCACATTGTCGGCTCCTGCTGGTACCTCTTTGGCTTACAGGTGTGTGAAGATTTTATTCTCTAAAATAAAGTGTTGAAAGTATATGAGTCAGCATAAGTAGAGAAAATTTATATCATAACATCTGCAATATAAAGCTACTGAATAGACATGTACATAAGGAACTTGAAGCTTACAGTATTATTGTATTTCACTCAAAGATATTTTCTTGGATTGAACGTTTACAGGGAGCTCTTCCTTTTATACTAGCTGCCACAGTTTTCAATTAATAACTCCCTCAAAAGATAGCAATGTATCGACATGAACCTCTCATTAAAACTTAGATATCCATCCATGTACTACTATTTTCTAGAGAAATCTATTCATGGACCCTTTAATTCTAACTTGTCTCCATAATAATTTTGTTTGTGCATCTTGCCAATTAAGTGTCAAAATACAGCATGTTGAACTTGCATGCATGAAGTGTTCCATTATTTGTTTTATATCTCCTTTTTACTCATCTTTCTTGTCCCAGAGGGTTAATCAATGTCTTCGAAATGCCTGCCATGCCTCTGAAATCCCCCATGACTTGTGCATGAGATTCATAGATTGTGGGTTTGGTAGAATTTTTACATCCCAGCCAGCGTGGGATAACTGGAAAAATAATGGGAGGGCTAATGCTTGTTTTGATGAAGACGGTTTCTCCTATGGAATCTACACTAAAGCTGTCAAGCTCACTACAGCAGATACCGTGACTAGCTATGTATACTCATTGTTTTGGGGGATTCCAGGTACCTCACATGTTATCTTATAATGTGTGTATTGGAGATATGATCGACTATTTGTATACTCAATATATTTCTGTTTGTAGCTCACATCTTACCAAATGCTAATTTTATTGGTTTATTGGTTTCTTCCTTCTTGATTCTATGAAGCAAATCAGCACTCTGGCAGGAAATCAAGTTCCAAGCTACTTTGTTTGGGAAGTCCTTTTTACCATGGCAATTATCGGACTGGGCCTCTTGCTCTTTGCTCTTCTAATTGGAAATATGCAGAATTTTCTTCAATCTCTTGGACGGAGGTACTACTTTCTACTATCGTTTCTGCTTCTTAAATGTTCTACATGCCAAAGCTGCTTGAAGGGATATAGGGTATATTGATCACAGTGCATTTTAACTGTTTGATCCTATTTGTCTTAGTAACCACATTTTTCCATTATGAACCTCTTTCACAAAAAGAGGTATCTGAAAGTAAGGATCTAAGCTTACGTATTAATTTTGCGCATTTTAACAATAGTAGTACTACTGTCAACAAATAACTGGGCAGTATGTTATGCATGGTTGTTTTGTAACTGTATGTGATCACTAACTGATAATTTGTCAGTATCTATCTTTTGGGAATATACTTTGCAGCCTTGAAATTTTAGTTCAAACTCTCCTTTAATTTTCTGATGTATATATGTGTGTGTGTGCGCCCTTCTAATTTCTTTCTTTCCTCTTTTTTCTTCCCAATTTTGGGTGTTTTTTTTCTTTCAGGAGATTTGAGATGCTGTTGCGACGCCGTGATGTTGAACGGTGGATGAGCTATCGCCACTTACCAGAAGAATTGAGAAGGTATGTCAGTACTGACTCTAAGCACGTATTTATGAACATGTTCATCAATTACTTTTATCCCTAATGTTTTCTGGCATTTGTTGGCAATTTAACTCATGTAGACAAGTAAGGCAAGCAGAACGGTATAATTGGTCTGCAACTAGAGGTGTAAATGAAGAAATGCTTTTGGAGAATTTGCCTGAAGACCTTCAAAGAGATATAAGGCGCCATCTCTTCAAATTTGTGAAAAAAGTAAGATCTCCATTGTATGCCTACTACTTAGTTCTGTGTTCTATGCTTTGAAATGCTGCAGTGCATCTTTTAGGCTGAGTGTTGAACCTACAGGGAGTCGTTTCATAACTAAAACTCAATATGTTAAAGAAGCACTATGAGTGATACCTCCTGATGTTAAGTTTAGAGAGCATCCATGCAGCATGCATGTTCCCATAACTCAAAAGAATATTGCAGGTTCGGATTTTTGCCCTGCTAGAAGATCCTGTCTTAGATGCAATTTGTGAGAAACTAAAACAGAAGACATACATCAAAGGAAGCAAAATCTTTTATCCTGGAGGTCTGGTCGAGAAGATGGTTTTTATTGTGCGAGGAAGAGTGGAGAGCATTGGGGAGGATGGGATTGTTGTTTCCTTATGTGAAGGGGATGTCTGTGGTGAAGAACTTCTCACATGGTGTCTAGAGCATCCTTCAGTAAACAATGGTATTACTTTGATAACTGCTCACTTGTTTGGATTACTCCAATTCATTACATAAACTAAATACTTATTCAACATGTTGTTTTGTGGATGGAAAAAAAAAAAGTCAGGATCCCTGGTCGGAAATTGTTGAGCAACAGGATGGTAAGGTGCTTGAGTAACGTAGAAGCATTTTCACTCCGAGCTGCAGACCTGGAAGAATTCACCAGTCGTTTTGCAAGATTCTTACGGAATGCACGCGTGCAAGGAGCCATAAGGTTACTTACTATCTCAACCAACATAGCTTCTTCTTTTTTCGTTCTTGTTTATCTCCTACGGCGCGTGTTTTCGATTTTACAACATGGAAGCATACTAATCTGATTTTAATTGTAATGAAGCAATTTGGTCATTGTGGTAAGAAAGTGAAACTTGATTGATTGTAATTTTTGTTTTTGATAGGTATGAATCACCCTATTGGAGAGGTCTTGCAGCAAAGAGAATTCAAGTAGCATGGAGATACCGGAAGAAGCGTCTAAGTCGTGCAAGCTTCCCTCGCTCCTCTCGCCTGCATTAAAGACTTCTTGGTCAAACACTTGATGAAACGCACCGTTTCTCATGTAAAGCATTTTGATTTTCTTAAGGAAGGGACGTAGACTAATAAAAGTAGGATCGTAGTAGCTGATTGTGTCCAGTATTTAATTATTAATCTATTTGCTGTCGTTAGTCTTAGTTCGAACAGTTCTGAATATACTTTCGTACACATCCTAGAAGAGTTGAGAATGTCAAATCCTAGAAGAGTTGAGAATGTCAAAGTTTCTTCGACTCAAATTTCAAATTTTCCAAAGTGTCCATTATTTGCCGTATTTACGAATGGGACACCATTTTCTTTCTACTTTGCGCACTTACCCCTTTATTTAACGTTGGAGACATTCTATTTGCAACCATGATGACACTGCTCCTCATTCGCAAGTTTCAACGAAAATGTTTATGTACATTTTGACATTGAATAAAATTAAGTTGCAATCACCAAATTAGCGGTCCAAATCATGGATTATGCTCAAACTTGTTTATCTTCATTGTACACGAGTGAAACACCTTAATTATTAGAAACATTAGTTGCTGAGTGCTTGCATTTGATCATATTTAAGATAATACAATATGGGCTCGTTTATGGAGAAGTACATGGGAGATGTTTCTTTCCATAATTACTTAAAATCATTTCCCCCATAAGTGATTCTAGCCTGATTCAGAATCACTTTCAAATGAGCTCTATGTCAATTAAGAAAAGGATATTATGAATCTTCGGTTTAGTACACCTTAATAGGAAGATGCCTCAAGTTCGAATTACATCAATATAAATATTGAAATATGATACATTATATTTTTGGGGAGTTCAATACTTAGTTTTACGAACTCATCGAATAACATAATTTTGTTTGTGAGTTACCGCTGTAAAAATAGCTTTATAAATGTTTCATTATTATTATTTTTTTAAACACTATGGAAAAGCTTATGTAAACATAGAAATTTAGGGCAAACCAAAAAGGAAAAGAAAAAGAAAATCTGATTAAAGGAAATTGTTCAACTCACCCATCCTACCTCCTTCGGAAAGTTTAGAGGATGCGCATATACATACCAAAATTGGTTTGTAATTATTTGTTTTTATATATAGGATAAGAGTTAAACTATTTGCATTTCAATCCTTGAATTAAAAATAAATAACACAAAACCCTTATTTTGGGTAAAATAAATAAACTTCATACTCCCTCAACCACTTAAAAATTCCGCACTAGCTCAGTTGATTTTTATATAGGAGTGTGGGGCCCTATAATACTTGCGTACAAAGGAACCTAGACGGCGCAGAGTATTTAACAGTGCGTGAAACCAGAACACAGCTCAACAAGCCATGGCAACCACCTTGGGCTGCCGCCTTAGCGTTCTTGCCTCACCCGCTGCCTCTCGGTACGTATTCGATCCTTATAGTTATAGCTACCATTGATCTCATAAATACAGAGAAATGAAAAAAAATAAAAAAATTAGCGTGTTTGGTAATCAGATCGCCATCTTATATGAAAGATAAGGAACCCACTGTTTTGTTTTTGTTATTTAGTTTTTTTTTTTTTTTTTTTTTTTTTTGTTTTGTGCTTCGTTCATGTTTTTTCTTTTCGATTTCTTAATTCCTAGAAACAGTTGTAGGATTTGAGGGTTTTCAGACATTAGGGACGGAAACATTTCTTCAAGATTTTAGAGTTTCTGATATTATGTAAGAGGAAAAACTTGGGAATTTAGGAAATTGTTTGTGTAGATATGATATTATTTCTCAATTTCCTTTTGGTATGAAGCACTCTCGTTCTCAAAAACTTATGGCATCTCCAGAAGAAAAAATTAGTTGTACTGAAATGAACATAGCTTGCTTTTTGATGAGAGGGTGTTTTCAGAACAAACAGAGTGGCCAAATAAGTGTGTACCCTTACCACGAGCACGGCCATGTCATACATGGTTCTACAAAAAATTGAAAACAGTTTTCTAGAATCTGTAATTGCCAAAAGAAAAGGTGGTGGAGACACGGATAAAGGGCTCACTGCATTGTAATGTTAGAGACGTTCTGTGACGCCCTGTTTCGGAGCCTTGGAAGTCAGATTCTAAGGCCGGAGCTTATTTCTAAGGGTCTGAGTGATATAGATTTCTATCTCATGTGTTTCACTTAGATGGTTATTAAAACACAATTATAAGAAGAGATTTTTTATTTAAACTCCGCACTTCTCTTTGTTCACCCCACTACTTAAATCATTAAACTGTAAGTTTTTTTATTGTGTAAAAAGACAAAAAAAAGTCATCCAACTTAATAATTAACATCTATTTACACACCCCACCACTCTTTATATTAAGTTTTAGAAACCTCCTTCCAACTTCCTGTTTACAAACTCTCTCTCTCTCTCTCTCTCAACTCAACAATACCCAAGTGTTAAAATTCCAGTTACAGTTCTTAGAGAGAGGTAAAGTTGTTCTCTTTCTCTAGAAAGTATTAAATTTCGGATTTGGGGTTTCATTAGTTTGTGTTTATTTTTGCTGGGAACAAAGGAAATTGTGGAGTTTAAATAGAAAATCTCTTTTAGTTCTTATTTTTCAGTTTGGTGTGCATTTAAGGGTAGTTTGGGTTTTCTTAGAAATTGTGAAAATTTAAATTCAATGTTGAGGTGAACTTAGAACATGGGGTGAACTAAGAGAAGTGTGGGGTTTAAATAGAAAATCTCTTATAAGAATTATTAGCATGATTGTTTCTCAGCTCCTGTATTCATCAATAGCAGCATTCTATTGAAGAAACAAAGAGGGCTTCAGCTTGATGATTGTTTCTCAGCTCCTGTCTTAATGCTAATCAGTATACATTATATTGGTCTTTAACTAGGTATAACGATGTGAACCTCCAAAGACGCAACAGGCCCAACAGGGTTGCATGCAAATCTAACTTGAATACATTCCCTATATTGTCCAGCAGCAGAAATCTACAACAACCTAATCACAATCTGCATGGCGGGACTTCTACAGGTATGTCCAATATCTTGTCAATCATCTTCCTTGTTTCAATCGCAAGAAATGAATCAAAATAGAAAAATCCCATCTAGCCAATCCTTGGTCGCAGAGTAAAAGAGGTTTAGAACCTATAAGCTTATTTGAAACTAATCTGTTGTTTGTGTTATGATGAGCTCATTTAATATGTTATGTTACGAAGATGAAATGCATACTTGCATAGGAGCATCATTGAGATTGTTTTTATGCTCTTATAATCCTAAACTCATAATTTTCAGGATTGCCAAGCTTGCACCTGTCTGCTACATCATCCACATTGTTGAGGGGAGAACGAGGCAGTCAGTCACACAAACTACCAGTGTTACTTGGACAACGCAAGTCTTCAACATTGGCACAAGCAAAAAAGAATAATTCCATCACTATACCTTTTCCAAAAATGGAAGAGAAGCCAGATTGGTGGTGGAGAACTTTAGCATGTCTCCCCTACTTGATAGCTTTGCAGATGTCTGATACTGGGTTTCTCATTAGACCCTTCACAGAACACTACGAAGTATTTAGCGATTTGGTTTATTATGTCCCAGGAGCAATAACGAGGTTACCTGTCTGGTTCCCAGTGATATATACCTTACCTACATATTATGGAGTGGTGAAGAAGAAAGAGTGGTCTCACTTCTTTAGGTACCATTTAATGATGGCGATGTTGTTAGAAATGATAATGCAAGTGGTAGAGCTTTCGAGCAATTTTTTTCCGCTGATACACTTCAATGGGACGTTCAGCATAGAATACTGGGGAGCTATCTCATTCGCGTACATCTTCATCTTGTTGGAGTGCATAAGGTGTGCTCTTGGTGGCAAGTATGTCAAACTCCCATTCTTCAGCACACCTGCGTTAGCGCATACTCTTTTTGAAATAGAAGGCTACTACAAACCTTTCTAGAGAGTCATTCCGGCGCCCTCGTGAGTTGTATGTTGTTTTAGTTTTTGTTGGCTTAGAGATCAATTTACATCTGTACTAGTTATTGGTTTACTTATTTTCATTACATTTGTTCTGGGTTCTTGCATTGTAAAAGAAAAACAAGTCAAAAAAACAAGAAATAAAATTCCATTTGAATAAGTATCTGTGAGATTTGGCTATGCGCTTGGGACGAATGGTTATACAATTTATCAACATTATGTTTTTAAATTGAAGGTCAATCCTAGCAACAAATCCGCTGGATTTCTTTCTTCTCTTTTATGACAAGGGGAGGAGAGGGATGTTTGAATTTGAGACTTTTTTCGATGTTGAATGTTCCAAGTAGATATCTGTTGAGGCCCAAAAAATCCATGGATTGGGCCCGAACAATTATCAGCCCAATACAATATTCCATAAGGGAAAAGAAAAAAGGGATCTATCGCATGCAAGTTATAACCCACACGCCACGCTAAATAAACAAATTATCATGCTATGATAAAATATAATCATGCTAAAAAATTAAAACAATCCTTCCCAAGGGCGATAAGGTAAAATATGCCGAGCAACATGCCATGCCGTTATCTCGCACCCAACCACGCTACAAGCCTAGGTGGGCCCAAGCCACTCAAAAAAGACCCGGGGCTTGCTTGAGTGGGTTGTGGCATGGATGGTGATAAATCAACATGAGGCCCATTGATGGACCAAGAAATGGAAAGTCTCGGGTTGCTTGGGAGCCTCGAGACTCAGGCCCATTTCTTAGGCCCAAACATGTGGGTAGGCACAAGAGAGAAAAAATAGCCCAAAAGCCCAAGCAAAATAACCTAGCCAAGAGATAACCCAACCAAAAATAATAACAAACCCAAATCAAGCCCAATAAGCCCATTCGCTTAAGAAAGCCATCTTGGCCCTTAGAAAAACCCAAAAAGGCCCACAAGAGCTTCAGCCTTTTTTTTGAAAAACAGAGAACACGTGAAGGAGTAGATGGCAGGCTCCTTAAGTAAGCTGCTGGAAACCAGTCCCAAGCCAGAGACATCCAAAGAACCGATGAATACCATCCTGCATGCTGTCAGAAGCATCCCTTGGACCAGCATACATTTGCACCTCCTTTCCTTCATCAGATTCAGCCAAAGAAGAAGAAAGAAAAGGAAGAAAAACAGCAAACTAAGAGTGGAAGCCCTCACTGCGTAGCCGCGGGAAAGAGGGATGTTGAGCCCCAAAATCTCCTAAATTCATGAAGATAGACAGAAGCCATCTTTGCCAAGAAAGGGAAGTCAGAGAAGGGGAGGAGAAAGGAAGAAAATCTCAGCCAAAGTAAGAAGGAGCCATTAGGGTTTCTTGAAAAATGGTGATTTCCGGCAGCTATAAATTAAGCCTTCCCCTACCCAACAAACACAACTCACAACCTGCAGAGAGCAAGCTTTTCTCTCTATCTTGCAAAACTTAGATTCGTGCACTGTTCATCTTCTTCTCCAATTTGTTCTTCTGGTAGCTGCTGGAAGAACCCTGTCTCTCTTTTTCTCTTTCTCTAGCCAAAATTCCTCACAAAATACCTCATTCCTTACTTAAACACTTTCATTTATCATAAACCAAGCCTAATTTCTCTCTTAGTGCTAAACCCATGCTGGTTTTGCTCTCCATGCCTCATGCCACTCATGCTGAGCCTAAAAACCATCTGAAAGCATGCCAAAATTATCTGTAAGTCACTATTATTCTCATTGGTGAAGATCATCCAAAATATCTCCTAAGGTTTCGCTGCCCTTTCGAGGTATTTTGGGGCTTAATTTTCGAACCTCAACAAAAAGGGGCAATCTCCTCATCCACCTTTTGCAGCAGCCCAGCCCGTTAGCTGCAGGAAGAAAAAGACCCCTACATAAATTGGCGACTTCACTGGGGATTAAGCCATTATCTTCATCAATGCCTCCAAGAAAGAAGACCAGAAGCAACAACATAACCTCCCAGGATGGGCCAAGCCATGCTGACTCAGAGTCAAGGCAACATGCCTCTTCTAGAGAAGAAGAACGTGCAAGTGAGGGAACTTTTACCCTCACAGATCTTGTTGCAGCCATTCGTGCTATGGGTGAGACCCAGAGGGAGATGGCAGAGATGATAAAAGAACTCAAAAATTCGGCTCCAAAGCCAAGTGAAGTGAACGAGAAGCACCCACAGGAGGAATCTGCTGCTGCCGGAAAGGAGTCTGAGCAGAAGGGACCATCTTTTGTCACTCAGGAGGACGTTGTTGCCATGCTGGAAAAGGAGCTGAGTCGAAGTCAGGAAGATTGGAAGTATCTTCCTCAGCCGCCGTATCCATCAAGCTTACTCCAGCAGCCATATCCTAAAGGCTATGAAGCACCGACCTTTGTCCTCTTTGATGGACGAAAGGGGAGCCCGAAGGAGCATGTCAATCGCTTCATCGATGCCTTGGGACCATATGCTGGTGATCATAATCTTCGACTTAGAGAATTTTCAAAAAGTCTCACCGATCGTGCTTACACATGGTATACAACGTTGGCACCAGGCTCTATTCATTCCTGGGAAAGTCTGGCAAGCAGGTTCTGTAAGAAGTATTTCCAGCATGAAGAACGAGTCACCACCACTCAACTCAACAACACCCGCCAAAAGCATGGTGAGGATCCCGTGGACTTTGTACGCAGGTTCCGGGACCTGGCATTGGATTGCTATGATGAGAAAGACGAGGAGGCGCTTGTTGAAATTTGCATCAGCAATATCGTGGCAGATTATAGAGTGTATTTGGAGAATATTGGCATTAGTCAATTTTCTCGGCTGCTGGAAGCTGTGAGGAAGACGAGCATGTCCGTCAGGCCACCAGGACAAAGGACTTGGAGAAATGAGAAGAAGGAAGCGCATCAGACATTAGCAATAGATGACAAGCCATCCAGCGACTACAATTCACGCAAACGCAAGGATAGAGAGACGTATCCACCACTACCATGCAAAGATGAAGAATTTCATGCTATCCTTGACACAATGATTGCTGATGGCGTAATCAAACCTGTCAGACCCTACAGGGTTCCTACTCGAGAGGAAAAGAAGATCCTAGGTACTGCCGTTATCATCAATTTGTGGGGCATCCAACCACTGCCTGTCAGAGCTTGAGGAGGATTTTACACGCCAAAATACATGAGGGAGTCCTTGAACTTCCCTCTAGGAAGCAAACCATTGATGAAGACCCCTTGCCAAAACGAAGGGGAAAGGAGGTAGCCGCTGTCATTACATGTTCTGATGATTTGCTTGATGATAATGGATTGTGCCACCCTTGGAGGAATGACCCAAAGCCGCCGGAAGCCGTATGGGAACCTTGCGGAAACATGGAAAAGGCATATTGGTGTAAATATTCAAGGCCTTCAAGTTACAACACACCATGGCCACTCGCTGATGGATGGGGTGACAACTCAGGCAGCGAAATTTTTGTTTTGGACATGCCGGAAGAGCGCTACTCGGGGGCTTTATCGGAGCAGCAGGAAGCAGCTGCCGTGACATTTCATAATATCACGGAAGCTGAAACAAGTGTGATGGAGCGTTATTTAAGCATGAAACAGGGGCCCACAGCTTCACAGGTCCTTCAAAGAAACCCAAAGTTCAAATCACTCTTTGACCAACTTGGCTTCGGGCCGCAAGCAAGAGAAGCAGCTGCTGTAGCCCTGATGAATATCTCTGAGGAGTCTAATTCTCAATGCTTTACAACTCAACCACAAAGGTCATTCTTGGGAAATGACAACGCTATTGTCTTTACGGACGAAGACATGGAAGTCCCATACCCGGACCATAGGAGGCCGCTTTACTTGGAGGGACAGATCAATGATGTGTTCATAAGAAGAGCTTTGGTGGACACGGGTTCCTCTGTCAACATACTACCTCTGTCTGTGCTTACGGCAGCTGGTATCCCATTGTCCAAAATTGTCCAATCACAAACAAGCATCAGTGGTTTCGGGAATAAGAGTGAGGTCACAGTCGGGCATCTACAAGTACACTTGAAGGTTGGGCCAATTCGGTCACTTACTAAGTTCTATGTCGTGGATGTGGATGTGGCTTACCATGCTTTGCTTGGAAGGCCATGGCTCAACAAGCATAAGCTTGTGGTCTCTACCTATCATCAATGCGTAAAAGGAAGGATTGGGCTGAGGCCGCTACGCATACCTGGAAACCAAGCACCTTTCAACAAAGATGAAGCTCACTACTCTGAAGCAGAGTTCTACACTGAATGCACAGGTGCTGGAAGCAATCCATCCAAGGATTTCGGGACCTACCTTCCTTCATGGACTGAAATTCGTGATTTAAGCAATGAGGAGCTCATCACCATTGTCGATCGAGAGAGAAAGAGGCACTCGGAAGTCAACAACCATGCCTATGATCATCCCCAATGCTCAAAAGTGACGCTGCCCGATGGACGTATCGTGTACCGCTTATGACGGGGTTGGGGGCTTGACCGTGTCTTACGGGAAAGCCCCGAGTATGGAGGAAAAGTAATGCAAACAAATAGCTGTGGGAGTTCCAACGACAAGGCACCCTTGCCTTGTGCTTTCCAGGAGCCAATGGCAGCACCCAGACACATGCAAGATGGATCGTCAGCAGTAGCTGAGCAGCTGGAAACAATTGATTTGAGTGAGGATCCCTCTGCCCCGAGGCCCATTTCCATAAGTGTTCATTTAACAAATGAGGAGAGGGCGGCCTTGATATCTTTGCTAAAGGAATTTCGAGATGTGTTCGCTTGGAGCTATGAGGAAATGCCTGGTCTGAACCCAAGCTTAGTAAGTCATACTCTGAATATTGAGCTTGGTACAAAACCTGTCGTGCAGGCAAGAAGGAATTTTCATCCTGAAGTTGAGAAGCAAATCAAGGTAGAAATTGAAAAGTTGTTAGCTGCCGGATTTATTAAACCAATCAAGCATCCTACGTGGCTAGCAAATATTGTCCCTGTGAAGAAGAAAACCGGTGTGATCAGAATATGCACGGATTATCGAGATCTCAACCGAGCTTGCCCAAAGGATGAGTTCCCGCTGCCAAACATGGATATCTTAATTGATTCGACCTCGGGTCAAGGCTTGTTGTCATTCATGGATGGGTTTAGTGGCTACAATCAGATCAAGATGTCTCCCAAGGATGCTGAAAAGACAGCCTTTCGAACACCGTATGGGAATTTTATTATACGGTCATGCCGTTCGGCCTCAAAAATGCTGGCGCCACCTACCAAAGAGCTATGACAGCGGTGTTTCACGACATGATGGGAAAAGAAGTTGAAGATTATGTGGATGACCTTGTGGTGAAGTCCAAAACCAGAGAAGGCCATCAAGAAGTTTTAAGGAGAGTGCTGGAAAGGTGTCGGCTGTACAGTTTTGAAGATGAATCCAAAGAAGTGTGCGTTCGGGGTTTCATCTGGTAAATTCTTGGGGTTTCAAGTACACCAGCGTGGCATAGATGTGGATCCAGAAAAGACTAAAGCCATAAATTCTCTTGCACCGCCTAAAAGCCCAAAAGAATTGAAAAGCTTTATGGGAAGATTATCGTATATTCGGCGCTTTATCCCAGGCCTTGCTGCCACCATGAGTGCTTTTACTCCATTGCTCAAGAAAGGCAAGAGGTATGAATGGAGTGAGAAGTGCCAAGAAGCTTACAAGAAGGTGCAACAAATAATCGCCAAGCTGCCCACTATGAAAGCACCTATTCCGGGGCTGCCTCTCAAGCTTTATTTGGCTGCAACAAACACAGCGGTTGGGCCTTACTTGCTCAAGATGATCATAGTGGGGAAGAAAGTCCTATTTATTACGTAAGTAGGCAACTAAGGGGATCTGAAGTAAGATATCCGAAAACTGAACTTTTGTGCCTTGCTCTTGTCTATGCTGCACAGCGCTTGCGACATTACTTCCTTGCTCACAAGCTACATCTCATGGTGAAGTCTGATCCCGTAAGATATTTGCTTACAAGGCCGATATTATCCGGACGCCTTGCACGTTGGTTGCTACAGCTGTCCGAGTTCGATATCACCTGCACTACTCCAAAAGCCATCAAAGGGCAGGCCGTTATTGACATGTTGGCTCTATTTCCCGAAGTTGAAGAATCAACAATCTCTAAGGAAGTTCTGGGGAGCTGCCGGAAATGGTTGCTGTTGTCACAGAGGCAGAACCATGGACCCTCTACTTCGATGGGTCTTCTACATCGAAGAGTGGAGGGGCAGGTGTGGTGCTTGTCAATCCCGAGGGGCAAGCTACGGCCCCTCTCGTTTAAGCTAAATTTCCCATGCACGAATAATACGGCAGAGTACGAAGCTTTTATTGCAGGGATGTCTACAGCAAGGGAAATGGGTGTCGAAAGAATTAAAATTATTGGGGATTCAAACTTGGTGCTGAGTCAATTACAAGGAAATTTCGCCGTGAAGGAACCAGCATTGGCACCATATCGTACAGCTGCTGAAAGGCTTGTTCGTTCGTTCAAACAAGTTGTGTTGGAACATATCCCGGGAGTCACTAACAGATATGCTGATGCGTTGGCCACTTTGGGGTCGAGGCTCTCATTTATTGACGAACAGCCCAATATTGCAGTAATCAAGAAGGACACGCCAGTTGTTGAAGCAATGGCTCAAGAGGAGCGGCTGGAAGAGGATGACTGGAGGAAGCTTGTGAAAGAAAAAATAGGCAAAGGAAGCAACATCAAAGAATTGAAGGATTATGTGATCATCTTTGGGGAACTGTACAGACGCCTTCCGGGAGGTATTTTGACCCGCTGCATAGGGATAACAGAAGCACAGGAGAAGCTTCAAGAGGTACATGAGGTCCCTTGCAATTTGGAGCCAATAATCAGCTTGTACCGGCGCCTGCAGCGCAAGGGTTTATTACTGGCCAGAAATGAGGAAACAAGCAGCTGAAATACAAGCCAATTGTCCCAAGTGTGCAAAATACCTTCCACCGAGGAATCGTTCACCGTCTCATTTGCGGAGGATTGGAGGGCTCCATACTTGGCATCCTTCGTCAATGGAGTCCTGCCAACCAATCCCAAGCATGCACGCAAGCTCAAAAGGACAATGAAAAGATACTTCATAGATGGGTCAACTCTTTACCGTAAGGGGTTTTAATGGTGAGCCATTAAAATGCTTGGGAAAGTCTGAGGCACAGCAAGTCATGCAAGAATTCATGCTGGAGAATGTGGTGAACACCAAGGAATGAAGAAGCTTTACCGGCAGCTGCTGAGTGTTGGGTATTATTGGCCTACAATGAAGAATGATGCATACGACTTTGTGAAGAGGTGTCACACATGTCAAGTTCATGCCAATTTAAGCCATAAGCCCTCCCACGCTGCTGCAAGACATGCGCACCCCTTGGCCCTTCCATACTTGGGGGCTTGATTTGATCGGGACCATCCATCCACCATCCGACAGCTACATATGGATCCTCACGGCCACCGAATATTTCACAAAGTGGGTAGAAGCGGTTCCCTTGCGGAAGGCCACGGGAGCTGCCGTTGCCAATTTCATCCGTGAAAATATTTGTATGCAGATTTGGGATCCCATACAAGATTGTCACTGACAATGGCACCCCCGTTTGTCAATAGCAAGTAAGCTCGACACTTAGTGGTTATGGTATCAAGCATCGCCGCTCCACGCCTTATTATCCACAAGGAAATGGTCAAGCGGAAGCCACAAACAAGACTTTATTGAGGATCCTAAGCAAAATGGTTTATGAGTATGAAGGAGGTTGGAGTGTTCACCTGCCGGATGCTTTTATGGGCCTACCGCACCTCTTCAAGAAGTGCCCCAGGTTTCTCGCCATATTCCCGTCGTGTACGGGTCCGATGCCATTTCACCAGTAGAGATTACCATCCCCACTGCCAGAACAGCAGCTGTTAACGACCTCGAATGGGATACAAAGTCATGCTCGGAATGGCGCCTGCTGGACCTTGAAGCTTTTGGATGAAAAAAGAGCGGTAGCCGAAAAGAAGACAGCATTGTACCACAGAACCGTAGCTCAAGCCTATAACAGGACATTCAAGCCTCGCGCCTTCAAGCAAGGAGACCTCGTGCTAAAAGTTGCGGAGCATGTGAGAAGACAAGTGTCGGGACCTTCCAAGTTTGCACCACAATGGGAAGGCCCTTTGCAGTCAAAAGGTTCACAGCAGCGGCTATTATCGCTTGGTCTCTGTCAAGGAAGGCACGCTGACCGACCCCCGTCAATGGGAAGTGGCTCAAGCTCTATTACTGCTAAGTTAACTTTATGCCTAGTACTTTTGTATTCTCTCTCTGTCAAAAAAAATAACTCCTTCTGTCTTATTTTCACGTTTTGAAAAAAAGACACTTTTGTATGATGCACCATTATGGTAGCAAGGGCTTTTTGCAATGAAATGAAGGAATATTTTGAAAAATATATATTGTGTCTCCAAAACTTTACTATTATTAACCCTTTATCAAATTTTCCATATCTATATATATATATAAACATGCTACTTAGCAGTAAAACATGCCGGCAAAGTCATTTAGATGGGGTCCAAGCATCACGCTTAAGCAAAAAAAAATAATAATAGCATAAGGCATAGAAACATGCAATTCTGAGATCCTGGAACGATACGATATAACACCTGGAAGCTTTATAAAGCTCGGCTAGAAATCATGCACATGTTGGATCGACCCTTTCGGAAGATGGGAAGCTATTTTGTCAAGCTTAGAATCTAGATAAGCCATGCAAAAGAAGCTTTCGAAGACTCGGTTTATAAAAAAAAATTTGACAGCATATACCCTGTTTTCAATGATATCCAACCTGTCAAAATGTCAAGCAGTCCATAAAGACAGTTCTGGCCAACAAAGCAGTATATATACATATCTACACCGGAATATGCAACATGCCTCAAGCATTCAGAAATTCATACAAGCTTGGTAGTTTTAATATCAAAATTACAAAGGCATAACGACGTAGTCGTTAGAGTCTCAAAAGAAAAAAAAACAACACTACAAACAAAGCAAAATAAAGCTGCATCTGCTGAAGGTTCACGCGCCCTTAAGTCATGAAGAAAGCAGGATCACGAGCCAAGCTAAATGGTCACTAAGCCAAGGATGGGCAATCTGCAAAAGATAAAAGAAAATGTGTGTAAAGAAAATGGCTGCTGCTGGAATACGTAATAAAAAATATATAATGGATGAGCTAAGTACCTGTAGGCTATGGGGAATGTCCGAAAAGAACAAAGGAAGCCCCAGGAGATATCTGGCCGCTGCCTCCGTCACGCACTCAGCGCTGTCAACAGAACTCCCTTAGCAAGAAGAAGGGCATGCTCTCCCGGCGCTGGTTTTCAAACTCTTGCTGTTTAATATTCAAGGCATTTGCAGCGGCTTTTTACTTCATCGGAATCATGCGATAACTGCATACCAAGGGCCCGTGCTCCAAAAACGGCACGTGCTAAGCTCTTCACGAGTTTAAGGAGAAATTCCACAGGAAAGCCCAGAATCATGGCCTCGCATATTGCATCCTCGCCAACAGAGCATTTATGATCTGTAATATCAAGGAGTTGCATGGTGTCCATCCCATGAAGTACTAAGCCAAGCGCTCGGAGGGCAGTACCCTTGAGAAAGAGGAGGTGACATCTGTAGCTTCCAGCAAACTCCCGTATTTGTCCATGAACTTTTTCAAGGCTCCAACCGTCTCTGGATACACAAGGGCGCCTTGGAATGTTGCATAACCATCGAATCTGTGGCAAAGCGGAAGAAGTTCATCAATGGATCTAAGAATGGTGACACCACCATCAAAGAGGCTTTGAATGCCGTGTAGGAATTCTCCCAATCTTGCCAAGACATGCCTTTCTCGAATGAAGGCCCTTTTGAGGAACCTGCGATAAAAGCACACATTCTTATCACAGAGATGTGCTGCTGGAAGAGGTGGACGTTGCCGAAGCTATGTCAGTGTGCTCGAGATTGGGAGAGTAAGGGGATGCGCTGCTGGAAAGTAGAGCAGTGCCGGAAGCTAGGCAGGTACGTTCTGAATTGGAGAATAGGAGTAGGAACTGTTGGAAGTAGTGGAGAGGCATCTGCAGCCATGTCAGGAGTACATGGGTTAGGAGAAGGAGAGTTGCACTGCCGGAAGCTCAGACAACTTCAGCGACAGTAGTGGGAAGGCAAATCAGCCTCTGATGAAGCACCTATTGTGCCTTCAATGGCGGGCACGACCTGCAGAAAGAAAGACGTATGAACTAGAGGACACAACGGCAGCATGCAATGTCAATATCCCAAGCAAAACAAGCAAGAAGGATATTTGATACCAGTTCAATATCGACACGCTGTCCATGATCGCCAGTCAAAGCGGGAGTCGTATCTGGTCATCGAACTCCCCCAAGCTAGTGCCGAAAGCCGGATAGGTGTCTTCGTCGTGACTATCGTATTGGCCTTCATCAAAGTCCTCGTCCATGCCACTCGTATCGTGAGCACTCTCTTGCTCATGAATGTTAGCCTCAGTTCCCGCCGCGCCATCGCCATCACTATCATCATCACTGTTATCATCACCGTCACCACTACTTTGGGTCCCGAGTCTTCACCCTTATTCTTTCGGGTATTAGCAACCGCGTTTCAAGAATACGCATGCTTCGACGTTTCGGGGTCCGGAAAACCCCTTACCCTTGCCTTTACTTTGGGAAGTACCTGCAAAATAAGATGAAAGGGATACTTATATATACGCAAAGAGCGGGAAACAAGGGAGCAAACAAATAGCAATACTTACTGTGAGGAGATGGAGCTTTTGGAGCTGCTCCTCGCTGCTGCCGGAAGCTGTAGGCTGCTGCTGTAAGGACTCGGGCCAGGCAACCTTTCTTGACTGGGAGGACCACCTGCCGCTACCTTGGGGATGAACCTTTTTCGGTTCTTTTCACAGCTTGCCTTTCCTCGGCCTGCAGCTTTCCTCACGCTTCCGTTTCCCATGTGCAACACTCTTCCCGGCACTATGAAACCCGACTTTTCCAACTTCCGCTTTAGCTTCGAAAAATCACCAACAATTTCTCCACTCTTGGAGATAAAGGGCAGATTTCGCTTCTCGCTCAAGGAAATGGCTTTCTCTTCCGACACTAAACGGGCATGATGATGACGGTGTGGGAATCATCTATCACAATGGGCAGCATGGAATCGGCTGAACGAGGCAAAGCGCGGTTCCAATACTTTTGGTAGGCCTTTGAGAGACCACCAACGCGTTTCCGGCTGGCCAGAGCAAGGGCAAAGGCCTGCCGTCTCCCGGCACGCTGTCACCAGTCCAGAAAAACCCCTGTGCAAGCTCGAGGAAATCTCCATGGTTGGGAGAAGATGGCACACCTTGGTCAAACCCAACTGTCGTCTAACCCGGTAAGGGGAATAATGCACAGAAGTCTCCAAGTGGTCATCACCGAATGGGGCAGAGGGAGGCATGCGGCACTCAACAATGCCTCTCTGCTAACCGCAACCTTGTGTTGGCGTGGCCAGGGCCTCCATTAAAGCAGCAGAATCAGCATAGAAGGGCATACTTCAAGCCCTCTGATGAGGCACATAGGGGCGAAAAATAAATTGCTCAACATCGTCCAGCAGCTCTAAAAATTTTGGCCCTTCCGTTGCATGCGACGGAACCATCTACAGATCAGAGGAGACACTACCCGGCACGTAGGAATCCTCGTCCGAAGCAACCAGTGACTCAGCCTTTGAATAAGGGAGTGGAGATACCTCTATCCCTCTGAAGCGTTCCCATAAAAAGATCTGCAGAAAACTGGAATTTACAAAAGTCTCCACAGCCATGGTTCCGGCCGCCCCCTTCTCAAGAAATTGAATCTGGTCAAGCAAAGCGATATAAGTGCCCCAAGAACATGGGGGCTAAAGGGATCATGCTACCTCGTGCTATTGCCAAAGCCAACGGAAACACTCTCCCATGCAAGCAGTCTTGAGAAAAATCACAAAAGAGGAACCTCCCGAGCCACAAGGACACGAACGCAGCAAGGCGACACGGCTCGTCTCGATCACTGTTCCCGAAAAACTGAATCCAATTACTGAATCTCAGAGAGGTACTAGGAGAGGTCGGAGCACCCTTCCGCAAAGTTTCAAGCTTTAGCCCATCTTCCGGGTTAATGCAATATGGAAAGGGTCTTGGCTGCCGCAAAGTGGGAGATGGAAAATATTAGCTACATCCTCAAAGCGTGGGAGTGAACTCTCCCCACGAACAAATAAAAGTGTGCGTCTCAGTGCTCCACCGTCTAACCAAGTGTCGAAGCGTCTTGGCTTCAATATGGATGTCGCAAGCCTTAGAAGCAAAGATGGCTTCCAACACGCCTGCCCGGCTTAGGATATCACGGGTAGATGGGCTCTTCAGTTCAGCATCAACCCACTCCGACCAACCCTTGCTGATGCTGCAGGGGATATTGAAAGAACAAAGGAACTGCCGGAAACAGACCCCTTTCTATGCAGCACCTTGATACGGATGCAGGATCAATCACTGAAGTAGCTTCTGGCGCTGGTTCTTCATCAATGATTACATCCTCGTCGGACCCTTGAGCAAAGGAGGAGGTCTCCCTCTCTTCAACCTGTCATCTACGGAGTAAAGATGATCCCTTATGATAAATGGTGGATTACCGGATGCCATAATGGTACCTGCGCATAGAAATGGAAAGAAGCAAAATAGAATCAGCACACCTAAAATACGTGCTAGTTGAGTTTATCCAAGCAACATGCAATTTAAAATTCAAGCTCATGACAAGTAAGAGTCTCGCTTTGTGATCAACAAGCAGGACAAGCAAGTCCTTCTCAGAATAAAAATAAAAAATAAAAAATTCAGCCAGGCAGTACAAAACATGCACTCTGTCAATTATTTCCTCCACAGGCAACACACGCAGATTCCATAATCGATCAAGCATGTGTTCTCAAAAAGAAAAAAAAAGAGAGCCTAGCCAAGCATCAGTCTACACCTATTCTAAAATACTCAGATTAGCAGAGTTATTGCCAAAGTCTAGTTAGAAGACTGAAGAGTTTGAAGGTTCCAGCAGCAAAATGTCAAGGTTTCCAGCACCTACCTATGCCCAAATGCGTGTACCTGCACAAAAAACAAAAAGGAAAGCACGTCATGCCAAATCACCCTTTACACACAAAGGAGAGCCCGTGCAAAATAAAAACGAAAGAAGGGGAGAAACCCAAGCCAACAAGAAAGAAAAAAAAATTTAACCTTTCCGCAGCTCGAGCAAAATCAACGAAGGAAGAAACCTAGACAATGGCACGACCCTTCCTTGCTAGCACCCACTCCGTGAGCACTATTGGTGCAGTGGAAACAAGATGGGTAAAAAGGGGTTTTGGGTATTTGCTGCCCAAAACAAAAGACAACATCTATGGGTATGGAGAAACCCAACAAATTCTCCAATCAATCTAAGGAAAAATTGGAAGAAAAGAGGATACCTTGTTAAATCTTCCAAGGGATGACGTTGGATGCACCAAAATAGAGAAAACCAGGGATTTGAAGGCAAAATTCGCACAAAGGAGGACCTTTCCAGCACGAACGGGCTCCTTTGGAACGAAGATGGAACGACGGGGTCGGGTTCGACTTGGGTCTTCTTCTCAGCGCTGGAGGTAAACATTTTGGCCTGACTTCACTCTTTCGTGATTTGAATTATGGAGAAGAAAGAAGAAGAACGAAGGGAGGAGAGTTAGAGGGAAGTTTTGGTCTGGAGCGTGGGAAAGGAGAAGGAAATTTGTTTGGAAACCGATGTCTGATGCAAGAAAAGAGAAAAAAGGAGGAAAATAATAAAATAAGGAGAGGAAGGCAGTTGGCGTTGGAAACTGCAAATAACCACCGGGACCAATCATGGCACGCCGTCATTTTGCACCGCGGAAGAAGAAGATCCTATGCAAATACAAATCTGATTTTTTGGGTGGGGTTTAATTATTCGGCCCATTCCAGCACCTGTTCATGGCCCTTATAATTAAGGGGCTATGTTGAGGCCCAAAAATCCATGATTGGGCCCGAAACAATTATCAGCCCAATACAATATTCCTAAGGGAAAAGAAAAAAAGGGATCTATCGCATGCAAGTTATAACCCACGCCACGCTAAATAAACAAATTATCATGCTATGATAAAAATATAATCATGCTAAAAAATTAAAACAATCCTTCCCAAGGGCGATAAGGTAAAATATGCCGAGCAACATGCCATGCCGTTATCTCGCACCCAACCACGCTACAAGCCTAGGTGGGCCCAAGCCACTCAAAAAAGACCCGGGGCTTGCTTGAGTGGGTTGTGGCATGGATGGTGATAAATCAACATGAGGCCCATTGATGGACCAAGAAATGGAAAGTCTCGGTTGCTTGGGAGCCTCGAGACTCAGGCCCATTTCTTAGGCCCAAACATGTGGGTAGCACAAGAGAGAAAAATAGCCCAAAAGCCCAAGCAAATAACCTAGCCAAGAGATAACCCAACCAAAATAATAATACCCAAATCAAGCCCAATAAGCCCATTCCTTAGAAAGCCATCTTGGCCCTTAGAAAACCCAAAAAGGCCCACAAGAGCTTCAGCCTTTTTTTGAAAAACAGAGAACACGTGAAGGAGTAGATGGCAGGGCTCCTTAAGTAAGCTGCTGGAAACCAGTCCCAAGCCAGAGACATCCAAAGAACCGATGAATACCATCCTGCATGCTGTCAGAAGCATCCCTTGGACCAGCATACATTTGCACCTCCTTTCCTTCATCAGATTCAGCCAAGAAGAAGAAAGAAAAGGAAGAAAAACAGCAAACTAAGAGTGGAAGCCCTCACTGCGTAGCCGCGGGAAAGGAGATGTTGAGCCCCAAAATCTCCTAAATTCATGAAGATAGACAGAAGCCATCTTTGCCAAGAAAGGGAAGTCAGAGAAGGAGGAGAGGAAAAAAAAAAAAAAAAAAAAAAAAAAAAAAAAAAAAAAAAAAAAAAAAAAAAAAAAAAAAAAAAAAAAAAAAAAAAAAAAAAAAAAAAAAAAAAAAAAAAAAAAAAAAAAAAAAAAAAAAAAAAAAAAAAAAAAAAAAAAAAAAAAAAAAAAAAAAAAAAAAAAAAAAAAAAAAAAAAAAAAAAAAAAAAAAAAAAAAAAAAAAAAAAAAAAAAAAAAAAAAAAAAAAAAAAAAAAAAAAAAAAAAAAAAAAAAAAAAAAAAAAAAAAAAAAAAAAAAAAAAAAAAAAAAAAAAAAAAAAAAAAAAAAAAAAAAAAAAAAAAAAAAAAAAAAAAAAAAAAAAAAAAAAAAAAAAAAAAAAAAAAAAAAAAAAAAAAAAAAAAAAAAAATTCTTGAAAAATGGTGATTTCCGGCAGCTATAAATTAAGCCTTCCCCTACCCAACAAACACAACTCACAACCTGCAGAGAGCAAGCTTTTCTCTCTATCTTGCAAAACTTAGATTCGTGCACTGTTCATCTTCTTCTCCAATTTGTTCTTCTGGTAGCTGCTGGAAGAACCCTGTCTCTCTTTTTCTCTTTCTCTAGCCAAAATTCCTCACAAAATACCTCATTCCTTACTTAAACACTTTCATTTATCATAAACCAAGCCTAATTTCTCTCTTAGTGCTAAACCCATGCTGGTTTTGCTCTCCATGCCTCATGCCACTCATGCTGAGCCTAAAAACCATCTGAAAGCATGCCAAAATTATCTGTAAGTCACTATTATTCTCATTGGTGAAGATCATCCAAAATATCTCCTAAGGTTTCGCTGCCCTTTCGAGGTATTTTGGGGCTTAATTTTCGAACCTCAACAAAAAGGGGCAATCTCCTCAAATCCACCTTTTGCAGCAGCCCAGCCCGTTAGCTGCAGGAAGAAAAAGACCCCTACAATATCATTTTCTAACTTCAATTATCATTTAATTCATTTCCACTACTAATATCACCAAGACTTTCTGTGATAAAACTCCACATCTATTGGGCTTTGTAGGTAATTAAGTTGAGGACAATTTCGGTGTTGCTCCCTCTAAAATCTTAACATGGTATTAGAGCGGGTTGATTGATTGGGCCTGAATTGAGCGATGTGAACTTGACTCCACATGTGGCCCACTATATGATGGTCCCACGTGAAAAGGCATGTTGAAGAATATAAAGTTCCATATCGAAAACTTAACTAAATATATAATGAATAGTTCCATAACTACAAATGCGTTTGCATAAAATATAATTCTCGTTCTAGAAAAATCTTCCACGTTACGGTCGGTAGAATTGTTTAGTATATGTGAAAGTCAGAAATCTGAATGTGAGGAATTAAAATGTTGGGTGCATGTCTTCGTCGCATAGAGGAAACAGACCTGAAAACCCCCTAACATTATTAAGAGAAGCCACGAGATCAAATGAAAATGACCCCAGCATTTGAATTAATTATTCTAAAACTTAGCTGTTATTTTCATCTGAATCTCATAGACATATATATAGTCATGCGCATGCCCAATGAACAAATAAATTTAAAATAATAAAAATTAAGAAAGAGTATTATTATCAGAATTTAGACAAAAGAGAAGAGCCCACACCACTCTCACTCCACACAATCACACACAAACTCCCAACTGTTGTTGTCTGTCTGGTGAAGAAAGACTGAGAAGACAATTGAGACCAAAAAACAGACTGAGAAGACGAGCTTCTTCTTCCTTCTTTCTCTTTGCCAAATTTCCCTTCCCAGTGTTGCTAAATCTTCATCAATCCAAAACCCAACCCAATTCAAGTTATTCAACCCTCATAACCCTAAATTTCAATCCCAATTATGATCTCAAATCTCAAGTCTCAGCCCTGGAAAAGTATTGTGCGGTAAGATCCCGTCACTCGAATTTAATCCACCTTGGCGATCTCTGTCTAAAAGGCTGCAACTTTCTCGGGAAACAAACGGGTTCCGTATTGGCCCTTCAGATTTGGAACTGGTAGAGAATAATGAGGCGGAGAGCCACGGACTTTCGGAGGCCCCTGAGGAGGCGGTTTCCCAATGCCTTGTGGTGGGTACTGTGTGGGGTTGCGGTTTTGCTCTTCATTTTCACTTTGAGCAGAGGAAATCAGATGGAGTCCAGGCCTGTCATTCCCACGGTATATACTTCTCTACCCTCTGTTTTTTTTTTCTTTTCGTTTTTGGTTTAGTTGAATGTTCCTTAGAAAATGTAGGAATAAAGAGGGAATTGGAGTTGTAGATATTGGGTTTTTGAGTGACTTGGGAGGTGAGCTAGAAAAGGCTGAATTGGGTTGTGAATGGAACAGTTGATTGGTTTGATGGGAATGAGTTTTTTTTGTCAGTTTGGGAGCTAAAACAACAAAAAGATGTAAGCTTTAGAATTCGATTGTATTTTGCTTTTATACTTGGTGTTATTAGCTACTATAGAAAGGAGTTGATTTTGTATACTTGGGATTTTGTTCATGCTAAGACATTAGTGTTATTGAGTTGGGGTTTGGCTTTTGATCTAGTTGTCATCTGACATGATCTTATTATTCCCAAAACTTTCATTGAAAGGGTTCAAGACTCTCCTTTTCATGTAATAGGAGTTGAGTGCACAAGATCTATTGGGGGGAAAAAAACCTGTTACTTTCATTATCTATTATGTGGAATGTGACAAGGGAGTATACCAGAAGGGTACTAAAAGAAATTTTGATATGTGTAAGGGATTCCAGGGCCATTTGACTGAACTTGCTTGCATCATGGATCTTGAAATATAGTACACCCTAGAGAAGCCTAAAAATAGTTAATGTTTTTGAGAGGCAGTGTAGAGATTTAATGCTTGTCGAATGATATGGATGTGCTTGGCTGATTGTCTTTTTGAGTGTATCAAAATTTTCAGACTAGTATGCTCATATTGTGGATCCTTGTGAAATTTGTGGAGTTGATTACATTAAAATCAAAGAAAATATCTAGAAATTTTATTGTCATCACAAAGTCAAGGAACACTTAGTTTAGATGTCATCACAAAGTACAAATAATAAAAACTCTGGCTGAATCCTAGCATTCTGTTTTGGTAATGTATCATGACACCATATCATGTGGTCTGAATGCCAGGAAGCTGGTTTTATATGGTGGCACCAATATCCTCCTTCATGATTTTGGTAGACAAATTGAATTTTCTTTTTATTTGGTCAAAAGACAAATCTTTGTTTGATTCTTTTCTGCAGTGGAGGAAATGATAGATACATCGTTTTTCCCTTTAGCTTTTCCACTTTCTTTTGCAAAATTAAGAAAATATGTGCTTGTTTTCCTTCCGCAGAGATACAGGAATGATAGACTTATGGAAGGCCTTAACATTACTGAAGAAATGTTGAATCCCAACTCAGTTTCCAGGCAGCTCAATGACCAAATTGCTCTGGCAAAAGCTTTCGTTGTGATTGCCAAAGAAAGCAACAACCTTCAATTTGCTTGGGAATTAAGTGCTCAGATTCGAAGTTCACAGATCCTGCTGTCAAATGCTGCAACCAGGCGAATTCCTCTGACAATTAGAGAATCGGAAACTGCGATTCGCGATATGGCACTAATACTGTACCAAGCACAGCAGCTCCATTATGATAGTGCAACCATGATCATGAGACTGAAAGCCAAAATCCAAGCTCTGGAAGAACAGATGAGTTCTGTGAGTGAGAAAAGTTCAAAATATGGACAAATAGCTGCTGAAGAAGTCCCAAAAAGTCTCTACTGTCTTGGTATTCAGTTGACCGGGGAATGGTTCAGAAACTCAAATCTACAGAGGAAAACCAAGGACAGAAAGCAAATAGACATGAAACTGAAGGATAACAATCTCTATCATTTCTGTGTCTTCTCTGACAACATCCTAGCAACTTCAGTTGTGGTCAATTCAACTTCTATAAATTCCAAAAGTCCAGATAAGATTGTCTTCCATCTCGTAACCGATGAAATCAACTATGCTGCAATGAAGGCCTGGTTTTCTATAAACAGCTTCAGAGGAGTGGTCGTTGAGGTTCAAAAATTTGCGGATTTTACATGGTTAAATGCTTCTTATGTTCCCGTACTTAAGCAGCTCCAAGACTCTGAAACTCAAAGTTATTATTTTTCTGGAAATAATGATGATGGCCGGACACCAATCAAGTTTCGGAACCCAAAGTATCTTTCTATGCTTAATCATCTGAGGTTTTATATTCCAGAAGTTTTTCCTGCCTTGAAGAAGGTGGTGTTTTTGGATGATGATGTTGTGGTTCAGAAGGATGTGTCTGATCTGTTCTCTATTGATTTGAATGGTAATGTTAATGGAGCGGTGGAGACGTGCATGGAGACATTTCACAGATACCATAAATATCTGAATTACTCTCACCCTCTCATAAGAGCACATTTTGACCCTGATGCATGTGGATGGGCGTTTGGGATGAATGTTTTTGATTTGGTTCAGTGGAGGAAGAGGAATGTCACTGGTATCTACCACTACTGGCAGGAAAGAAATGTAGATCGAACATTGTGGAAACTTGGCACGTTGCCACCTGGATTGTTGACGTTCTACGGATTGACAGAGCCTTTGGATCCCTTGTGGCATATTCTGGGTTTAGGCTACACAAATGTTGATCCTCATTTGATAGAGAAAGGAGCTGTGCTGCACTACAATGGAAACTCGAAACCATGGTTGAAGATTGGGATGGAAAAGTACAAGCCCCTTTGGGAGAAATATGTTGATTATAGCCATCCCTTATTACAAAGATGCAATTTCCATTGATTTCAGACATAGAAGTTTCTTCTCTATCACGACGGAGTTGGTGCGTAAAGGAGAGATGTAGCCTTTTTGAGGTCATGAATGCTTGCATGATGATTTTGCAAGATCAAGCATGGGGATTGGTTGTAAGATGGGTAGTGTTTATTTGATCGTGTTGTAGTATAGATGATTTACTTCATTATAAGTCATTCAGAATTGTTAATGCTAACCACTATTCTTGAATAACTTTTTGTTGTTGTTGCAGTATCTGTGGTATAGGTTGAACTGTACAACCTTGGTAGTTTGTAGTATCCTTTTGATTTGGTCTCTTGTGCAATACATAGATAGGATATTGCCTTTTACTGCCTGGTATTGGACCTGTTGGTAGGCAAAGTTTCTTACATCCTATCTAATCAAATTAATCATTTTCATCTACTCTTAAGATTTGTGCTTGGCTGGCTTCCTTTCTTTCTTCACCTGCTGACATGACAAACATATGCTTGTTTCAAGATTCAACCGCAAAGATGCAACCGGTAACAAGCAGGAATGATAAAGAAAATGTAAAGTCGATTTTTGATCTGATAGATTCCCATAAAGAAAAAGAAAAAGAAATTTGATAGAGAGAAATCATAGTTATAAGGTAAAGCTAAATCGACATAATGATAGAGAAAATAGCGTTAAAACGAATGTAAGGCTTTGTATCTTTTTGTACTACTTCTGCTTTAAAATCTGTTAAATAAGATGAACCTAAACACTAATAACAACAAGGTCGTTGTAGTATAGTGGTAAGTATTCCCGCCTGTCACGCGGGTGACCCGGGTTCGATCCCCGGCAACGGCGCTCCTTTCTTTAATTTTTTATTTTTTATACTCAATATTCTTTGGAAATAATAAAAATAAAAGGTTATTTATAAATTCATTTAAAAGAACATTCTTCTCTTTGTGCCTTTACCTTCCTCAAAATATTGAATTGGCAGTTGACTATTTCTTTGATATGAGATTAGTTTGCCACTTCAAATTTTGAGTTGAATCAACAATAAGATAAAACAGGATTTTGATTGATTGGGTTCGGTTTCAAATTGGAAGAAGCTTGCATAAACACGCACGCTCATGCTAATCACAAATTAACAACAAAAACACATTATTTATTTGACAACTGGCAGATGCCAATCCAACCAAATCCTTCGTTAACTCTTAACTGCCGGCTTAATTGAATTACTTTGTACTGAGTCTCTGGGTCTCCGAGTCCCTACCTAGTGTGATTCTTTATTCCATTTGTCTTCTACTTCCTAACGTCTCTTGCTTCACTCCCATCCAATCATTACTAGTACTCTTTTGAGTCTTTTACCACCGAAAACTAACGTTCATTTCCAAACAAAGTTACTTGTATCTAACCACATATTACTTGTATGAGTAGCACATATATAGCATTAATACCATTAACAAGTTCCACTATGTATTCAATTAGTAAATATAGTACATCGTTAAGATTTTTATCAAGCTTATATTTATACATTTACGATGATTATATGCGTCGGAGTTGATTTCAAGATTCATTATTTTACCAAAGGATTGATTAAGAGAAATATCACTTCTACGACCGATGTTTTGTGTTCAAATCGCCTATCTTATATATGAAAAAAGAAGTCATTATTTTGAAAAACAATTAATACACTATTTTCGTCTATATACCACTTATTGCCAAGTTAGTCAACACAAGGGCATTATAGTGATTTCACCTCCAAAATCCCACAAAAACCCCCCTCGTATGCCGGCGTAGGATCTAATTTGCCGCCATTTCAAGTGTGGTGGTTTGTTTTTGGTATCATCCCATCTGTTTCCAAAGAAACGCAGATATCAACTCTTCAAATCCTCACATACTCTTTTCGCACCAGTAATCAAACATTTCTCTCTCCCTCTCCTTCTCCCTCTAACAAATCATGAAGAAGAATGACAACAATCAAGTCGTCACAGAGCAATCTCACAAACTCAGAAGACCCAAATCCCGCGAAGTAAGCTCGCGGTTTATGTCATCACCAACTTCAGCCACTTCGCTCGAAACCACCACCAACCTCCCATCTCCAAACCAAGCCATCTCTCCAGTCCGGCGCAAATCCGGTTCGCCTTTCAACGAAACCCGAAAACCCAAAACCCAGCTCGATGACTTGGGCCCCATCCGAGGACTATGGCCCTCTTCAACTTCATCATCAAACAAGAAGCTCGACACTCTAGCCGATCACCTTGGAAACGACAGGCTCAAAGATCATATCGAGACTAAAAATTCAAACTTTGGTAGGCAGAGAAGCCGCAGAGAAGTGGGTTTGCTCGAGAATGAAAAGGAGAAAGAGAGAGAAAGCGCCAAGGAAAATCACAAACCCATCATTGGTGGGGCGATGAGATACCCGAGAAACTTCAAGTTTCTGGGAAAATCTACTTCCCCTTCTTCTTCGTCGTCTTCGAGTAAGTTTTCGAGTAATTCGAATGTGGTTGTTCCTAGGAGATTTTCAGTCGACGAAAATGCTCTGTATCAGAAACCATCTCGGCGAATTTCGGATGGTTTGTCCGATACTCTTGATTCGGGATCGGAGTGCAGTGATGGCTGTTCAGGCCAGACTGTTGGGTCTCCAAATGCGGGTTCAAGTTCGAGAAAATTGGGCATGGGGGTTTCTTCAAAGTACACGAATGAGGTACCTTTAAGGCATCGAAGAGGGACATCGGATTCTAATCTCCCGATATCAGGAGATAAGTCTCCGAAGTTGAACAAATTCACCATTAAAAATGTGATCAGGAGAGCTCATTCGCTGACGGGGGCGACGACACAATGGGCATTGTCGCCGGGAAGAACAGGGTCGCCGACGATGTCTGTCGAGAACATGGGCGTACCAATGTCGTTTTCGAGCTTGAAGCCTCCTACTAGTCCCTCAAAAACCAAGGGGGTGGAGAAGTTGCTCAACTTGGGGTTGGACTTGTTCAAGAGTAAGAAATCTTCTTCGTCTAGCTCAGTGCTGGTAAGGTCTAATTCGGTTTCTTCGGCGCCAAGTATGACGGAGATGGGTCATCAACTTCGGTTGCTTCACAACAGATTGATGCAGTGGCGATATGCCAATGCTAGAGCTTATGTTGTGGATGAGAAGATAGCTAATCAAGCACAGGTTATCTCTGATTCTAGTTCTACTTTGTGGGAACAATTTATTTATTTATTTTTATTCTCATGAGATTATGAGGTTACCATAGTTCAATTCATAACTGGGAACTGTTTGTTTTTCAATGATTTTTGCAGTCCAATGTTATATATGCTTGGGATAGTCTTATAAAGTTGCGACATTCCGTGCTACAGAAGAAACTGAAGTTAGAGAAAGAAAAGCTTGACCTGAAGCTGAATTCTATACTCCGATCTCAAGTCAGTAGCAAACAACAATCAATAAATATTTTGTTACAAGATTAATGGTGTGCAGATGTTCGGATTGATTCAAACAACCTGTGTTAAAATGTGACTGATGTGTTCGTAATTTGTGTAGCTTAAGCCATTGGAGTCTTGGGGAGATATGGAATGGCAACACATGGCAGCATTTTCCATGATGAAAGAGTGCTTATATTCTGTTGTCTGCAGAGTACCCCTCATTGAGGGTGCAGAGGTAGGCCAAAGGAAACTGATTGTAAGGTTTTGGTTTCAGCGAAAGAGATTTGTTTTTCTAACAAAGCCAAGCATTCTGCAGGTGGATACTCAATTGGCTGCTTTTGCTATTCGACATGCTTCCGATCTCACAGCTTCCATGAAGTTGTTGCTAGCTACTTTCTCACCTCTGGTATACTTCAGTGGTTTGTAAGCTTATATACTACTACCTTGTTACCTGAAATTTGTGCAATGCGGACTCACATTGAACCCGATTCTTGAACAGGCAGAGCAGACTTTTCCTTTACTGTCTGAATTAGCAAAGGTCGTTGCACAAGAAAAATTGCTTTTAGAGGAGTGTCTTGAGCTTTCCAAGACCATATCGACGCTTGAGGTAATAAAAGAACGCTATTCTTTTCCAAATCAAGAACTATACATGTTTAAAATTTGACCTACTAATGCTTAATGTCATATACGAGTGGCTCAAAACTTCTCAGAAGTGACCTATTTCTTTTTATTTTGTGCGGACAGAGTCAGGAGAGGAGTTTGAAGTGTAGTATTATTCAACTGGAATTGTGGAAACAGGAGAAAATTAAGCAGCAACAACTAAACAAGAAGATATAATGTCATGATCTATCTATTTCAACATTATGTAGCACGGGGCTAAGTGACATCATCATATTGTCTAGAAATCATGACCCGGGAGATGATTCGTGAAACGTACCATTGTAGCGTATATGTGAGTACAAGCTTCTGTAAATGAGCAAGAAAATTTTGATCATTAGCTGATGAACATATTCCTTTTTTTGTAATATCATTTTTTATGATCATATATATAAATTGGCTCTTATTTGATTCTGTTTTCATCACCATGTGTACTTGTAGGCCTGTAGTTGCAGCATATTCACTTCAGCTTGCTTCTAACTTTCCATATAATATGTTTCCATGACATATGAGTAATTTAATCAGCCCTGCATTGTAAATCTGCAATGCCATGTTTTAAGTTATTGTATTTCACTTGCCAAGCCACAAATCTACAGGGGCAACACTACAAATGTTTAGTGCTCTTCATGTTTCTTTTATTTAATCAATTTGGTCAACACGTACTTATGTTTGACGGTTTGAGGCCAGATCTATTGGAACGTAAGTCAACTTTCATTTAGATTACTGTTTGAATTTGCAATCATGATCATTGAGATGAAAATCAATGACAAAGTCAAACCCAATTCAAAGGATGTATCAAGAAGGAGAAGCAGCCATGTGGCAGTTCATGGGCAACCATGAATTCCTCTTTCCTATAATGTTGGTCTTCAGAAAAGTGAAAAATGCTATGACCCTCTCACCAGTCCGTACCTCAAACAAGTTTCTCCTGCCTACCAAACAGCAAAGCTGATCAAGATAAGCTGCCAAGATGAACGATCTGTTTTTGAGCGATTCATTCAAAAGATACAAGGACCTTGAACACCAAGTCTGCATTGATGATATGCAGGCAGGTGGTGAGGCCTGGAAAGAGACTGTCAATCTTGATGGATTCTTTAAGGAGATAGAGAATGTCAAACATGACATGAGAGCTGTAGTGCAGCTTTACAAGCGGTTACGGGAAGCCAATGAGGAGAGCAAACTCATCCACGATGCCAAATCCATGAAAGAGCTTAGCGCCAGGATGGATTCTGATGTTGAGCAGGTATTGAAGCTGGTTAAAATCATCAAGGGGAAGCTGGAAACACTTGAACTCTCCAATGCTGATCAGCGAAAACTTCCCGGCTGTGGAGCAGGGTCGTCTTCTGATCGAACGAGAACTTCAGTACTTAATGGCTTAGCAAAGAAGCTCAAGGACATGATGGATGACTTTCAAGGCCTCAGAACCAAAATGGGATCCGAATACAAAGAGACAGTTCAAAGGAGGTACTTCACAATAACAGGTGAGAAGGCCAATGAAGAAATGATTGAGAATTTGATATCGAGTGGAGCGAGTGAGACATTGCTTCAGAAGGCAATTGAGGAGCAGGGTCGTGGCCAAGTTTTGGACACTGTTCAAGAGATCCAAGAGCGGCATGATGCCGTGAAGGAGATGGAGAAGAGCCTCATTGAGCTCCACCAAGTGTTCCTAGACATGGCTGCACTGGTGGATGCACAAGGGCAGCAGCTGAATGACATAGAGAGCCATGTGGCACGTGCCAATTCGTTCGTCAGGCGAGGAAATGTGCAGCTTGAGTTAGCTAAGGACTATCAGAAGAATAACAGGAAGTGGGCTTGCATTGCCATAGTTATTAGCACTTGTGTTGTTATCATTCTTCTTTTACCTGTTTATCTTCACTTCAAGAGTTAACAAAAGATGCAATTGCCTTCTGGAGTAACAAGAAATTGATTGAGTTGTTTGTGTTCCAATTCATTGGACAAGCAGATTTGTATTCTCTCTACGTTTTTACTTGACTAGATTTAGATGGTATGAAATATAATTCCACTGTATCGCTGAAGTTCACTTTGAATCAATGCAAAGTAACAACTACTTGTGATTATGAGAAGCTATTGTTTCAAACGCAACGCAAAAACCTAAAAGCTCATACAAACACGATTTATATACAAGTAGATGAGTGGCTTTCCTTTGTGTGCTGGGCTCATATCAGTGTAAAGGAAATTCAAATAAATATTTTCGATTAGGCATGATACATTCTCCGTTATGAACAAATATTATTCAACTAGATTTTCAAGTCTTGCATATGTTCTCAAGAACATTGGATGGGCCCAATTGGTTAATTTTAAGAGTAATTCTTTGATTCGACAACAAATCACCTCATCCGTTCGGCCCACAACATCACTAATGAAGTAAGGCCGTATGAGACCCCAATGCAGGGGCTCCCTTGTGTGCATCTGCCGCCGGACGGGTGAGGTGATTCGTCCGGACCAGAGAATTTCTCCAGTTTTGGGCTTACAAGCCTTTTGGACTCAACTTCAGAAACTAACCCAAGTGAAGTACCCAACGCTCCGTTAGTAATTCCCGCAAACGACGACGTTTTTGCGCTACTTGTACTCATATGACGCATAACTCATAAGCAAGCATTTCCTCGTTTTTCTGTGTCTCGCTCTCCTCTGCGTCTACCTCTCATCTCTGAAGCGCAAAGCCATGGCTACTTTAGCGGCGGCTGCAGCTCGTCAATTCGCAACTTCAAGTCGAATCTCTTCGGCTAGAACCTCGTCTCAAGCATCGAATCTAATCCAAAGGCGTGGCCTTGCCGGCGCTGCTGGTAAACCGTAGATTCAATATTGTGTTTTTCCATTACTTGATTCCCGATCTAGAGTTTTGAGCTGATTTTATTTCAACAAAAAAATTTGAACTTGCAGATCATCATGGAACCCCAAGGATTAACGTCTGGCAAGACCCATTGAGCCCATCCAAATGGAAGGAAGAGCATGTCAGTCCCTCTCTCTCTCTCTCTCTCTGTGCTTCGTTTTCCTTTTATCTTAAATTTCATTGTTTTTTTTATAAATTTATAGTCGTGGTATTCGTTTTCATGAAATTAGTTTCTTGTTGAATTTTAATGGGTTGTGATGATTGTGATGCCTTTTTTAGGTTTTCATTTTACCCATTTGTTTGGAATTGACATTCGTCAAGGAAAAATCTTTATGGCTTAAGATGTAGAATAGCAGCATAAACAGCAAGTTATCACAAAATGCATTCCGGTTATTTTGGGTTTGAACCTTTTCCCCTCCAATTTGTGGCTTGTCTCGGTCAAAATTACGAAACTTGGCTTCATTTTAATTTGGATCAACTACATAGAACCCCCCAAACTTTTTTAACATTTTTATTAGTTAGATAAGCAATGCTAACATTTTTATGGGTGCTGAGTTATGATTCTCGTCTGAAAAGACGTGCTAACAAGAGGCTGTTAGCTATGGAAAAGTGGTTTTACACATTACCTTGTTGAAGTTCCTTAGCTTTGTTCTTGAACCTTTGGTATAATAGAAATTACTGGGCACATAAAGTTGTTTTCTTGACTGAAATCTGTACTTTTGCAGTTTGTAATTGTCTCTTTATCTGGCTGGGGTCTACTCATCTTTGGGGCTTACAAGTTCTTCACTGGAGGCAAAGGCAAGAAGGAAGAGGTACTTCAGATTTCTTTAACCCATAAGTATTAGGATATGTTATGGTTGGTTGTGGGCTTAGGCATCAGATATGCAAAGCAACATTTCTCTGTTTTTTTTTGTTGAATTAGCAGTGTTTTCAATGCAGAAGGATGCGTGTCATAATTTTGTGTTATCAATCAGATATGCCTTTATATGGCTGTTCCCTGTCCCAATCTAGTGAGATGTTGTAGTTTTACAATGTTTCCAGCATCTAGGTTTGTTAAATCTGTGCATGCTTAAAAATAAGTAGGATGCCAAAAACATAACTAGAGAACTCATGTTGTGTCTCTCACTTTATACTCTTACAATAAATGGTTGTTCTCCTTTTGTCCCGTCGTCACATTCCCTGCTTTATATTGTATGTTTTTGGTGTTATGATATAGATGGCTTGGTAATCTATAGTTAGTGGTTCACCTCTAAGAAAATTTGCAAGATGACACTCTTGTTTGCAATATTCAAGTTGTTCACATATGGCAATTGGATCACATTATTACAGGGTGTTGCTTTGCTAATTGCTACTAATGCCCCACATAGAGCTAGCTATGGATCAGGTTAGGGGAATTTAGGCTGGGTCAGGGTCTTGTAGAGTACTTCTGTGTGAAGCACGCAATGCAGTGTGCCTTTTCTTCTGTGTTTATTGGTTGGACAATCCTAGTAACTCTAGGATCAGGGAGAAAAAAAAAAAACTAATTTTGATTGAACCAGGTAAACATAGCTGAGAGTGTAGTTTAGCATTCCAGTATGGAGTCACCGATGTAAACTATTGTGTTGTTTTGTGATGTACTTTTAGCTTTTGCTGACTAATTCTTGTTTTGTTTCAGAAACTGGCAGAAGCATCGCACTGAGGTTTGGAGTTTTAGATATTCCCAGAACTTCTTTGAAATAACGAGTTTGCTTGGATATAATGTCTTCAAATTTCTTTTTCTTTGTCAGCAACTGATTTTTGATCAGTCTATGGAGATTGATACATTGAAAAAATATCGAGGTTAATGGCTTTGTTGGGAGCTTATGCCCTGTCCAATTATGTCTTTTTTGTAGTTACTTTTGTGATTCGATGCATTAACCTTTCATGTGTCAATAAAATAATGACATTCTCCTTCATAGTTCAAAAATCTTTTGATGGCTTTAAAGGGCAGTTAATTATGCTCTAGAGAAGTAACCCCAATCAGACCCTTATCTTATTGTTGGATTCAATAGAAATTTATTAGCAAGTAAATAGTCATTTTCAGTAAATTAGAAAAGCCACTCAAACACAAGAACATTGTATACTCCAATTTCATAATATCTGCCCTTTTAAAAAAAATCAAGTCTGCAACTCGTATCGAAGCGATTCTTCAATTTCTGGAAATTTTTTTTTATAGGAAACTCTTTAATAGCGCAAAGTTGTTTTTCTAGTCTGCAGTTTCTTTTTCTGGGGAATTCTTAAACCAAATGAATCACTCTCTTGGCTATTCAGGGATGTTAATTGCTAAAATCCGGGTTTGTAGAATAAATACACCAGATTTCAGTTTCACTCTGGCTTAAACATGCTAACCAAACATAACTAGCAATAAAAACAGATATCTAACACTTCCTGATCAAACTGAAGTCTTAAGAACTTGTTAAATCTGCTAAAATTCAGACTCATCTACCTCCTCCCTGTACTCTTCTTTATCTTCTTCCAAATTGGAACCAGATAATTCATCAAAGAGATTATCATCAGTTGCATGTTTTTCTTGTTCCTCTGCATCCGCAACTTCCAAATCTGCTGGCAAGTCCTGTGTATCAGCAGATTTCGTTTGTTCAGCACTATTTTCTGGTTTGTGGATATCCCTGTTGTTTAGGTTCTGTTGTATAATGATGGCTTCATGGTCTTTTGATTTTCCAACTTCAAGTCTCTGTTTGCCATCACCTTTAAGTCTCCTGTTTGAAGCTGCTTCCTCTAAGTCTCCACTGTCCGTAGACCCATTCTGATCATCTTTGATGAATCTTGTACTTCTCACACTTCCCACTCCATTGTTTTTAAAATTTCCCCTGTTCTCCAACCTCCTGTGCTTAGCAATTAATCTCCATTTCTTACGTCTATCGCCACTAAGAAAGCCATGCTTCCCTCTCACTCTTCTAGACCTTCCACTGTTTTCAGAGTTGTCTTGCATTACCAACTTCATCCCACCTTTAGGAGTCGCATGAAGTTTCTGACTCTCATTGAGTTCAGAGTTTTCAATATTTCCATCATCTTTTCCATTAGTCTCACTAATTGCCTCAGCTGCATTTGCCAGATTACTTTCCTCACCATTTTCGAAATTCTCACCTTTCTTTCCTTGGCCCTCCTCTTCGGTGTCGCCTTGTTTGATATTCCCGTCTTGAGGGTTCACGAAATTCTCTGACTGTTTGCTCATCATTTCTCTCCTATCAGTTTCTCCCTCTCCCTCTCCAATTTGATCTTCTACTTCTGTTGTGTTCTCACCCTGTCTAAGACGAATGGATTTATTCCCACTTCCACCTTCAATTGGCCTTGCTTTCTCAATGTTCTTGTTAGCGGTGGTGGATTCTTGCAATCTATCAGCCTCTTCTGTAGTCTCAGTCACCTCTGTTTTCCCTTTTCCTGTCACACTTTCAGACAAGGTTAGATTTACAGCTGGATTTGATGGATCATCAGTACTCACTGACGAGACCTTAACCGGGTATTCAAGACGGTGTTTCAAATCTTCAACTTCAGCTTCCTTTTTCGTCAAGATTTCTAATAATTCCATCACTTGAGGATTCTCATTCTCCACGTTCACTCTCTGCATTTTGATTTCACTCTGCTTCTCCTCAAGTGCGGCCTCCATGGTTTGTAGCTCCTCTTTAAGCGAATCAATGGTGGACTTAAACTCCAAGACTCTTCTGTCAAGCTCCATCTTTTGGGTTCTAATGGAGTACAGCTTCGTTGTCATCTCTTCGTTCTTCCTTTTCAACTCTTTGGCGTAGTATCTCTCCTTCTGTGAGGGTAAACAAATAGCAAAATATCACTAAATAGAATCTCATTAGCCATATATGCTAATCTTGTTTAATAATACGCTTCGTAATCAATCATAATTAATCATCCACCCCTCTCCCAATTCAACGGCACCCCCAAATTAAGAAAATCCCAAAAAAATAATTGGTCACTGATTAATTAAGGTGTTTTGGTCAAAACGGGTGTATCTCTTTAGAATATAATATGTCAGGAGCTTTTCAAAGAGCTTCTGGATCTGCATGTCGATTGAAACGGCAACATGAATACATACCAATTAACAGCTCAAAACAAGCACTGGTTTGCAAGCCATAATTTTCTGGGTGATTTTCTTTAAGGAGAAAACTAAAAACTCAAAAGGGGAGATGAGGGCATCTCAGCATTTGCTTAATTAGTAGGTGGCGTGCAAAGAGAAAGAGATTGATTTGTAGTTTAGTGAAAGCGGGTTGCATGAGAGAGAGAGAGAGAGAGAGAGAGAGAGAGAACCTGTAAAAGGTGGTGAAGAGAAATGAAGTCGGTGTCTTTCTCTTTGAGGAGGAGGTTGAAGATGCGCCTCTCCCTGAGCTTGTGTAGCACCATCACCCCAAGCAATGCTGCCCCAAATGCCATCACCAACATCAATCCATATGGCCTCCCTCTGCTGCTGTTGTTGCTGCTTCCATTCCCATTCCCCTTAGCCATCTCTCTCTCTCAATGGGTCTCTCTGAGTGATCTCTCTCTCTCACAGTCAGTCATAATAATAATGATTAATATTAGAGGTTAATTAATTCATATAAGCATGTTGCTTGTCACGCAAAAAGGACCCTGCAACTACTCTCTCGTTCTCTCTCACAAGAAAGAACTCACAAAGAGCGGAGATAACAAGGATGAAGTCAAGTGTGAGTAAGGATGGGAACTGTGTCCAGAGCACTGATTCTGGAAACTCCTCTTTACCTTTTCACATATTTATTTATTTCTTTGAGCATTCCCATGTTCTCTTTCAAAATTACAACAATGTCCCTCATTTTTCCATGGGGGTGTGAGATTTTACTTGGGCTTTTTAGTCCCTCAATTTCCCATATTGTCTAGTGGTCTCAGGTTCGGACTTTTATGACACCTGGGTAATGTATGTGTGAGAAACCACCCTCTACTTAGACTCCCTTAGACTATCGCTTCGCTTGTACTAATTTTTAAAATAAAAATCAATTACATCCATCCCAGATTTGTGGTAAGGAAGTCCCAACTTAAAAGCCCATATTTCTAACCTAAAAACAAAAAGGTAGAAGACTGTATTTTGTGAATTGGGCTGTAAGCCTTGTGGCGGCAGAAGAGAGTAATAGGGACTCTAAGGCCACCTCCACCGCAGCCCAATTTGCCAGGGCAAGAGGCCTCCCCAGCGGGGTTTGGACCTCCAACGTAGGAAAGAGAGCCCAGGCAAGTCCTGGGTCCCATCAGTCCGAGCAAGCCCAAGGGCAGATCTTGCATAGGCTTCAACCCAAAGGCGTTGATGTCAGCGAGTGCAAATCCAAAAAAATTTTACCATTGACGTGTGAGTTTCACACGCTAACAGTAAAAAAATTTGACTTCCGCTTGATGAATTTTTTTTTAAAAAATACCAAAAAATTCTTGATTTTTTCCCTATAAATACTTAACAATTTTATTCACTTTCCACACCAAATCTTCATTCAAACTCTTCTCCTTCCAATATTTTTTACTTTCCACACCAAATCTTTTCTGAAATATGAGATTATAATTTTTTTTAATGAATATCTGAAAATTTTATCTGGAATAAGACATGTGGCAACTGAGATTCTCATCCGAAAATCTTTTCTAAAAAATGATGGACACGTGGCAACCAAAAATCTTATATGAAATTTTAATTAGAAAATTTTATCCGAAATTGTTATCATAAATTTTAGGTGATAATTTTATAATAAATAGTGACACGTGACAACCGAAAATATTATCTAAAAAGCTTATCAAAATTAATGATTTAAAGTATAAAAAAAAATAAGAAATAAAGTACAATGAATAGTAATTGCCTTGCCCTAACCTTTTGGGGTGAAATCAAAAAATGCAAGACTGCCACTATTCACATGAATAGTAGCAGCTCTTGCCTTAGCCTTAGCCTTTTGGGGTGGACATACTCTAATAGGCCATGCCTACCTTCAAGCTTGACCCATTTAAACCAAAACTGAATATTTTGATCCAAATGCATAGCCACCACTTACCACCACTATTCACAAGCGCCCTCTTGCTGTCTCGAAGACTTCCACGATCACCAGGTAGATATATATTTTCTCTTTCCTATTTTTGCTTTGCTAAAAAGTCGTTTTGGGTCGTTATAGTTTGTCATTTTTACCATTTTGGTCCCTATTGTTGCAATTCTGTCAATTTTTCAAGCACAATCCTCAATTTCTTTCAACTTCTGTTAGTTATGGAAGGGCAATTCGGTCCACAAATTATTTAAAAAATACATTCCTTCAAAAAATAAATAATACAAATATTAATTTAAAAACTTAATTTAAAAATAAAAATAAAATCTCTCTCCCCTTGTCCTCTCAACGGCAACTCCCAGCCCCGGGACGACATCGTCCTCCACCTCCACGCCCACGCCACCTTCGTTTGGAGGAGCAGCTGCGTATGATTTTAGCTGCACTTTAAAATCAAAGCACTTGTTCTCTGTTAAACGATCAATTTGAAAAACCCAAAGGCGCTGAGATATTTCAGGTACCTCTTGCATCAATTTTGATTCGCCTTGTCTTTGTTTTCGGTCCCATAGATTGGGATTTTAGGGTTACACGTTGAAAATTAAAAGAAATTGAGAGAAATTGAGGATTGTTTGTTCTCCATAGTTGTGCTCCATGGAAGACATATTAGAACCAGCTGTGAATCTCGTTGAGAACCTACATAAGGAAGGCTTCGATGAAGGCTACGGAGACGGCCTAGTCGCCGGAAAAGAGGAGGCAAAGGAAGTGGGCCTCAAGCACGGCTTTGAGGTGGGCGAGGAGCTCGGCTTCTACCGGGGCTGCTCGGACGTGTGGAACTCTGCAATCCGGGTCGACCCGACCCCGTTCTCGCTTCGGGTCCAGAAGGGTGTGAAGCAGATGGAGGAGTTGATTGAGAAATACCCAGTTATGGAACCCGAGGACGAGAGCGTCCAAGATGTAATGGAGGCTCTGAGGTTGAAGTTCAGGGCGGTTTGTGCTTCAATGGGTGTGAAATTGGGGTATAAGGGGTATCCGGGAGCTGCTTCTGAAGCTAAGCAGATGTCGTATTGAGTTGGGTTCTTGTCGTTTTACTGTAATGGGTTAGTCTCAAGTTGATGTTTTGGTTGAAGGAGGAGTGTGAGTTGGTCAATTGTTTTGTGGGTTGTGAGTGTTACTCCTGGTCTTGTTCTCTAATCTTCCTCTATGTTTTAGATTTGTTCTTTACTCATAGAGTTTCCTAATATGTGTTGCTGAAATTATGATATGATTATGGTGTAATTAATTAGTTGAAAAATTCTACACTAAAGAACGTTTTGTTCTTCATGGTAATCTGATGAACTCTATTGTTTTCTATATGTCGAGTCTGAGTAAATTAACTGCAAGACAAGGTTCTTTGGCAATTTGATATAGCTTTTATAAACCTGGACTTCCCATTGCCTCAAATTTATAAACACTATTGCAAAGCATCCTTCATCGCAAATTTAGGTTGTGCTCGGATACTTTTATCACCAACCACTAGTAGCTAGCTGAAGTAGTGGCTAAGGTTAGAGGATTTTGTGGTCCGAGAGAAACTATGGCCACACTGTTTTTGGATGGTGTCTGTTCATTGTGGTAATCGGTGGGGTTTTTCTGCAGCTACTGATGAGCAAGGAGGAGAGAAAATGTTGAAGTCGATGCTTGGTTGCTGCAAGGTATACATTTCTGAAAGCAGAAACAGGGCTGCGCTGGAGGGCATTGAGCGAGCTGCTAAGCTTTTCTCAGAAGCACCCATTGTCAATAAGTTTGAAGATGAGACTTACAACAGAGTTGGTTACACTCTTGTCTCCAAGTTGGCTCCAAAGCCATCTGAGGATCCTTGTCCCTTGAGGATGGCAGTGCTTGCCATGGTTAAGGCTGCTTTCGAAACCATCGACCTTGAGATGCATTGTGGAAGTCATCCCCGGCTCGGAGTTGTGGATCATATATGCTTTCACCCCCTTCTTGGTGCTTCTTTGGACCAAGTGGCTGGGGTTGCAAACTCTTTGGGGGCAGATGTTGGCTCTAATCTCCAAGGTTTGCTCCCTTGACTGTGAGACCACATTATATTGTCGATAGTAGTAGAATGATGAGCAAATATGCTTTTAAAGATGATTAACTGGAAAGTAGAAATCATCTGGCTATGTTAAGCTATGTGATTATTAGCAACAGTCAAATTCAAATTCAAATTATATGGATGGAAATCAGTTTATATTCTACATGGATTGCTGATAATCTCAAATGTAGCCTGCAGTTCCTACTTTTCTCTATGGAGCTGCCCATGAAGAGGGGAGGACACTTGATTCAATCAGAAGAGAGCTGGGTTATTTCAAGCCAACTTCTAGTGGAGAACAGTGGGTTGGGGGGCCAAAATCAGAATACTTGGTGCTGAAGCCGGACAAGGGACCCCCTCAAGTGACTCAGGGAAAAGGTGTCATTGTGATTGGAGCAACCCGGTGGGTTGATAACTATAACGTCCCAGTTTTTTCTACTGATATTGCTGCTGTTCGTAGAATTGCAAAACGAGTGAGTGGCAGAGGAGGTGGACTTCCTTCAGTCCAAGCCATGGCACTTGCGCACGGTGAATCTGTCATTGAGGTAGCTTGCAATTTGTTGGAACCGGAGAAAGTGGGAGGAGATAGGGTTCAGCTTGAAGTTGAGAGGCTTTCAGCGGAAGAGGGTAAAAGAGTGGGGAAGGGCTACTTCACTGATTTTTCTCAAGAAAAATTAATTGAAAGTTACTTGCAGTCAGGTTGCTGTATGTAAACTTGTTCTTTCATGTATCCTTGTGAGGCTACTGATTCTTGAATTGTCCAACGTATGAAATTTGGATGGTTCTATTGGCATTATATTTGAAAATCGCTGAGGCTTTGATTTGTGTAAATTTTTAGTCATAATAATCCCAATGAAATTGCTATTAAAATAATAATAATAATAATAACCCCAATATTAGGAGAAACACTCTCATGCAACAGGGATACATCCCGTCCAATAATGTAATGACACGTGGGATAATTTTTCCACGTGTCATTGTGTTATTGACATGAGATAAGAAAACAATGTTATTCTCGTTAAAAGAAATGTTTTTTTTTGCAATATTAGGAATATCTTGCAGAAGAACAAATTTATTTAGTTTTAGCTAGAAACAGCTATGTCTTTTTTTAAATGAGGCTAGAAACAGCTGTTGCTCATACTAGTCAAACAAGATTTAAGGCCTCTCTTTCAGCATGTGTTGGATGGCACAAACTATCTGAGACAAGCTTTGATGAATAAAGTCAAAAGATTTTCTTTCAATATGATAAGGCCAATGCACCCGTGATGAGACTTCATAACTCGTCTGGTTGAAGCTTCTCCATCTGTCGTTGTCAACTCACTGTCCAAACATTAGTTTCTTTCCCAATTTTTAATTAACTTGAAGCTTTGGCGTTGTTTTTGGAATTTATTATTTGAATTCTATCTGTTTGTTGTTCTTAATCATGTATTTTTTTAGTATAATTATGGAAGTCTATTTGGTGCCTACTGCTTAGTAGTAGTACCTCACCCGACAAAGCATGGCAAATTCTTATCCACACTAATAATATTAGATTGGCTGCATAAATCCTTTTCATCTATTAGATAGACAAGTGATAGTCTGAATTATAGGGGATGGGGATTTCTCACACACACACAACTATGATGTCGTGGGGATTCAAACATGAGACATTTGGTTTGTAAATCAAGGTCATTTTCCACTAAACTAAACTCTATTGGCAGATAGACCGTACATGATAAACCTTCTAAATGATAGTTGAAATTTTGTGACAGAATTGTTGGTTTGGTTGATAAGAGTTTTGGAGCCGCAAATTATGTGGCAAAAGGTCTGGCTTTGTGCAAAAAGGGTTCATAGATAAAAATGACATGTCTGTCATCCGGTCATATTGTTTCCCACAATCAATGGGAAATTTGATTCTGCAGCTTATATTCATGGCATTGCGTGTTGGGTTTAGGGCTCCAATTTCATCTCAACATTAAATATCTTTTGTAAGCAAACTTATCCAAAAAGCAAAACTTACCAAGATTGCAATTTGTAATGCTAACAGAGTCTGCTTATTGTTTGAAGAACTCTTGCTTCAAAGGAAACAGCCATGGAAAGAGGAAAAAAGTAGCCTCGGTTGAACTCTTACTTCACGAGAAATACTGGTGTAGAACAAGAATAACACTATTTTTCTATTTCGGTCAATTACAATATGTCCCGCGTAATCATTTTTTCTCTAAACATAACATTATTGGTCGGTATTCGCATTTCACACAAGTTTTTCTTCTTACGTTATACTTCTTTCAACAAAAGATGCTCATACGTTAGATAAGTCCAATATTTGGGATGCGTTCTTCCCAATTACACATGGCTTTCTTGCGTGTATACTTGGGTGTTGTGCAAGAGTGCCAAGAGAGAGATAATTTATCATGTGGTGTTATTATAATGGATATCATACGGACGGTGGTGATTAAAAAAATGCATCACATTCACCATATGGTTTATGCTTTCAAAAGGGTTTGGTCATTTTCATTTATTTTTATTATTATTATTATTATTATCGAGCATGGACTTGTCGAATTGTGGGGGCACATGCTTACACGGATGCTGCCTCAATCCTGAGTCACAGAATTGTTCTTATATATGCGTCTTCGCGTCTGTCAGGTCTCGTGAAAAAGACACTAACTTTAGCTGCAAAGATTAAACATTGGAGAGAAGAAATGGATCATAGCCCAGCTTGCAAGGTACGGACTTGTTAAAGCTATTGAAATTGAAAGATTGATCATCTTATCTTCTGTAGTTTTCTTTTTCCTTTTTCTTTTTTTTCATCATCTTCTTCTTCTCTGTTTTGGCAGAAGAATAAATCATCTAGTCTCCTTAGTTTCTCATATAGTTCTTCTTGTGTTTATTTTTCTCATGCCTAGTTGCTAGTTCAACTGCAGAATCATTCGTCAAGTTTGTGGCGATTATGTGTGTGATTTATGAATTAATTGAAACCAACCTATTCTTCAATAATGCAGCAGCTTCTTTTCAAGTATAACTTAGTAGCTTACTTTACTCTATGTATAATGTTCATCAAACAAATTAAGATTTCTTAGAAATGTTCATCATGCATTTGGATTCTGGTTTTTGGGGCTACGGAGAGGGAGGGAGGGAGGGAGGGAGGGAGAGAGAGAGGAAAGAAAAAAAGGATCCACAAGAAGACAGACTAATAATGACAATGAATAAATAACAAAAATACTGGCCATACATTCGTCAGTTGGCTAAGTGGAAGCTTCATGACATATGTTGTGATTCACGTGAAGACGATCTGCATAATTAAAGTGTGATTAGTTTGAAAAGTCAGAGTTTAAGATGATGTTTCAAGATGGCAAAAAGCCCACTGGATCTCTGTGGTGGGTTTTTAGTTCTATTAGTTGAAAATGTTTCCTGCCATTCTAACCGGCGACATATATGAAGTAAATTTTATGTACATTATCCTCTTATTGTCTCACTCGAACACTTCGATAAAGATGATGTCGTTTTTGACACCAGGACAAGAAGAAGAAAACCATAGACCAGTCCATGCTACTCTGCTGTAAGCTTTACATATCTGAATCGCGCAACCACGCTGCTCTGGACGCCATTGAACGTGCTGCCAGGCTCGATCCAGAGTCTGTCATTGTTAACAAGTTTGAGGACCGAGCTTACAATAGGGTCAGGTACACTATTGTGTCCTATGTTATGCATGATAGCACAGGAAGTGCCATATATAGCCCCTTGCAGCAAACTGTAATGGCCATGGCTGAGGCAGCCTTTGGAGCCATTAACCTTGAACAGCACTCCGGGGCTCACCCTCGGTTAGGGGTTGTCGACGACATTGTCTTCCACCCGCTGGCTAGGGCATCTCTGGATGAAGCTGCTTGGCTTGCCAAGGCAGTGGCAGTGGACATTGGCAATAGGTTCCAAGGTTGGTCCTATCCTAAGCTTTTAAAATAACTCTTTAAGTCAAGGAAATGTAACCCTTCATGATTTATTGACTAATAAGCTTTCTTTCATACTGACTGCAGTGCCAGTATATCTGTATGCTGCAGCACACCCTACAGGCAAGGCCCTTGACACCATCAGGCGTGAGCTTGGCTACTACAGACCCAATTTCATGGGCAGCCAATGGGCAGGATGGACAATGCCAGAAATCCTCCATGAGAAGCCTGATGAAGGGCCAACTAGTATATGCCCCGCCAGAGGCATCTCGATGATTGGGGCACGTCCATGGGTTGCCTTGTACAACATACCCATATTGTCCACAGATGTCGCAGCCACTCGACGGATTGCACGGATGGTGAGTGCCCGAGGGGGCGGACTCCCAACTGTGCAAACACTGGGCCTTGTTCATGGTGAGGACTCCACAGAGATAGCTTGCATGCTCCTAGAGCCCAACCAGATTGGAGGGGACAGAGTTCAGAACCATGTTGAGATGCTAGCGGCTCAAGAAGGGCTGGATGTGGAGAAGGGTTACTTCACTGATCACTCACCAGATATGATTATTGAAAAGTATATGAAACTAACATCTGAAGACAGAAACTAATCAGAAGAACTTGTTTGGACAATGTGATCCAAGAGAACAAACTAAGGGATGAAGAACCATGATGCCAAATGGAAGTTGCATGCTTGCATATTCTATTAATATATCTAAAACAAAACTCACTGTCATTTTACATCAGCCTTGTAATCTATGGATACATTAATGTACACTTGGGTTTTCCAACTCTTACTTCTGCTCTGTCATGTACATTGCTTTTTCTGGAAATCTTCAGACAACAGTGTCTGAAGCAGCTCTTGGAACCTCACAGCACCAGGACCTGGCCTAAACACTGAATCATTACCGCGCACTGAGCATGGGTCAGCCCCACCTTCTGGGTTGCCTATACACCAAGCCCCAGGCGCAAACCGGCTTTTTCGACCGAGAAGTTCTTTATCAATTTTGTCCAAGACAGGGTCATCCCTTGCAAATTTTCGAGCAAATGGAGCATTGCTCTTTACCATTTTGTCAAAGTCCTTCATAGACAACGAGATGGGGTGCTGCTTCGGAGGGCTGTCCCAAGCAATGTAATGGAGATCATGGCTTATTGCAGTGTGGCGAAATTCCTCATTGTTGCAAATAACAGTATGAAAATAGCCTTCTGGAGAAGAAACAAAATTGGTGTAATACATAAGGATGGTACGTGGTAGGTTATCCCAGCCCCATATACAATATTCAAGAAACGATCGCGATAGCATTACCCAAGCTGAACCTGCACACAAGGAAAAATGAAAAACTAGTGTTCAAAATAATTTAGAGAGAGATTCATTGCTAATCGCAAAACGAAAAATCAAAGTCATAAATTACTATATTTAATCAGTAAAGCTAATGTCATTTGCAGAAGAAACGGTTTTTTAACATATAACTTTGTCTATCTTCATTCTATTTTTCCCTCTCTTGGGGTTGAGGGAGTAGTTCAGCTGGACACAAGACATAGCTTCCATTGAGGGCTTATTTGAGGGACACCCTTGTAGGGCTCACTCCGCATTGTATTTCACTAATCCAACCCGTCTATTTTTTAGATAATCATTCAAAAACCATCTCTACAAAAAATCATTGGAATCCGATATTATTTGACCACTCAATTGAGTTATTGAAATTTTAGTACTTTTTTGAAGCACCGTCATTGATTTCGTAGGACACAATTGGATGTCGAAACAATTTCCGATTTGTCTAATTTTTTGCAAGGATGATCTATGAATGTAGACTTCAAAAATTGATGGTTTGGATCGTTGAAAGCAAATTCGTAGGTGACCCTAAAGGGTGTATATATATGCAAAATAAATCATTTTAGCTGATCCTTCTAGATTGTTTCAGAGTTGAATTACCCAATATGCATACATTTTGATTTGCATGAACAACACACGTCAAACTAAAAGAAAAGAAATGCATTTCAACATTTTTCAATATGTTTCTGCTATGTAAATTTTTATAACCATTCAACAAGCAAAGGTGCAATAAAACATTTCCAGGGTGTAGTTACCTGTAAACAATGGGATAGAAATTACCAAATTTAATTACCTGTAAACAACTTGAATGATGTAGGAAGTGATCGGCGCTGAGTGGTCCATGCAAGGTCAGATTTTTTTGATAAGTACAGGCCTGGATCAATTATGATTGGTTTTGCTCTTTGATTCCTGCAAAACAAGAGATTATAGCATAATCATGATAATAAAATACAAAGATAGAACAGTTTCTTATTGGGCTCAATACATTTCACTTACAGTTTCCATCCAGTAATCTGCATAAGTTCAATAAAGTTGAGGTTTCTAGACAGATTGGAGAAAGCATGAAGCAAATCTGCACAATTAGGAAACAGATCAGGTAACATGAGACTGATATTCCTCACATGACATACATTTAGATTATATCAAACAGGCAGACAGTTTAATACAAATATGGTTCTGCTAGTAGCATAAATAACAATGCCATGAGACTTTAGGGTAAATCAACAGGATAGAGCAGTTGTCACTCCTAGGACCAAACAAATGCCCATAAATGAAAGCCGAAACATAGACAGGCATCACTAGCTCAATGTTCCAAAGCAATATATTTTGAAAACTACTGTACCCCTTTTATAAATGCCTCGTTACTTATAGGATTCTGGTACACCTTTGATAGACTATTTCATACAAAGGAACAGCAGTGTGCAGATAGCATGTCATTAGTCAACGAGGACAGGCTTCATCACATATTCGAATAAAGTGTCAAATCATCAGGTATTAGCACAACATTGAATATTAGCAGGCAAAATTTAGGGCTATATTGGCGGGCATGTCATCAGAAACACTTTATGAGGTACTTTTCACTATCCAAGTTCATAAGCAAACAAATTCAACAAAAAATTATTATTATTATTATTATTATCAATTACGACATGGTAAGGGATAAAAGTATACATTGAATCAGCAAAACATTCTCTGCTACCACACTAAAATGGATCAAAATCCATCATAATTAGAAATAACATAGTGGACAATACACAAATTCATGCTGCAAAAAAATGCCCTTTCAATTGTCACAAAGTCCTTAAAACGACGAACATGACAAGCAACATTTTGGCAGGCCATTTGGGAGAAAAGAAGCTCAGTCACAAGCAATAGCATTGTTACCCCAACCCTTATCCAATATGCAAAATATGTATCAAATCTCTCTTTAAAAAATCAAGGGCAGCAAATATTCATACAAGCATAGTAGTAATGATTACAGCATCCATGATATCAATGAAAGTAACAATGAGCAATGAGGGAAGGTTGGTACTAACCATCTTGTGTCATGAGAGGATAATCTGACGCACTGAGGTTTATAAACCAGTCCCACTCTGAGCTCTCCTTTAACAGAATGGAAATGGCTTGTAAGGTACAAGCAATCATTGTAGGGCCCTTATACGTCACCAAATTGGATTGAGCCATAACACGCACATTCTCCACTTCACTAAAAGTAGGATCAGCCTTCACTGAACTTGCCAATTCCAACCTTTCACGAGGCGGAGCCTCAAGATCCAAATGTAGGATATATTGATTTCTTGGATGATATACCGCGCTTAAAGTCCTCATCATCCTATGGCTATCACCCTTTGTACCTGATATAAGATATGCTAATCTAGGTGCCCCAATTTCAGAACGCCCATTGGTTTCCAATGATCTTTTCAAATCAGATTCAACAAAATACTCATTTGAGTCATCCGATTTTGAGAAGGAAATAATGTCAAATGGCAACTGCTCTCCACCATGTGGGGAGGTAAACAGCCCAGAAATGCCCGATAAAAAGAGGGTAATGAATATGATCAAGCTAGCAAAGAATGGAATAACCCAAACCCTATCACCAAAGACCCTTGCTGAGTGGGGATTCATATACTTCCTCATACTCATTTACTGGTTCCTTATCCAACAAATATTTCGGTTTAGAAACCTAAACCCTCTGTATCAGCTCAGAAACTGAATCAAAGCAAAACCCACCAATCTTCTAAAGACTACAGAGCTTAAGTAGCAAGGAGGTTAATGACCAAACCAGAAACGCCTTCTTAACAAGTATATAAATAACATCTAAGCTGAGAGTTGATAGTTTTCAGCACAAAACATGGGTGTCAAGCAAAACAGAATCAAGTTCATAACTCTAGCATTCAGGAGCTACGATGGCGAACAAGGCAAGTGAAAAATGTATGATTTATTTACAGAAACAATAAGAACGCTTACACAGATGCGTTGGCTGCAAAGGAACGATACCAGGTGAAGGAGTGAGAGGTATCTATCAAGTAATAATCAGAGTTATGAAACGTCAAGATGAATTTAAATGCAAAGGAGTTAAATTTCAGTTTTCAGAGGGCCATGAATGGAGCGTCTTTTAAACTCCAACCAAACCCAGATCTAACTTACCAAAATTGAATTGAAAGCAACAAAAGCAAACCACTTGAAAGTGTAAGTTTGATAAGCGTCAATCAAGGAAGTTTGGCAGAGAGAGAGAGAGAGAGAGAGAAACTGCCCAGATAAAAAGGAAACAGAGTATGAATGCTTACTCAGGTGGAGAGGACCCAGAGAAGATTCAGAAACAAGAGAAAGCTCAAGTATTGAGTCTCAGAAATTAAAAGGCTCAAGTAATGACTTTTGGTATTGGGAGATGAGATCATCAGAAAGTGGGCAACCTGAGAGGGACTAGGGCAGGCAGAGAGAGAAGCAATGGGCGATTAAGTAAAAGAAGACTTTGCTTTAAATGTGGACAAAAACATAATTTATTCTTATTTATTATATTTTTTTTATAAGCAATATTGAAAGAGAGAATTTTCTCACATAAAACGTCATGAGAGTTCAAATTTGAGACTAACGGTCTGCAAATCAATGACTTTTCCACCAAACCAGACCCGTTAGCAAATGCTAAATGTTCAGATCACAAGAAGATCAATGTACAAGCAACAAGTGATGGTATCCAAATATGTCCCCGCCCTATTCTAATCCGCGTGGGTTAAAGTCATTAATGAGTAGCAAAAAATTTATAGTTTAATTGCATTGGAATGTAACGCTGAACATTGTGCTTAGTGGTGACATTTGTTATCATTAAACACCATTTCATTCCTTCCTAAATATTATTATAAAATTCTCAAAAAAGAAAACTATAGTTTAATAGAGCTATGGCCCACAGACCTTCTTTTGTGTGGGGCTATGGCCCACATACTAAAATAAAGTGAAAATATTGGGTGGTGGTTGAGATTATGATCGGGAGGGATTACCTTAACTATATGAAATGACAATGAGATAGGCATTTTTGCAAAATTATTGTTCTGCTTATAATACCCTTTGTACTTCTTTGCACCTAACTGATATTATAGTTTAATAATTCTGAAACCATGGAAGAGTATGATAAATTCACATTTGTTGTTTGATTGTGGGGGTTATTTGATGGTTAATTAGTAAGGAATTAAACTTTTAGATTAACGAACAATTTTTTTAAAAAATAGAAAAAACGATAATTGTATTCATAAATTAAACACAAAGACCATCAGTTACAAGGGCAAATACAAATACCCATAAAAACCAGCGAAATTTCAGCATAAAAACTACATGCATAAACAAACTAGACATGAATTGCAGCTCCCAGATCTACCAATACAACTACAACAATTGTTTTGCCTTACTAATTACTTTAGTAATTACTTTGATATGTTATAAACTTTGGGGTTTTTCTTTTGTAATTTGGTTAGTTTTTAGATTGGTAAAAGAACATTTTGGTGTTGTTCAATCCAAATACCAAGGCTAAAACATTATGCCCTTTTGCTAATTGAACTTTTTTGGTTCTAAAATAGCTTTTACAAGGCATTGGAGTGGAAAAGCCCTCAATTCTTGGCTCCTACTCTGTATTGTGTGATAGCTTTGAGGGTCCTATTCTAATATATTACTCTTAATCCGTATGTTTAATTGTGGGTTTCCAAACTAATCTGGTTCTTGTGACTTGGAAGTTTTTATCTTCAATGAAATTAACATTTCTTGAATCTATCATCTGAAACTTCAACTCAGCTTAGAAGAAGATCATAAAGTTTGCCCTTGCAGCTGCTTTTGTGGTTGGCTGAAAGGAAAAGCTTGTTCATTGTGGATCACCTCAAGGAAGCCCATCTCATGGACTCAAGACCTCGCTTTGGGCCGCAAAGTCCAGACTCATCCCAAAAGAAGGTTTTGTGTGTGTTTTTAATTTAAAATAAATTTTTCATATTTTAAAAGTATATAATATTTGTGATTTCCAAATCTTTATAAATTTTATTTGGTTTATTGGGTATTTCATGTGATATATTAAGGTTTTTATTTATTTTAGTTTTACTGTTTGACTGATGTGATTAGCCAATGAAAATGGTGATGAATGGGAGAAATTTACAGGTTGACTTTTCGATGAAAATGTAGGAAAAGCACGCCGTCGTTTTCTGTGGTGTGATCGGCTATGCGGATCTCGCATATGGTACGAGCACTAGTATGAGATGGGATTAGACCTTAGACCTCTCTCTCTCTGTTTATATCTTAGGTACTCTGACACTGACGTTCATGAAACAGAAGCCCTATACAATATAATATAAATATAAGATTCCATCCCAACCTGCACATCTACAATCTAGTAATCTACCTCGCACTATTTGTCAACAGGGTTTTGAAGGTCTTGCAACCATTTCGTAACTTTTTTCCAACTGCGAGATGAACTAGGTTAATCATTGCCTGAATTGTGTGGCCGATTTGTCACATGGAATTTGCTTTCTTTCCTTTCTTTTTGATGAACGCGGAATAAAAGGGGAGGATTTATTCACGATAAAAATGTTGTGAACTTGAATGAAGGAAGCTTACATTCAATGATTTTTGAAAGTTGGGTAAAGCAATCTTTGTTACTGGACCCAAATTATGTTGCTTGGTTGGGTTTTGACTTTTGATCGAGGTAAAACTTGAGAGCATCATTAATATCATCACTGCTTGAATAAAAAAAAATGTAAAAGCAGGTTCAAGTATTGCCAAAGTTGGCAGCCTCAGATGGCGTCAAAAGCTGATACATGCTTTTGTACCATATGATATTTATACATATATGGGTCAGATTCACATATATACATATAACAAGTATTGGGTTCTGTGCAGAGCTTCAGAGATTTTACACCACACCATACCATACCTGAAAGCCTTACCTCAACAGGGGAGCTCACTGACAATGCCCCATGATACATCTTACGCAAAGACCAAACAGATCAAATCTTTTTGTTCTTCCTTCTCGTAAGCTTTTTAAGCTAGCTTGCTGGTTTGATCTGAGATTTTAATCACTTATTATTTTATGTTGTATGTATCTTTCTCTGAAAACAATCCAAGTTCAAGCTATTTGGGTGACCTAGAAAGCTGTTTGTATTGTATCTCTAGGAGTAGGTGGATATTAGGCACCGCCCTAGGTTCTTATTATTTGGATTGGACAAGAAAAAAAATGCTGTTTTGGTTTTGGATTTGCCAATGAATTTGTCTTAATTACTAGAAGAAAATTTGCACATGAGAAAAGACCCAATTGATTATGATTCATGAATGACTGTTGACTGGGTCACTAGACTAGATATATAGAATGATCAAAACTATGTATGTATGTATGTTGATTTCAAAGTTGGGTAGGCCTGGAAGTCCAAGTGGTCCTCAAGGAGAATCCAATGTAAATCATGTAGCAATTTCATATGACAAGCTCAAACCCATATTCAGATGAAAAAGGGAAGGGAAAAAAATAGAAGCTCATAATTCTTAAATTAATCATTGTTGTTAGTAATTTGTCCTGCATAAGATCTGTCCAGGGCAATCTGTTATGATTTTATGGTGTGGCTTGTGAGAAATACTTCCCTATTCTGTTATGTTGTTCTTCCTTTTTTTGTCTCTCTCGACTTTTTAATAAGTGACATGATGAGAGAAATAAGAAGAAGAGACAACGCAACTGGGTTAAGAAAGTTTTTCTTGTAGCTTGTTGGGTTGGGGGCTATGGTTTGGCTGTCTGCACAACTTTTTGAATGCAGAGAGAGAGAGAGAGATGACTGTTTGGCCAGGTCACTTCAATGGATATCAAGCCAATCATCAACCAAATCGCATGCCACAGTGAAAAAAAGGTTTTGTTTATGAAATTATATAATAATATAATGGGAGTACACTGAAATATTTCCTATACCTTTTGGTAAAGATTATAATGATAATGATGATGATGGTGATGATGGCATCAGATCCTCCTACCGCAAAACCCAATTGGCTCCTCCGTTGGTAATTTGCCAAAACAGCTCATAATTAGCTCAAGACATATGTAAGTGGCTGCACTGTGTCATGAGCTAATGATGGAACCAATTGGCTAGTTGAATTTGTTGAATATTTCTTTATATATACATATGCATGTATGTATAGATAGATGAAACCAAACTATAACTAGAGTGTTTCACTGTGATGCAACTGTGTCATGAACTGACTATTTTCAGAGGATTATAGTCCAGTGTGGTATGGCACATAATAATATTGCTCATAAGCCTGAGTTGTGATAAGGTGACACTGACATCCACCAGCCTCGAGTTTTTGGACACCCTAGAGAAAAGAAGTTAACGTCATTCGTCCACGTGCACCTGCGTAACTTATTCACGTTAATGCATATGAAATTTACAATGATGAGATTTTAACAAAACCCAAGTCCAATAGAGCAAAAAGAATCAAAGTTCCTTGCAGCTAACTTTCAATTTAAATCACGCCTCCTGTCTAATATGGTAGGTCCTTTTGGGAGCACAACCTCACCACTGCCAACTAAAAGTCATGAAGATGGTGAACCAGGCATGGTAGACATTGTTCTGGCTCGCTTCATAAGTATGCAATAAAGATAACCATATTATTCAATTCAATCTTTGCCTGTGGGGAAAGCAGAGTAGGAAAAACAAATGCAGTGTTTGTGCCCAAAAGAGGAGCTGGCTTGAGCACACACAAAAACCCGCCACTATTATTAAAGGCATGAAAATTCGTAATAAAGTGTGTTTAAAGTTCAAACAATCAACACGTCCTGCACCGATCAATTTAAAACCAAATCTTGCTATTTTATAACAGAATATATATATATATAAGGATAGTATATGAATTTGATAATTGGCATCCAACTTTTGCAATAATGTAGGAATTTAGACGTAGATTCTAGTGTCCATAGTGTTCCTTTAAGCTAATCTAAAGCTTTGAGTATGTTTTTAAATGGTCCAAGTCATAGAAAACAGAGAATGCATGTGCCATTGTGAAATAGTGACGTACCTAATATGAATGGCGCCACACTCACATACAAATTATATAAAATTACTCCCACAAATTCAAGGTAGGTGAGTGCCTAAGTACAATTAAGACATTTTATCACCCAAAAAAAGGTGCAAGTATGACATTTTATATTATATTTCTCCTAAATTTGTATAACTATCATTGGAAAACTTAAGAAAAGGTCTCATTTTACATCGGAGTAGGCACGCTGATGATTTTATTGGATAAATATAACGTTTTGAGAAATACTCTCAAGTAACACTATTACCGTAACAAATCGAGAGTATTAACAACATTTATGTTATATCAAGACTACTTGTGAAGAATTGAGATCCGTATTTTGTGGATTTGAAAACACTACAATCGACCTCAGATAGTTGGAGCTAGCTTTGTTTGGACCACTTGATTGCAAGACTCGTGATCATGCAGTTTTGGAATATTAAAAATCTTTTGCACCATCTGTGCAGCAGCATTACTATTTAGCTAGGTAGACAAATTGTGCAATATTGTGCATGCATCAGACATGTATGCCCAGCTGAAGGCTCACTTCTTTTCTGGAAAAGCTCCTTTTGCTTTAACAATTCAAGCACTGTGAACTTATAGCTTTGATCACCTAAAGACAAAACTATTTACAGATAGCGACAATGCAACTTTTACAACCTCATGCATTTCTCATATCTTCATCCCAAATTCAATCAACTTTTAGCTGAAACTTAGGGGAAGGCATTAAAAAGATAATTGGTATTCTTGGCATACATGTATGTATGAGAGAGAGAGAGAGAGAGAGAGAGAGAGAGAGAGCAAAGGGTTGGGTTGTTTTCAGTCCCGATTCTCGAGAAAACCAAGTATATGAACCTATAATTTCTGCTCAAAATTTGGCTGTTCACTGGTAAAGTACAAACCCAACTCAGCTCCCTACAAATTCTGATAAAATCTTTACAGCTCAGGTGCCTGGTGGCAGCGACCTTTAGCTCAGCAGCATAGTAAAACAGTAAACATAGTTTAGACTTTAGACTTAGTCTATTATTAGACTTAGTAGTTAGATATATAGATGGATATAGATAGATTATAGATAGATGCCAAGCTCTATGGAAACAGGGCAAATCTGCTAATACAATCCTAAAGTACTCGTAAACTCCACAGCAACCAAGTAGTTAGCAGTAAAAAATTAGAATACAAATTAATTTATATTTTTATTATAGAAACAAAGAAATGAAAGAGTAAACAAAAGACTTGAACAGAAAACGAAAACCTCGTCTCCTTCCCACGAGAGGGATTTTCCCATAAACGAAAAGCCCTGACCCCAAAGCCATTTGCTTTCTTTTATCCCTCTCTCATGTCATATCATGCATTGCAAGTAGTTTAGAGAGAGAGAGAGAGAGAGAGAGAGAGAGAGCGAGAGAGAGAGAGAGAGTCCTTTAACCCCTTCTCACTTCTCTCTCAGTTCACCCCACGACATTTGTTTTCCTTCGCCAGCTCATTTCATTCATTCATATTCATTCAACCCCATTACCAACCAACCTCTTTCTCTCTCTATCAAACTCCTAACGCTTAATTTTTTTTCTTTTCTTTTCTTTTCTTTTTTTTCTCTTTCTATCTACAAGACTGCAACTTTCAACGTTTTCCTCCACCAGATCTCTCGGAATAAATCCATGGAGATGCGTGCCTCTTAGACCCTTTTAATTACTTGCCTTTCTTTGTGGTTTTCTGGGCTTTTTTGAGTTTTTCCTCTTGTTCCCAATAGAGCCCATTATCCATCACCCAGACCCATGTTATTTTCCTTGATTTTATTAGCTTTTCACTGACTTTCTCTTCGATTTCTCTCTGAAAAGTCTTGTGGGTTTTCTGGGTTTCGATCGAAAACCGTTCTTTTCAGAGAGAGAAGCGAAAAAATGGCGAATGGAGTAGAGAGGGAAACTGGGTTGGTGCTGTTTAGCGATGATGAGCTGAGAGAGATGAGTGGGGTCAACAGAGGCTCGGACCATATAGAGGTCACGTGTGGCTGTACCAGCCACAGATATGGTGATGCTGTTGGGAGGCTTAGGGTTTTCGTCAATGGTGACCTGGAAATCACCTGCGAATGCACCCCTGGTTGTCAGGAAGGTCTTTCTCTCTGCCTTGCTTTGTTGTTTTTGGGAAAAGGGTTTTGATTTTAATGCATGTTAAATGTGCGTGCCTGTGTTTTGAGTTTGAGTTCATCGTGAACTGGGTTTTGACGTTGATGGGTGTCCCTTTCTGGTCTTTTTAATCTGCCGTGAGATAAGAGTTTGTATTGGTGTCGAGTTTCTCTTTGCAAGTTGTCCATTGTATTTTTTCCGGTTATACAGTTTAAGTGTATGTTGTTTTGTCTCAGTGAATGTCTTCTCCTTGATTTTATGCAACAACGTAATGCAGCTATGTACTTGTACACTTTCTTGCTTCATATGGTTGAGTTTAGATTGTATCGTGGTCTGTTTGTTGACTAAAGGGCTCTTCTTTGAGGCGGTGTGTTGAGAATGAAACCTACATTGCCATTGTGGTGGTGATCGGGACCTCCTGGACTTGGTTTTGGTTTTGGTTTTGATGTCCAAGTTCTGTTCTTTCTGTTCTACAGAGTAAGATGATGTGGAGTTGCATACCATGGTTTAGTTTTTATAGGGTTTTATCTATCTTTCTTTCTTCTTTCTTGTAATTTGAACAAGTGTGGTTGATGAAATTGCATTTTCATCCTTGGCTCATGGGCATTGATAGTATTTTTGTTCTTTGGCTATCAGTGTTTTCTTGCAGCTAATGAACTTTGCACTTGATTTCTGATGAGCAATCAAGCGCATAACTTTCAAGCTAGGCTTTGTTATTTGATGTCCTTATGCGCATCTGGTCTTGTTTCTACAGTGCTATTATCAATAAGCAATGAGAATATGGCGTGGAATTTTCCAAAGCACCTCTTTCTGACAACCGAGGATCTGAAAGTGTTGCATCCTCATAATTATGCATATTGGGTTTGCCATAGCTCATGGACTTTATTTTCTTTCTATTGAGTACTTTGAAAACATTAGAGGATCTAATAAGATTCTATGTCTTCACTGTACGTTGAATTTCCAGTTTATTTTCCTCATCTAAAACAACTTGGTACATTAAGGACAGTTGTTCTGTTCGTAGAGCAAATAGTTACCTTGAAGCCATGAATAGGAAAGCTATTTGGTTACTGTCTTAACTTCGTAACTGAGATCACCTGCTTACAACTTTCTTGTCTTGAAGTGATGTCTTTGTACTTTCAGTACTTTTCGTGGTTCTAACAAGATAAGGACACAGCACATTAATGTTTAATTATGTAGTTAATTTAGCTATATCTAAGCGAGCGTGATGCCTTGAGAATATCCAGAAAATGGTAAAGGTTCTTTTTCTTTTAGCATGTGAAACTTTACCTGGCAGGAATGCAAGCCTTTTCAAGTATTGTTTAACTACTTTAAGTGATCATGAGGAAAGCTCACATTGAAGTGTCTGATGCTTATGGTTATATTCAGGTTTTTTGTTTCTATTTCATTTCAAATCTTGCATTTTAAGCATCTGAATTTTTTTCTCTTTGTATTTTAATGACTAGACAAACTGACTCCTGCTGCATTTGAGAAGCATTCTGGAAGAGAGACAGCTAGGAAATGGAAGAATAATGTTTGGGTAATTGATAATGGGAAGAAGGTTCCACTGTGTAAAACAGTGCTGCTCAAATACCACAACGAGGCATCAAAACATGCTAATGCTTCCCACAGATCTAACAATGGACGGGCTTGTCACCGTGATGAGTTTGTTTGCTGTACTAGATGCAACAAGGAGCGCAGGTTTCGTCTCCGGACAAAAGAGGAATGCCGGATTCACCATGATGCTTTAGCTGATGTGAACTGGAAATGTGCTGAGCTGCCATATGACAAGTATGTTCCTCTCTTACATTGAATAAATACTTTACTCATTAATGGATCAGGTTGTTTTTTTCTCTTATACTTTAGTCCATTAACCATTGTTAACAATGTGAAGCATATGAACAAGCTTGTTCCATACTTATGCTAATGGTGTCTAAAGTTATTATGGTTTTAATATTCTGTTCTACTCAACTTTTAGAACCATTAAATGATTGCTTATTGAAGCGACTATAGTTCTATTGTTCTCCTATTTTATGTTTATGTATACTGTTCATTCAGCAAAAATGGATTTTACTTCAGAGGAATAATATTCTTTTACTATGTAATGAACTTGAATACTGCCTTAGGAACACATACCCCTGAAAATGGAAGGCACTAATTTTAGTAGATGTTATTCCGCTAGAATGTTTAAAAGCTACCAGTAGGTATTTTAGTTTGGAGGTAAATCTACTTTCATGTTCCTTGTGACCACATCTTTAAAGTGTGTATGTTGTAAATTCTTGCAAACACTAAGTATATATATATGTATTAGGTATGTTTAGATTTTTAAAGGTTCAATAATGATGATGGGAATGGTTGTTTCTGTATTTCAGAATAACATGTAATGATGAAGAAGAACGAGCAAGTCGAAGAGTATATAGAGGCTGTACCCGTTCTCCAACATGCCAAGGCTGCACTTCTTGTGTGTGCTTTGGCTGTGAAATCTGTCGTTTCTCAGATTGCAGCTGCCAGACTTGCACCGACTTCACAAGGAATGCTAAAACTTGAGTAACAATCGGGGGTCCTGATATTCTCTTTTCATCATATGGGTTATGTGCCCCAATTATGGCTTCATTGAGAGAACGCCCACCACCTCCCATTTCCCCGCATTGAAAAGAAAAAAAGAAGCAAAAGAAGCATTGAAAAGCAGCCTTCAATGACATTCTCCTTATATGTTTAAACTTGTTTCCAGTCACCTGAGTTCAATGTATGTTGTTCTCTTGACTGCTTCAGAACCTTCTAATTTAATGATTTATTCTCATAATTTCTATTTGGTCAGTGTGATATTTTAGTTCTGCTTTCCTACCATTTTCAAAATTTCTTGAATTGTTGAATACTTAGGAAGCTTAAGATTGACCTGGAGATTGTGTACCCTGTCATCGGGGTTGCATATGGTCTTCGCTAAATTAACCCTTGCAAATGAAAGAAAATACTTTATATACATTGCAAGTGCAAAGTATTGAGATCGAGTAATACGAATTTGTGAGGAGAAAATTGGGTGATGAATTAAAGGATTTGAGCCCCTTGTACTTGTTGGGGAATCAGATAGGAAATTACATTTTCTATATGTTTTTTTCTTTGCCAAAGTTAGGAGGACTAAACCCTTTGCAAAAGATTTGCCCCAACGGACACCGGAATACTTTCTATGTATTGCGGACACAACACAATTCAACATTTTACTAAACCGGAATTTCTCGACATTCAAAATTCGACTTCACCCAAGACCATTTTAACCTCCTAGTCCTCGCATTAGAATATAACTTCTACTAATAAATAAGGGCACCAATAGAATTTAATGCATCACATTGATCTCCATTCTGCGGGTATTATGTTCATCCATATACTGGACCAGCAAATACAAAAACGAGAAAATTGGCATCATGGAACACAAACTATCAAAATCGGTAAACAGAATACAAAAGAACCAAGCAATTTCAAAATGGTGGCTCTTCTCATCGCCTATTGTAGTTTAAATTCAGTGTGCTTGGTGCAGCAGAGCATGCCATAACTTTCACCTTGATTGCTGCCTACCTCTTCCCCTTCCAAAATGACGACCCCCTCTATGAGACGGTCTCCTTCCACGATTAGAAGATGCGCCCGGATTAAATTGCTGCATGTCCACGTTGCCTGTATTTGCAACAGGCTGTGGCATATTACAGTTCTGTTCAACAGGCAATCTATTCGACAGCATTCCTTGGTCTGCATTTAAGGTCGGGTGGGTAGGTTGGCCTTGTAAACCTATCCCGAACGCATTTTGGTTGAAACCATGCTGACCCACCATCCCCTGTGGATACATGGGTCCTGCAAAGGCATTCAATTGTTGACCTGGTGTGGGTTGGCCCTGTAAACCTATCCCAAATGCTGTTTGATTGAAGCCATGTTGACCCATCAGCCCCTGTGAATACGTTGGTCCTGCAAAGGAATTCAACTGTCCACCTGGTAAGACAGCACCACAAAGAAATCTCTGACCTTCAGCCTGCGGGTAGAATGGCAATCTCTCCGGAATAGGCATTTGATAAGGATATTGATGATTATAGGGTGAAGGCCATGGTGAACTATTATTTGGAAATCCATTTGGGAAGGATGTATTTTGTTGCTGAAACGGCATCCCATTTGTCCAAACTCCATTTGAAGTTGCGTTCATACCAGTGGCCTGTGTAGCAGCTGGAAATGGTGGAACTAATCCAGTCCCACCAACGAAACCTTGTGGTGCTGCAGAAGAAGATGGACAATAACCACGATCAAATGATGGTGCAGCTGGAGAGAAATGATGTTGGTGTTGATTGGGAGGCAGCTGACCTGCATCCTTTGGTGTTTGCTGGGGTGAAGGTTGATCATTTTTCCAGGGTCCAGGCTTGTTTTTACCCTTTTTTCTGTTGTTTTTCCTATTGCCAAGATTCTGGTCATTCATTCCCCTCTTTGTCATTTTTTGCATTCTCCTGTATTCAGCCTCTTTCTCATCATCTGAAAATTCCGCCTCATCTGACACCTCTTCATCATTTTTACCAGACGCATCATAACCCTTTTTGTAAACATCCTTGTTATTGAGCACATGATCTGCAAACTCTGGAACGAAAGAGACCAAAGTGCCTGCTTGTATTCCAGCAGGGATTTCACTTTCTGAATTGTATCTCACCACATAGTAAGGGTGTATGACAGGTCCGAAGATTTCATCTATCAACCCCAACGGAGATCTGCTTTCGGTTATCCAAAGAATTGAACCCTCGTTTAGAGGGTTGTGCTTCTCAACCCCTTCTACGATGGCTTGGGTACCAAGGATCTGTAAAATTGAAATTGACATGAATCTCAAACATTACCACAAATGTGCATCTTCTGGAGTGTCAACTAGATTCTACATTTTCAACGACATCAGAGATTGATGGAGTCCATGTTACAATATAGGATTACTTGCTTATGAGCTTACCGATAAAACAACTCCCACAGGCATCATCTGATGATGTGGTTCCAAGGTCACATTCACTGGAGGAATAGGTGGGAGTACCTGCAAAGTTCAAAACAATCTGTTTCAAGCTATTTGCAGACATATAACTGCAGAAAGCTAATTTCATTGACGGTTTACACAGAAGATGGCTAACAAAAATTCCAGAGTCAGTTCTGACAAGTAAAAGTAGCTCAAGTTAAGAGACATTGAAAAATAAAACCTAATATTATCATGCTTCATTAACTCCAACGCACTTAATCTGCTAGAGAGTATTCAGACCAAAATACCGGCAATCCTGGAATCCACTAAATATGAGACTTCTATGATAGAAAAAGAAGATCAATTCAACATGTGTTTAGATAGTGAGAAAGAGAGCCGAATCCTCCTTTGTTGCTTGCTTAAAGATCCTAACTACTTTTTCTTTCCCCTTATCCCAACTAAATTCAACTAAGTCCCCATCCAGAAAAGTTGAGGTTGGCTATCTTCTCATCTATCTACACTAAAGCGAAATCAACCAGTACCCCTCAGCTAAGCTAATTTATCAGTAAGGACTCATGAAGTACCATTTCCTCCGTGACTCCAAGCAAATCAATAGAGACTTTTTGTCCACCTCTCGCCAAAAGTTCATAGCAGCTTATCAATTCAAAAGTTCAGTAATGGCTTCAAAAGCGAGAGAGTACCAATAAAAAATTTCTTACCTCAAGCTCATTCTTGGACCTAATGGGTCCTTTCAGAGCTCCACCATCATCCTCTTCCTCGTCTCCATCATCAAAAATTTCAGCATCAGTCCAAGCAACCACTTCATCATCATCATCAGCACTTTCATAATCTATATAGTGTGTCTTATCTCCCTTCTCCCCTCCTCCATCAGCATCCCGTATCTCACCTTCTTCAATTTCACCAGCCTCGTCGGACTCCTCCACCTCCGCCTTCATTTTCCCTTTCTCGTTTTCCTCCTCATCCATATCATCACCATCATCACTGCTGTCATCATCACTCGAGCTGCTACTCGAAGACAACGATGAGGACTCTGAACTTTCACTCACTATTTCACTCCTAGCACCATTCTCACCTTCAATCTTGGATTTCAAACTTTCATTCCCATTCTCATTATTCTGTGGTTCTCTTTCTCCAGTATTACAACTCACTATTTCACTCTGCATACCATTCTCACCATTAAGAGCCGAACTTTCCTCATGCCTCTCACTCCTCATACAATTCCCACCATCAAGAACCAAATTTTGATCACACCCTCCAAGCAAACTGACCTTCCCCAGCTCTTCCTCAATAGAACAACCCAAATGTTCTGATATTTCACATTCCACCTTCTCCACAAAACCACAATCAATTGGCACAGACCCATCAACAGTCGGTTCAGACCCACAATCAATTGGGTCATACACATTAAAAATTTGGCCTTCACAGACATTTGCCTCTCTAATAAACCCTTCTTCAACCACCTCAACCTTGACCTCCCCTGTTTCTGTCATATCAGGGTTTGGTATATCCTTAAACCAATCCTCTATGGACTCAAAATCCAAGAACGAATCTGCAAACGTCAAGTCTCTGGGATCAACAGGGTCAGGTGGGTCCTTCGAATTCTTGGTCTTTGAAGCTAGATCGAGGTCTTCGAGGGTTAGTTCAGGGATAAGCCCTACCATTTGAGAACGCAGACAAGAAGAACTCGGGTTGAAGAATGAGAAAAGTGAAATTCCATAAGTGCTAGTAGCAAGCGAATATAAATAGTTTGGGGTTTTGCTTTGAAACGGTCAGGTGCTTAAACCCTAGCTAGGGTTTTCAACATCTTCAGCTGAATATAAAGATGGCGAAGTGTTCGGTAATTTGGTTAATTAAACCAAGAATATTTAAAAATAATAATAAGGTGAAGCGGCGTCGTTTCAAGAGGTTCATCGAGGAAACAAAATTGTAAACGCACGACCAATAAAAAATACTGTATATATATATATTATATAGAATAAAAATACTATTTGTATATATATAAAAAATTAAAAATTCTATATTAGAATGAGGAAAATAAATATATTCAAACATTTTCTTTATATAATATCAAATAAATGGGTTCCATGGATTAAGTTATTCCTGTTTCTTTTTTTCTTTTTTTTTACAAACAAGATTAAGTTGTTCATGTTTAAAATATGACTCATTTGTTAGCCATTTTAGGGAGTTAGTCTTCATGAGTTATTATTTAATTTTGGGAAACTTTTTAGCACGTTATGTTATTTTCATATATTTGTGTCAAGATTATATTATTTTCATATATTTGTGTCATGATGCCGCATCGGTATATAATGTTATCTAGTTCGAAAAAGATTGCTCATGACATCTCCCTTTCAACTGAGAAACAAAACAGCATCATGGGCAATACTATTAATGAAGGATATTCCATTAGTAATGAAAAAAGGAGTTGAGGGGATCCGTCCCATGTAGTTTCAATGCGATTAAGAGAGGGCTTGTTGTCTAGTTCGAGTTAATTGTATATGTTGTTCTTAATCACATTGCTCTTATATATGTGTTTTTTTTACTGCAAAGGGTCTAATTATTGTCGACCTCTTCGTTTGGAGAGATTACTTGGGTTGATTTTACTGCACACTCTCCTCCTTGTGTTTGAAAGCCATAATTCCATATATATGTACATATCTCTTGCTCATAATCGAAAGTCAAAAGATTATGCCAACGAAGTCTAGCCCAGTAGAAAATGACATTGACTTGTAGATCAGTCGAACTCCATGATAGTACCTTAACAATGTTTATGTGAAAAAACCCCCTCCTCCAATATCGCTTATATTATAAAATAAAAAAAAGGTCAAAAGATTATTTAATAAATATGAAAATTTCAACTCTACTTTCCACGAGGGTAAGATGATAAAATATGGTTTTTCTATATTGTTGATGATAAAAGCATGGGTTTTTTTTTAACATTTTGACTTGCATGGTATTTATTGCATATAGCTACAAACTGAGCCAGAGGCAGGCACCCATGTATATATCATAAAGAGTGAGCACAGAGTTTTACCCCAACCAAACCCAACACCAAACTTGCCTTCTTCATGTCATAAAAACCATCTTAACTCTCCAGCTTTCACTTTTACCTATCCACTTTGAACATCTTCTTCCAGCTAGTCTCCACCTTACACTGTTTCTATTTTAATTCGACACCATGAACTTTTTTTCTTTTTTTTTGGTAGTCAAAATCGACACCATGAACGCAACTACGTCCCAAAAACCAAATCAAAACAAAAAAAGAAAAACTTAATAGGGATTTTAAAAAAAATACATATCCATAATCCATGTGAGAGAGTCGGACGCAATGCGTAAGGCGTTGATGTGCAATTTTACACATCTTAAACTAATAATAAGATATAGAAATTGAATTAGTCATTCATAGTAAAGAAGGCCTACTAGCAAACTATCGATAAGATCTAAGAATGGCTCCACAAAACGTACATATGATGGCTCTCCAAGATTTCCAATAAAATGGGACGTAACAAAATCTTGTAGCGGTCTTCATGTCGGCGACACTCGCTCCTCCTCCGCACCGTGAGCATATCCCTGCCGCCGGCTTGCTCCGCCGCACTTGCCTCTTCTGATCCACCAGAAAACAGAACACCACCATTCTGTTTTGGTTTCGGTTTCGGTTTTTGCCCTTTAACTAATTTCTGAGGAGAGCACCCAAAAATGTGATGTGTTGCTTTGTTTGGAGCTGAGAGCAAGCGAGGCCTACAAGTTGAGAAATACGAAATGAGAATTTATTTGTTTATATAATGCATCAGAAGAATTATAGGTCGAGCAAGTTTTATGGTCATCTTGGTTTTTGACCGTTGGATCAGTGTGGATCTGTAAGGTTGGGGGATGGAGATGTTCGCGGCTTAAGCTCCTGTTGCAGGCCTGAATATTTTTGCCAACTGGCTGAGGATGAAATGATGGGCATGAGATCTTGGCCGTACGTATGGGTGTAGATGAAGGGCTGACAGTGATCTGGTGATTAATAGGGTTCAGCTGATTCTGTTGGGAGTGAATGTGGGTGGCAGTTGGTAGGTCCTCGGTGGTGATTTGGATTTGGAGTGGGCTTTGGCCGACTCACAGTCAAAGCATTGAAAATCAACGATCATCTTTTTTCCAACTTGGAAACAAAAAATTCGGTTAAGAAAAAAAGATGTTAACTTTTGTTTGTTTGCTGGGAAAATTGGAAAAAGATTTTGACTTTTCCACCATATGTGCATGCTAGAATTAATATTTCGTTGTTTGTCTCATCCAAACTTGTAAAACCATTAGCTCAAATTGACTCGACCAACATAAAACGTCACCACATGAAAAATATGCCCATTTAAGGTGTCATCAAATCACATTTAAAACTTTGGTTGGAAAAATCAATTCTATAAACATACCAAGAGCATCAATCAAGGGAGTAATTTTCGTATGTGTATTCTCCAATAAAAATAAAATATTTTTACTTGTCCCATGTGTTTGTACACCAGCACATACAAAAATTTATTCAACCTTTTTCTTTTCTCGAACTTTTTAGTTTCCATTTCGGTTCCTTGGAGTATTCATCTCTTGGTTCAAGACATAAGGCTGCTAAGTTCCTATTGTGAAGAGATTTCTTTCCAGCATATATTTCGAGAAGCAAACTTCATTGCTGATGCTTTAGCTAATTTAGTGCATAGTTTGAACTCTTCCCACCTTTGAGAGCGGGGGCTTCTTTTAAGCTCCTTTGCTCGGTTTTATTTTGATTTAGTTGGGCTTGCGTTCCCTCGTGGTTTTCCTATTGTAAGGTTTCTTTTTTCCAATTAAAAAAAAAATCTTATATGATTTTTTAAGCTACAAATCACAATCGTTTGCTTAATAGTTAGTGGCTACAAATTGGTATTGGGATTACCATATTCATGAAATATGTCCATTCTTAAATTCAAGGACCTGCCAACTTATACCATCATAATATATAATTAAAATATTATAAGTAGTATCAGTGGCGGATCCAAGATCCGTAATGTAAATATTCCCAAAAAGAAGAAGAAAGTTTTCCCTTTTTCTTATATATTTTTTTTCTTTCAAAATTTCCGTTTTCTTAGGATTCCAATTGTGATATGACATAATAAAAGATAACTTATGATTTTAATTGATTTTAATAAAAAATGCCAACAACAAAATAAATAAAACTACAAAAGTGATACCTTACGAGTCTTGAAAAGCATTAAATTCATCAATAAAACTATAACCTACGAGTCTTTACACGTGTTTGTAAAACTTGCACCAGTTCGACCCACTTAATTAGAAAGAAAAAAAGAAAAAAGAAGAAGGAAAGAGAGTGAGTAGAGAAGATATATCCATCTTCTTTAATTTTTTTTTCTATTCTCTCTTTCTTTCCTTTATTTAATATTTTCCCCCTCTATTTTTTTATTCTTTCTCTCTCTCTCTCTTTCTTTATTATTTTCCTTCTTCTTCCAGCCTCCCCCTCTTTTTTCTTTATTTCTCTCTTTGAATCTTTCTTCCCAGCCTCCCCTCCACTCCCCCGCTACTAACTAAACGAAGAGGCTTTCCTTCTTCCATTGTTTCACAATAACAAATAAACAAGAGCAACACGAAACTACAAAAGGAAAAAAATATAGTTGTTCCTTCCTTGCGGTTGGTTTGGCTTTTGCATTAGTGCACAACTGAAAAACAAATGGTCTATTGATTCCATGGTAGACCAACACAACACAGACAGGTTGAGACTTTCATTGAGCACTTGGTGTGCACACAAGGGGTCACTCCGCAGCTGTCCAAGGGGTCATCCATAGCCAAATTTCAGGCATTTCAAGGGATTGTTAGACCCCTCTTGTCCCAACGTGGGTCCGCCTCTGAGTAATATCTTCTTTAAAAGAAAAAAAAGGTTATAAATAGAACTTTTAAAGCTCTACTTCTTTTTGGAGGATCTTAGCCACACCTTTTCCTTTCCTCTCATTTTCATAACATGACACCATACAAGCACATGTATTTCTTAACGGAGAAGGAATGTAAATTAGGTTATCCAAGATGAAGGAAATGCTATGAATAAATTCCTATAAATTTATTAGTTAATTAAGTAGTTCAGAATTTTTAAAAATAAATAAATGTAAGTTAGGTTAGTTGACAAAGACAATGAACCCGATTTTTTACACCAAAATTTGATTCCCTCTCTATAGTTAGTAAGAAAAAAACATTTCTCATTTTTTAATTTAAATTAATTATGTAAAACTTCAATATGACTCAAATAAAAAAAGAGAGGCGGGTACTTCACCTAACAAGTTCTCAAACGGCTATATATTTTTCAAAAATCAGTTTTGGCCCGTCGTCCCCATTTTCATGAAGCTCGTCTTCAAACGCCATTGCAGCTCTCTCACATCCTTAAATCTACAGAGCACCAAAAACCCATCACCCAAACAATCCCAAATCCTCCGACTCTGCAAGCTGGGCTTACTCTCCGATGCGATTCGGGTCCTGAACTCCATTGATTCCGGCGAAATCACCATTAAACCAATCCTATACGCTTCGCTCTTACAAACTTGCACCAACGCTGTTTCATTCAACCATGGCCTCCAAATCCATGCGCATGTCGTTAAGTCTGGCCTCGAAACCGACAGATTCGTTGGGAACAGCTTGCTTTCTCTGTATTTCAAGTTGGTTCCCAATATGTCCGAGACTCGGAGAGTGTTTGATGGTCTTTTTGTTAAGGATGTGATATCATGGACTTCGATGATAACTGGATACGTTAGGGCTGGAAAGCCTGGAAATTCAATTGAAGTGTTTTATGATATGTTGAAGTTTGGGATTGAGCCAAACGCGTTCACTTTGTCTGCCGTGGTTAAAGCTTGTTCGGAGATTGGGGACTTGATGCTGGGCCTGTGCTTTCATGGAGTGGTGGTGAGACGTGGGTTTGTTTCTAATCATGTTATAATTAGTGCTTTGATTAATATGTATGGGAGGAATTATAGATCGGAAGATGCGCGCCGGCTGTTCAATGAATTGACTGAACCAGGTGCTATATGCTGGACGTCGGTTATTTCTGCGTTCACAAGGAGCGATTTGTTTGAGGAAGCATTGGGGTTCTTTTATTTGATGCATAGATATCATGGGTTGTCTCCCGATGGTTTTACGTTTGGGACGGTATTGGCTGCTTGTGGCAACTTGGGGAGGCTGAGGCAAGGTAGAGAAATGCATGCTAAGGTAATTACATATGGACTTTGTGGAAATGTGGTTGTTGAGAGTAGCTTGGTTGACATGTATGGAAAATGTGGGTCGGTAGAGTATGCTCGACGTGTCTTTGATAGGATTCCCAAGAAGAACTCAGTTTCTTGGTCTGCGTTGCTAGGAGTGTATTGTCAAACTGGAGACTTTGAATCTGTCATTAAGCATTTCAGGGAAATGGAAGAGGCTGACCTATACAGTTTTGGAACTGTTCTTCGCGCATGTGCAGGTTTGGCAGCTGTACAACAAGGGAAAGAAGTGCACTGCCAGTATGTGAGAAGGTGTGGTTGGAGAGATGTTATTGTAGAATCAGCTTTAGTTAATCTTTATGCAAAATGTGGTTGCATAGATTTTGCCCGTAGAGTTTTCACGCAGATGCCAGTTAGGAATTTGATAACATGGAACTCAATGATTTGTGGGTTTGCTCAGAATGGTGGAGGTGCAGAAGCTCTTAGAATATTTGATAGGATGATTAAGGAGGGGGTTAAGCCCGACTATATCAGCTTTATTGGGGTTCTTTTGCTTGTAGTCATGCAGGTTTGGTTGATCAAGGGCGAAACTATTTTATCTTGATGACAAAGGAGTACGGGATTAAACCTGGGATTGAACATTATTGTTGCACGGTTGATCTTCTAGGCCGTGCTGGGCTACTTGAAGAAGCTGAGAATTTAATAGAGAATGCAGATTGTAGGAATGATTCTTCCCTTTGGGCAGTTCTTCTAGGTGCTAGCACAAGCTGTTCGAACTCCACTACTGCAGAGCGCATAGCCAAGAAAATGATTGAACTACAACCTGACTACCATTTGAGTTATGTTCTTCTAGCTAATGTGTATAGATCAGTAGGCCGATGGGATGATGCCTTGGAGATTGGGAGGATAATGCAAGATAGAGGGGTTAAGAAGACGCCGGGTAAGAGCTGGATTGAATCCAACAGTAAATTGGGTTCTTTTCTTCCTGCGGGTGATGTGGAAATTCCTAGAAGAATAAATTTTCCTGTTGTTATGGATATTGTCTAAAAGTGAGAAGAAATAGGAGTGAACCAACAATCCACTGTCAACCCATCCTTGATAAGATGCTCACATTATGCAATTCAAGAAATGGTTGGTGGAGACAATTGCATTGATGCATTCTTCTTAGCTTTTCTCACTTCGATATACAGCTGGGAACTTTACATTTTTTATATCATGAGAATTTTGTTTAATCTCATTTTGTATGGTTAATTGGTGAGTGAGAGTAGATTTTGACCTAGACTTGTCAAAACAATAAGTTATCTTTTGCTGTAGCAATGTTAAAATAATACCGATCACTTGCAAATTTTGGCATATCAGCCTGCATGAAAAATGAACAAGCACATAAAGCTTAAATCAAGTAGCAAAAATTGCATTCAGTGTTGGCATATTATTAAGATTTAATTTAACAAATGGGAAATACAATACATGTTTCGTCAAACCCAGTACTTTTTATACAATCTTCAAATTATGCAGCTGTTTTCCTACCATACATACACGGTATGAGATGCATGCACAAATGCTTTTCTGTACAGTGTAACGCCATTGGGAGTTTTTCACTTCAAATAATTACAAATCCTCAAGATCTGAAGTAGTTTCATCAGGCTCAGCTTTAGTTTCGGAATCTGTTTGATGTTCTGAGTCAAACACATATTTCATCTCTTGGCTAACCAATTTGGCAAGGTCATGCCTATTGGCATCTGTATAGGCATCTCTTACAGCTCTGAACAGGGATTCATTTGGCTCTATTTCTTCATATTTCATCTGGCTGTATATCCGCTTCACACCTTCAACCATACCAGCTTGACCGTAACAACCCACTAGGTTAACATACGTTACAAGGTCTGGTTCCAGGTCTTCATCTTGCATTTTCATGAACATGTTCAGAGCCCTGTCAATTTCCCCAGCTGCCCCATAAGCATATATAGCAACATTGTAAAGAAAAGAATCAAGTTTTACATCAGCTTTTGTGAATTTTTCACACGACTCGAGCGCCATAGCATGCATACCAACCAGAGAGAAAACATAGGTGATGATAGCTTGCCTAGAGTAAGGTTTCCCTTCATTGTAAGATGATTCAAGCTGCGTTACTGCTTCAATTGGAATACCTTTCTTCAATATAGTGAATAATACTTTAAAAGTTCCACTATCAGGCAAGAGTTTCCGAGTTACCATCTCATGCAACAATTCTCCACATTCACGTAGCTGCCCGTTAATGGCATAACATGACATTACCTTGTTAAATGAACCACAGTCCCTTATTAGACCTGAAAGTTTCATTTCCTCTGCTACATCAATGGCTTCATCAAGCATGCCCACATTCTTGTAAAGATAAATCATGATGGCATATGTTATCTCATCTGCCCAACCCTTTGCTCTCAATTTTTCAAAAATCAATTTGGCTTCAGATACCATTCCAAGATCTGCATAGAGATTGATCATACTGTTAGATGCAACAATATCTCGGGGACCCTCTAGATCTTTCAGCCTCTCATAGAGTACTTTTGCTCCATCAAGGCAGTCCACCTTACCATAAGCCTTTATCAGGGATGTAAGAACTATCTGGTTTGCAGAAATCCCCGATTCTTCCATGTGGCGAAAATACTTAAGTGCTTCTTCAACTCTGCCAGATTCTACAAATCCATTGATTAAAGAACCATACACAAATTCATTTGGTTGTACTCCTGAGTTTACCAAGTCTTGGTACACATCAACTGCATCAGAAAGCTGACCAAGGCGAGCATAGCATGCAATAAGAGCAGAGAAGGCTAGAGAGTGTGGCTTAAAACCCATTTCACGCATTTCTGTTAAAACATCCCTTGCCTGTTCCACCAAATCACCTCCTGAGAACATTTGAATGAGAGAATTATATGTGCATTTATCAGGCCAAGTCCCATGATTTCTCATGCCCTTGAAGAGAGAAAAAGCTTTATCATAAAGCTTTGCCTTACCATAAGCTTTGATCATAACATTATATTCCACAACATCCTTCTTCTGTCTCGCCGAGTCTTTCTTCCTATAGAATATGGCCTCAGCTTCAGTCCAAAATCCCTTTTCAGCATATGCATCTATCATTGCTGCACGTGTCTTTGATGAAAGCCCACCATTTAATTGACATTTCTCTAAAAAAAACTTCGCCTGATCAAGCTGTCCCTCATAATATACATCTTGATGACACCAGGAACAGAATGCTCATCAATTCGCACACCAGATTTCTCCATACTCCGAATCACAGTTTCCACATCTTGGACCATGTTTCTCTCACATAATACATGAAGAACTGTCCTGTGAGATACAATATCTGGGGAAAGACCCACCTCTCTGATTTTCCTATAACAGTTCAGAGCAGCATCAATGTTCCCTGCATCAGCATACAGAGACAGAAGAATGTTATAAGTTCTTGTATCAGGAGATATTCCCCTTTCTTCCATCTTACTAAGCAAAGCTTCCGCTTCTGACAAATGCCCATGACTTCCACAAGTAAAGATCATAGTATTGAATGTAATAGCATCCATTGCCACACCAGATTTCATCATTTCTCCAAACACATTAGCTGCATCATCAAGACGTCCTGCCTTCCCATACAAATCAATCAAAGCATTATATGTCGATGTTTGCCGTGGTTTTCGGATAGGGTTCTCTGTATCCGATGAGGCCTTCATCTTTGAAGTGGGAATTCTCCCACCTGTCTTGAAAAGCTCAGTGGACAAGAAATGCTTAAAACTAATAGGCTCTAAGCCAGAATCATTCGCAGAATCACCCATAGAATCTAAATCAAGTTCATTGAGCTCAATCTTGCCATTGCACCAATCCTTATAAAACTTATCTGCCCTATCAAACTCCCCTGCATCCTTCAAGGCCTTAACAACCGTATTCATTGTAACATCATCCGGGAACATTCCCCTTAGTTTCATGTGCTTGATCCACAAAAGCGCTTCTTTCACAAGGCCTGCTTTCCCATACACATCAACGAGCATTGCATATGTATTGTTCGTCGGTAGGACACCTTTTTTCGCCATTTCAATCCAACAAAGCCTTAATTCATCCCATTTCTGAGCCCTACCCAGCTTTCGAAGAACCACATTATAGTGTATTACATTGGGTACATACTCCTTTTGTGACTTGAACCAATCGAAAACACGCACAACTCTTTCCCACCTTTTCTGTTCTTTGAGAATCACAGTCTGTTCTTTTGGATTCAAATTTTCGCCACACGAATTAAGGGTCTTTTCAACATCGTTTTCGGACTGTAAAGACCGCAAAATCGAAGGCAATACGCCACCATACGCCTTCTTCTTACCATTAATTGAAGAACCTTTTGTGGGCAAAACCAATGTTTCCGAATCACACTGAAGCTTAAACCCTACAAAAGCCCTAGGACCTCTCGAATTCTGCTTCTGAGCTCGTGAAGTCACAACATGGTTAATATTTTGAGGAGTGGACAAGGCATAAGGAACAGGGTACAGTTGCCTTCTTGCTAAGCCGTGATTGTGGTGAGTAAAGTTAAATTCTAGAAAGGCCCTAGTTCTGAAAGGACATTGGGGATTTCGAAGCTTACTTGGTGAGCAGGTGTGGTTGTGCATTGAGCTCTGGAAACTTTCTTGCCCTAATTCCATGGAACTGCAACTCTGGCTGTGAAGCATCATGGCTTTGTGCTTTGAATTTTGAAACTTGGTACTCGGGGCTCAGGGTTTTTCAGCTCCTAAAGAATTAGGGTTAATGGAGGACTTAAGTTTCTCATTCCTGCTGCAGCCCTTGGAAGTTGGTCCTCTCGTGTAGGAACAAGCTGAGCCTCAGGGCTAAAACCGACAAAAGAAATTTTCGAAATATTGGTTTTTTATTGATTTTTTTTCTGTCTGATGTTTAAGTTTCTGTTTGAGTCTCTGCACTTTCTTCTTTTATTTATACCTATCAATTAATTAAAAAATAAGTATATTATTAAAATAATATTAGACAAAATATTCTGTTTATCCCCAGAAATAATTTTTTTTATTTTGGGTTTGTTACTGTGACCATGCTCATAGCCTTCGCAAGATGGCGGCCATGATTTTTATATGGTTGGCACTGAAAAAATATTGGAGAGGAAAATTGTTATGGCATTTTTTCTTTGATTGTTTTATAAGAAATTAGGTTGAGTATGAGAGATTCTCGTGTAGAGGTGGCGTACTCTCTCACAAAAAGTTGGGTCTCGGAGTTGGGACACATACAATGCTTAATTTTTGTGAGAGAACTACCGCATGGGACAGTCCTACACAGATTTATTCATGTGTCTTATTAATGCTTGCTTAACAAAGTCATAAGAAATTCAAAATTGTACGACAATCAAAAGAAGCCTCTCTGGCTTGGTTTATCATGGCCTCTGTGACTAAAATTTCAACTATTCAAGGACCAAAAGTATCAAACATAAAGAGTGTTTCTCTAGAATCAAATACGGGGAAAACGATATTTCAAGGTTGGACTCAAAAGAGGCACCATCCATCTGACTGCACAACCTAACAAAATTCACTAACATACGAAATCCTTTGGTTGTGAAGAAACCATTAAACAAAAAGAATATAAGAGAAACCGTGATCCTAACAAGTTGCTATCCAAAATCCTTTTGGTTTGGTCATTTCACATTGCTGCCATCATGGTACTTCTTGCTGCCTCACGCTTCACCTCTTCAGCCTTTCCACTGCCTCTGAAATACGTGTATACTTGCTGCGAATACGATACGATGCAAGAAGAGTAAGTTTCTCCAAAGAGGGGAAGAAAAACGACAGAACAAAGCCAGGAGAAAAATGCACGTCCATTCATCATCTAACCTGAATAACCCAGATGCTGAGAACTGTTTCACAGACGAACAGCCCAAATCCAATGAAGTAAAGTATCTGAAATGAAGAAACAAAGTCTTCACGGGGTCATCAACTCAAAATAGAACTTCAAGATCAAACCACTGTCATTGCAATCTGACAGTTCTAGTTCTTTCCATCATATTGAAACTCTCATCACTAACACCACTAGATTGTTGCCTAGCTGAAAAACAGACTTGTCTCTGTTGCAATTATTGAAGGAGAATATCCAAGCCAACATAGAATAATGAAAGCTGGAAACTTACCCCAACCGCAGCATTGTAACCCAGCAGTTCTATTGCAGGCAAAATACCTCTGTACACAAGATCACAACAAAGAAAAATCAGTTTCAGGAGGAAATATGATTAGCATATATTTGTGATTAATAGAAGAAGATGTACTACTAGAAGAAGGCAAGGTTGTCTATTGGGAGAAAATTTTAGATGACAAGATCTGCAGGATACTCATTTGTACTTATTCCCCCTTCATAAACGGAAAGAGCTAATGTAACAGTAGTCATTAGTAAACCCCGTAGACTGCACAGTTAAGAAAACTTACGTTATAGATTTCCCTTTGAAGACAATTGGAGGAGCAATTGCAGCATAGACACAAAACGCAATGTGGAGCTGCAAATAGAGAATCAGGGCATAGAAGTGAGCCAATTTTCACATAATCTTGAATGCAGAAAATATAACTTTAATAAGAAACAAAAATGTACGTACCAGATAAGACAAGAAAAACCCAGCAAAACTCAGAGCACTATCAGTCCTGTAACAGACGGCACACAATTACAAGTATGAATCCTAAACAAAAAGTAAAAGATAAAAGATATGTTGGACAAATGTTCTAGAAGTGCAGAGTCATCAAAGTGATCATTTGCATAGGCTCGAAGCCTGATATACAGTTTTTGCATAGTGATGACAATAAGGTCATATCCATAGAATCATAAGTACCTCATAGCACGATAAAGCGGGCGATACCAGAGGAAATATGATAGCGGAACACTTGCTATGAAGTAGATTACAGCCAGAAGCCAAATTATTGGACCTGCAAGAAGATAAAAGTTCAGACTAAATTATGAAAGAGTTTATTTATAATGGTTAATGGGTCTACACTAAGTCACAGATCAAACCTTCTCCTCTGAACCAGGCTACGGTAACTGCCAGAATATTCCACAGAAGACACACAATCAAACCTGAAAAATGCCATAAGCTTAGTCAACTTAAGCAACCACAGAAAAATTTGATTGAATTAATTAGAAGATCTTTTTGTACAAACAATTTTTAACTCAAAACTACTAAATTCAATACATGGAAAAGGGCGAGAAACAAAAAATCTACAATCAAATATCATCTGGCCATTGAAACACTTATGCCGACTATCACAAAAGAAAATAAATAAAAATTAACATACCCAGATATGTTGTGAACGCAACATACTGGATCCTCTGTAGATGGATTGGTATTTCGTTTGCAATGTCATGATGGATGATGGGGAAAAATGGAGGCCAGTTTTTCTCCTCTATAACAACTCCAGCTGCCAAAAATAAAAAGAAAAGGGAAATTACAAATTGTACTTTGGTGTAATAGTCTCTCTCAAGCACACATCAGAAAATGGATAAACCTCGTGCTATGGCGTCTTCCCGCCGCTTTAGTTCCTGAAAAGAGATGATGGCATTATGAATTCCACTTACTAAATACAAAACTAATTTTTCTAAAAGCATACATTTCTCAACTAAAATCAATGTTGCACGTCAAAATATAAACTTGCATCTGAAGTGGATTTTTCTTGTTGTCATGGCAACAATTTCTAACATGCCTTGGTACAGAAGAGGTGCCTCAAATGAACCTAAATATCGACATACCCACAATAAATTGATAATTACTATGAAAATAACGGTCTGGGACTCCGTTTACAAGTATATCAATTATATTTTATAAGCCCTTTGCAAGCATCATATGAATTATAATGGGCAATTACCTGTTCCTTCTTTTTCAATTCAACCTCTTTTGCATGGAGTTCCTTCTCCTTTGTTTGTAAACTCTACAGTAACAAAAATAATAAGGAACAAGAAATCATTGCTTGTTGACAAAAATAAATAAATAAATAAACAAATCATTGATCATAAATAACAAATAGAAAACTTTAAAATATGATTCAACATCTTGCATATGCTGAACAACCTTTGAATTATCAAGAGGAATATCAATTGTTGCATTGCGATCATAGGGTTCAGGAGGAAGAGGTGAAAGCCTTCGAGTTTGCAGGGGGAACACTTTCCAGGATTCTAGAAAAAGCAAAACGATAAGATTAGAAAAGGGAGAAGGAGAAAAAAAAAAAAAAAAAAAATAAAAATCATCTTGCAGTGTCAGCACATCAGGCAACCACAATCACCCCAACAATGCACATGAACCCATTCAGATGCTTGAGTTCTACGTAACCCAAAAAAAAACGCCTAAGATCCAAACCTTCTAGTTGTTTCCCTTTTCTCTGTTTTCTAACCAACTAAACTGACCATTGAATAACAGAAACAAAGAACTAGAGATGAACGTAGCTACACAACCTACATTGTGGGTTTCAATTCACCGTGGAATCAAATACCAAACAGAGACCCAAACCAGTGAAATGAAAACACATTGAAGATTTAGCACTATAAGCCAGGATTTCAACATATCATCAATCCAAATCCCCAAAGGATCATGTATATGTAAATACACAGACACATACAGAAATCGCGATTGAAGATAGAGACTTCGGCCTATAGATACAAAAACACGTATACGTAAATGCAGGTCTGTATCGGAACTCACCGCAAATGGATTGACCTCGTCATCGGCGAAAGGGTTAGAATCGTACCGATTCATGGGAGAGATCCAAGCTCTGGTGACTGTGAAATGACAATGGGCTCTAAATCGGGAATGTGAGAGTTAGAGTTTTCGGTGATAAGGATCGTCGAACATGGAAAAATGAGAGAGACGTTGTTTTTTTTTGGTGTGGTTATTGGTTTTAAGGAACGAGAGACGAAGAGAGGCTCTTGGAGCGTACGGCCTTCGTTTTAGTGGAGCTGTTTGTTTCCTGGGAAAATTGAACCAGAAAATCAGAGACGAGATTATAAAGGGTGTTTGGCGGGGAAGGCCTATAAGTCTGTAACTTGATACTGTACGTGGCGTGGGGCCTTTAAGAGAATATTTCAGACATTAAAAAATGGGGCAAAACTATATTTTAATAATATTTATTTCTCTACAGTAAGATTTGGAGACAATTTTTTTTAATATTTTAAAATCGGTTTTTAATATATTTAGTGGTATTTATAATTTATATACATTATAAGACTGTCACGCTCACAATGTTTATTATTTATAATGTATTGTCGAAAATAAATAAATATTTGAGAAGCAAATATCTATAGAAGGAAAAGGAGGAGATATTCGCGCTCAACCTTTGTGGTGGCCTTGCACTGTGGGAGTGCATTGAGGGAGCGTGAATAGCGGTCATTAAGTAAAACCACAATTCACTGAGGTAACAAATTAGTTTTAACACCAATCAAAAGTGGCATTAATTAACCGCTGGTTATAATTAACTTCTAATCCTCAATACAGTAATTGACCATGATAGTCAAGGAGCTCCCAATCTTCAAGGAGCTAATTGTGCATTAGTTGGATTGGATTAAACCACAATTACGGTCATATTATCTTTTGCATTTGTATACATGGGTTAGGTTAGGCTTGTTGATTAGGACAATGAGTCCACCTCCCTCACACTCTTCTCATACATGGAAATCTAAATGCCAAATTCAAAATGACACTCAAATTTGCATACATGGAAATCCAACTGCCGAATTCAATAGTAAAGAGAAGTGCTAACATCAATCAATATGACACTCAAGTACGCGTACATGGAAATCCAAATGCCGAATTCAATAGTTAAGAAAAGTGCTAACATCAGTCGTGACATGAATGAGTGTAGGACCCACATTGTCATGTTAGATGACTTCACCGCTGGTGCAGTCAGAAGATGTTGCTAAAATAGTAAAACTACACAGGCAAATGCCCTAACAACCTGAAATGGCGAAGAAAATCGAATTTAACCAATCCTTTACAAAACTCATGATGTATATGTGTTATAAAATGGAATAGATTACATTTTAAATCAGTAGAAACCAAGTTCGTGAGGCATCATAGAGCTAGCTGAAAACGTTTCACTACCAAGAATTTATAGTGACAATTGACAAATAATAATAGCTAAACAATTGGGTTAGCTCAACTTTGCAGGACAGACAAACAATAGAATGACCAGAGTATTGAACACCAAAATGGGACAGTTGGAATGTTCACATCCAGAACTTTGTGCAGCTGGTCGCAGTAAAGAAGCTTGCGACGCAGATATTGGTGGTGTAAGTTTGGGGCCATCATCTGCAGCCTGTTTACAAAGGATGTATCTTCTTGGTTCTAGCAGTAGTCACAACCAACGCACCCCCCATCATTGATAATCTGGTCATTAGGTCTTCATTTCACAAAAAGTCAATCTTCACTTGATCCACTGCCTTGAGGCTCTCGCCGTATCATTTCTAATAGGTCTTGCACGACTTCAGACATCAGTGGCCTGAACTCTGGCTCCGACTGTAAAATACAATTCACATTTTTAGGATTATTGTTCTCTTTGGAGTCGAGGCGGTGAATAACAACTAAAAATATAGTGGGGCTCACGTCCCACTCATATGGCAAATCAAACTTGTGTTTTTGAGCATTTGAAGCATTCTATCTTTACTGAACAGAGATACCAGGTAAGCTAAGTTTACCAACCCAATGGTGCCCTTTTTGAAGAATATTATGTCACAAAGTCCATAAAACTAAGTCTAATTTAACTGTATAACTTACGATGTCAAAAATGGCATTGCTTACCTGAACACATCGAGATATAATGTCTGCAAAGTGTGATAAAGACTTCGTAGGATATTGTCCATTTAGAGAAGGATCGACCATCCTTGATAATGCATCGATGTCATGAAGCTGAGTAGTGGCCCATCTAACAAGGAATTGCTCCCCTCGATTCCTTGTGCTGTAAACTCAAATTTTCAAATCCAAAAATAAATTAAGCAGGGGTTGGTGGAATAATGCGAGAATGCAATTAAGAACTTGAATTTGCTAGTCTTTCACCTGTCATGGGACTTCCGGCCTGTTAATAATTCCAGCATTACCACCCCAAAGCTGTAAACATCACTCTGATGAGTATAAATTCCTGACTCGAATTCTGGAGCTCCGTAACCATAAGCCGATAGCAGATGTCCTGACAACTGAAAGTACGAAGCAATTTAGTAGTAGTAATAAGTAGCACTGGTGATGACCATAAGTAGTCATCATTCGTTCAATTGTTCCACACTGCAAATCAACCAATAGGAATGACCTAAAGCCTAAGCAGACAATCGAAACACTGCATGCCTTTTGAAAAAGAAGTAATAGGGAAGAGTGGTCTGGACATAAGCAAGCTTCAAGATCAGAAGGCGAAATCAACCAACATGAACGACCTAAAGCTACAAAAGCATCTGAGAAATGCAAATCAACCAATACGAATGACCTAAAGCTACAAAACCATCTGGGAAAGAAGAGCAATATTGGCTCACTTAAGAATGCACAATTACATCCATTTAAAATGCAAAGAAATCACTTACATTCTTACTCTTTCTTTTTCCTAAACAATGCTCATTCTGAAGGCTATTTATATATCTAGACTATATCTATATATAATCACAATGGAGAAAGCATTCACTGCACCAAATTCTCTTGCTATTTAAATCCATGTTGAAGGAATACAATACATGTCCTCCAAAAAAAAACCTTAAATTGTCAATGTTGGTCTCATGACCCACACTGTTGTAGGAAAAAAATACCTGCAAAAAAATTGTAGAAATATGACTTACCTGACTTACAGAACCTGATGATATCAATGGAGCCAAGCCACAGTCAGAAACGCGCACGGAAAGGTCATCATCAAGGAGAAGGTTGGCAGACTTGAAATTCCTGTGTACAATAGGTGGCTGACAGACCTCATGTAAATACCTACTCAAAAAAACAAAGACAGAGTTATACTCACTGCAGCTCCTATCACCATATGATCAGGGAAAAAAAAGGTCTACATGAGTGGGTTCAGAAATTGCCATTGCAATTGGCACTCACTCTAAGGCTCTTGCAGCTCCAAGTGCCATTCTAATACGAGCATTCCATGGCAGTTTCTTCTTAAATTCATCATCTACGTGCAGAGTATCATGCAGTGAACCATTACTGCAGTACTCGTAGATAAGAAGCCTTTGACCATGCTCTGCACAGTAACCGATGAGCTCAACAACATTAGCATGCCGGATTCTGTCAATGTTGTTTACCAGTTCAAGAAACTCATCATCCTTCTGCTGACTGGAAGCTCTCTTGTCCAATTTCTTGACTGCAAGTAGCTACAAAAGCATCCCAAAAGATTAATGTCAGTTTCTGAACTGTTCTGTACATATAAACAGAAACTGCTTGATTCCATGAGATAAAAGCACATGACACAGAAAAAAAAATAATAATAATTCTCTTCATGCAACTCTTTCTCCCAAGCCAAGATATTTTTGCAAAATGTCAACAAGACTGCATCTAATTTTATGTCTTTATAAAGCAAAATATCCGTTTCTTCTTATCTGCTTAAAAGGTGAAATCCAATAGATATTATGAAGTCCTCCTCAGTTTGCTTATTTGATAGCTTGCTTTTGATCACCCTGAATTTGCTTATTTATCAAGCTTGACACTAGATTTCATTGAAAATGGAAACTCTCTACACATCAATTCATTTGCTAGAAACTTATCACAGAATGAACATGAAGGATTGAATCTACATATAATGAATTCGATGCACCCATTCCATGTGGTTATTTTGATACTCAATCATACTGTTCAGAGAAAAACCTCAGATGGTTGGAAGTACATATCATAAATAAATTGATAAACAAGAAGAATGTTTAAAACAATCAATCAATGCTGGTGGACCTAGCACAACAATACTACAAAAGTGCAAAATAACAAGCACCTAACACAAATTTCAGTCAACTACTCATCCATGAAGTAGTTGCAATAAAGCAAAACCAATTCATAAATCAGAAACAGACCTTTCCATTAGGAAGCTGTGCCCTATAGACACTTCCCAGCATGCCTGCTCCTAGAAGATTATCAGGAGAAAAGCTGTTTGTATATTGCTGAAGGGAAGCAATGGTAAAAGACTTCGCAAAAATTGCAAGGTTTGGATTTTTAGTGGAAGGCTTCAGTTTAGGCAATTCAGTTGGCACAAATGGCTTCACAATGACCTTCTCAACAGGTGGTGGTGGAGGAGGGGGGAGGAGGGGGAGGAGGAGGAGGAGGCGTCAAATACATATCAAGTGCACTCAAATCAGATTCTTGCCTTGTTACTGTGCCCGTCCTTTGGACATTTCTATCTTGCTCATCATTTGGCTTTGGAATTGCCCACGTTCTTCTGGTTTCTGTTTCATTATCCTCTTTGGGCCTCACAACTGCCTCTTTCGGAACTGTTCACCATAATTTTAGTGAGTTGCTTACAATAAGATGCATAAATATGAACGATCCAAGAAAGAACAATATACTTAAATTAGATTGAATAAAAAAAGTGCGAGAATTTGCCTTTCTGTATTAGATTGGTTGGTTGAACCAAGGAACCATTGTCCCTGGGAGGGTTCTCCCTGTCACCTATATATGCACCTATTTGATGCCGCTTGGAAATTCTGTCCGCCTCTTCTCTTCTGCCACGTCTTGGCATAAAAAACAAAATTGCTAGTACCAAAATAACAAAAAGCAAGACCCCACCAATTGATATCCCAACTACCCTTTTAGTAGTTAAAAATTTCTTTGATTTTCCAGAATTTGATGTATCTTGTGAAGATGGTCCATCAGCTTGTTTCCCAGGTGTTCTTCCAGGTGTTCTGCCAGGTGGTTTTCCAGTAGGTGGTCCCCAAAAAGACTGTGGAGGTGGGGGGTGGAGTCGAGAGAGATGTGGGTGGAGGGACTGGAGCAATAGAAGAATTGAATGGATTCCCATCTTTTCTGCATTAAGCATATAAGAATTAGTTACGTGGAAAAACAATTATAGTATCCAAATTATCAAGGTCTCTTTCCTTGATAACAATGTATAACAAAGATCAACAACTTAGATTCTGCATATGATATACTGCAACAGAACTTAATGCTTCATTTAAGGATAAGTCTACAATGTGTGTGAAACTGCAAATAATCTCTTCAAAATTTTGTACTCCATAAGGCTCACCTGAAATTTGGGATATTCAGCAACTTTTCAGGTATGGGTCCAGCGAAAAGGTTATTCTCTATATTCCTGTTTAGTAAGGAAGAAAAATCATTTATAATGGGAAAGGAATGTTGAAAATGAAAAGGCAAGATAGAACTAGAAACTTCTGAATTCTGTATATGACAAATAAAATGAATTGTTTAGATGATTACAGGTCACTTAGGGGAAGATCCTGCAAAACGTCTAGGGTTCCAGACAGCTGATTGTTCTGCAAATGTCTGCCAATAGAGGAGTTAGCTCTATTCATCGACACAAAAGATGCATAATAAACAAGGCTTACTTAGACAAGATACTCACAGAGTGGTCAGAGATACTAGGCTTTTTAGAGAGGGTGGCAGTTGCCCGCTCAAATTGTTACTGGACAAATCTCTGCAAAGGTTAAATGTGTGTATAAGCCTGAAAAGCATACAAAAGTAAAACTGGGAAATATAAGCCTGAAAAGTTCAGAATAAGAACCTACAAATTGATCAACCCTGTGATGCTCTGAAAGGAATCTGGTATTTCTCCAGTTAAAAGATTATTGTTAAGAGACCTGATTGGCAAAATAGCTTATCTTAGAAACAATCCTATAAAAAACTGAGAGCTGCTGTACCAAAAGCAAGAAAATGACTTACATGTCTGTGAGTTCAGCCAACGAAGCAAGAGAATCTGGGATGCTTCCAGTGAATTGGTTAGCTGAAAGAAAACTGCCAAAGGTATAGACTATCATATGTTTTGCATACATGAGCATAATAGATAGGAAATAATCAGCAGTATCAGGCTAATATTTGATATATGCAGTAAAAAATTATAATTTCATAAGAGGGTTGAACATACAAGTTTCGCAAGCTAACAGGTAAATTGGATGGAATACTTCCCCCAATATGGTTGTTGCTTAGATCTCTGCACATAAACACCAATGTCAATTATCCACAAACGTATCAAAATTTCAAAAAGAAAAAACTTATATATGAAGAAATGCAAGACATCATAATATGAGGAAAGCTAGTCCTAGATCTTTCCCCAACATTTTGCATTCTACCCTCGAGCACACACAGACTAAACAAGTCACCTTTGCAAATGCAAAACTATCATCCTAATGAGCATTCTGGATAAAAGCTAGTGTATAATGTCCATGGGCCCCACACTATCATCCAAAGATAACAACTTAAGAGTAAAACAAAAACAAAAACTTACAAGCACAAAGATTAAAGTAAAACCCATTTTGCATGCACAAAAAGCCCCTACATACATACTAACCAAACCTAAATCCACTCACAACCACCCCTTCATGCATATCTTCCTAATTTGCCTGTTATCTCTTAAAATGAAGACTAAAGGATTTTAATGACACTGAATCAAGATATAATTTGGAGCAAAAGATATAATAAAACAACATTACACACACACACACACATAAAGTTCCACCAGAGAGAGAGTACAACTTACATTGCCTGTATTGAAGCAAACATTCCTAAGTTTTCACCCAGTTGTCCTCCCAAATTAGCGCCATTAAGAACTCTATAAAATCATTATAATCATGAGACAGCTGAAAATTAACATGTTGAGAACGACCTGTCAACAAAAGTCGAAGAAAGAGACTAACATACATTCCCAATATTACAGAATCGTTACACTGAACGCCTTGCCATGTTTCACCACATGGGTCTCCTCCAGCTGAAGTCCACCCAGGAAGAACAGGCGTGCCAAGTGCAGCATGTAAGTTGTTAATTGCAGCAACTGACCAAACCAGAAGTAAGCGCAGATAATAAGTGTTTGTAGCTCCAATTAACTATAAAAATTTAAAACTAGTCAAGGAAACATGTTTGCACACACAATTACACTAGAATAAAGCATTCAATTGCTGAAAACGAAGACGCCGCCGCCGCCGCCGCCGAATCACATTATCAAAAGATTTTCTTTTCTTTGAAATAAGTAGGGGAAAAAAAAGACATACACAAAGTTATACACAGAAACAACAGAATAATGAGTTTTGATTATCTGAGAAATCCAGTCATAACAATAATACCAAGATTTAGAACTTGAACACCCACTCATTTTCCCACATAAGAATTTTAATGCTGAAGAATGGCCATCAAATAAAAATGGGAAGAGGCTTACCATCAGTAGGACTAGTGGCTCCAAGAGAAACTTGAGCCAAGCAGATCAATATCAACCCCAATGAAACCTGTCCATGGATCTTCAAGTTCTTGTACTCTAACACAGATCTCTTCCTACCCATTGATCCCAAGCTGAAGTTTACTTCTCAATTCCCTTTTTCATAAGCAATCACTCACAAATCATCCTCCAATCTGAAAAATAAACCAAAAACAAAAATCACATAATTAAAATAAAATATTGATATCCAAACAGAAAGCAGCCCTCGTGATCCTAACTGGCCACAAAAAAGTTAGCAAACCCACTTGCCAAAACTCACAGATAAACAATATCATAATTTCACACACACATATACACAGCTAAATGATTCGTGTAAAAACAATGGCCTGAACTTACAGAGAAAGTGGAGAGAGAAAAGAATTAAGCAAATGCTGAAGGAAATTGAAGTAAATGAAGCAAGAAGCAGCAGTGAGGAAAAATGCAGAGAGCTTTGTGGATAAAGTAGTGAATTGTTTCAATGTAGAATTTAACAGGAAAAAAAAAAGGAACTTAAGGGCTAAGATTCAAATGAAGTAAGCAATGTAAGTGAGGCACTTAAACAGAATTATTACATCATAATTCGAATTAACAATTACCAATATTAATCCTTTTTAGCCTTGGAAGAAAAGAAAAAGTTGGAAAAAGGCAGAGGAAAATGTAGAAAGGTACAGTGAGGAAGGAGGGGAGAAGGAGGTGCTGTGAAGCTCTGAAACTCTTCTCTCTCTTTCTCTCTCACACCACTATCTCTCTTTCTCTCTCTAAACTTCAACTCAGGAACAATGTATCTGCGTGCGCGTAAGTCATACATATCTCTTCGTATGAAAGGTTGAGCATAAAGCCCACGCTCGTTATGGCGCGCGCGTCGGTTTTATTTCCTTTTTCGGAGATTTATAATTTTATCTTGTAATATCACCACAATTATATATAAAAAAATCATTGACTTCGCTTTTATTTTTTCTGACTCATATTTAATGGATAAAATATGTAATCCAGATTAATCAGTTACCTAAATGAGCCCTCCTAATAGCCATTTTATGTTCTCTCCATGATGATAAATATGGTCTCACTTTGCTAATTTGTTTTTGTTTGGATACTAGCCCCTCCGTTCAATCGGGAAAAAGGTTAATCAGTTTGTTTACATAAAAATAAATTTTAAGTTTGTGAGCGCATATGATCTTCATTAAATTTACGTGAAATACACAAAAATGTACAAATTTCACATTATTTTTGTGAAATGCGGGCCCATAATGTTAGCATAAAATATACAATTTTCTTTTGGATGTTCTTTTAGTTAGTTTGAAATCTTTCATTGTGTATTGGCATTTTCAACTCAAACATAAACCATTAAAGTTGCTTTGTTTGGATGAACTAAAATGTGTAAAGGAGAGAAAAAGAATAGGAGGGAATTGAACCAAAACCTAATCGGCAAAGTAAGGCACACATGCTTTAGACAATAAAATAACTAATTTAAAATTTACACGTAAAGAACAAACAATAAACACACTAAAAATATAATATAGGAAGAATCAAACATACATAGTTTTGAAAAACATTCTCTTTAGTAACATAGGAAAATTTTATGTTTACGAAAAATAATTTATTTGAAGTTTGGAATGAATGAACTTTGAAAAACATTGGCATGTTAGTTCTATATTTTTCTCCCTATTTTTTATAATAAAAAATTCAAATAAATTAGTGATGAGTATTTGCATGGGTAGCTCTGCTCACGCATACCGCGTGAGCGTGACGAAGTCGGAAATTAAATTTTGTTTACACTAAAAACAGTACACGTCATTAATAGCCTCCAGATTTTCCATGGGCTTCACGTGTTCTGTCGAATAATTGTTACGGGCTTTTTATCCAGCTAATTAAAAGCCCACACAATTTATGAGGACATAGTTTTATATTTTTATATTTTTTCCCTTATTTTTCAATATTTATAGTCACGAAAATAAAATGTTTCATGAAAACGGTCACAATTTTGGACTCTTTCCAAAATTCAAAAAAATAAAATAATATATATATATATATATATATTGGACGAGTTTAAAAGCCTGTTTGGATGAGGAGCGTTACTTGGGTTGGAGGTTAATTTTTGTCATAACGTGGAGTGTGGGGAATAAAATTAAGGGTGAGGAAAAGCGACTTTAAAGAAAAGCAAAATTTTTCTATTATCTCTATCGGTTTCCAACGGACGAAAAGAAAAAAAAAGTCATAAGTCATTAGAAAATGGAAAAATCGGATCTCGAAAAAGGTAGGCGGTCTTTAGCTGTCATTCATCGCGGCGGAATCTCTCTGATAACAGCCAGTTGAGCCACCGACTAAAATGACCGAAAACTACAACTTCTTGCGTCGTTTACTTCACATCATTCGTATTATATTGTAGTGTCTCTTTTGTCTCCAAAAAAAAATGAGTTTTGCAAAGCAATGCCACGGCGACACCACCTCAACTGAAAACAGTGTGCTACTTGCTTTTGGTACTACTTAAACCAATTTATAGTTAAAAACTAAGAAGAGATAATCTTATTTAGCTGCTGATTATATCATGTGGCAAGCTGCGATAATTATACTGATACTGCAATTTAAATAGTTAAGAGCATTTAACTACACACATGATGTATATTGTGATTGATTCTTTTTTATCTCAATATCATTTTGTGTGAGAAAAATACATATAGACATGAGGGACCCGATGTCTCAAAAAGAGGGGGGGAAAAAAAACAAAACTTGTTCTCTTTAATATCATCAGACTTTGGGTGCAATGTTAAATGATTTTAATCACTTGAGTTACAAAACTCCTTACAAGTCGTGTTAATATTCGATTTAACAGAGAAATAAAATACTAACTAACTCTTAATCTAATTTAATTATCTTTATAACGTCGAACGATGTCTTAAGTTTGAATTATCTATTTCTCATTAATTAAACAAAATGAAAGATGCAAGAATCAAACCATTGTATGAGATGAGTGTGAAGGAATATCCCCAATTGTATTGTCACATGGATTGCCAGTCATTAGTTTTAAACTTAATTTAAACCTAATCCATGTGACTGGCAAAATGAAGAGAATTATAAAATTAAAAAAAAGATAAAGAACAAGGCTGGAGGAGATATAAATTTGGAGGAAATTAGATAATATTAATGGATGGGCAGATCTGGTACTTGGAGTTTGGAGGAGAAAGACAGAGAAAGCAACCTCGTAACTGAACTTAGGCAATAATAAGAATTGGTTAAGTCACACTCATAAGGATATATAAAATTTAGTGGATGATAAGCTAAGCACTGGTCCAAATTCTCTCCAGGTCTGTCTGATCAATGCATACATGTCATGTACATCTAACGGACATATATCCCTAAAGATATATACAGATATCAACAAGCTGTTTCTTTCTTCTGTCCTTGTATCTATTATTTATACGTAGGACCTTTGGTGGTGCCCCAGCACCTTTGAATAGATGCTATTTGTTGACGACTTAAGGATGATGCCCAAGCTTATTGGCTGCAAAAAGAGAGTCATTTTCAAAAAGGGAAAGCCAATTAACACCCAATCGGAAATCGACGCGCTTGAATTTAATATATTTTTGCACACTTTCTGTTTTCAGATATCTCATTTTTTTATCAACGCGTAGAGCCTAAGCTCCAACCTACCGAGTAACATTGTCACCGTGATGTTACTAATTTACTGTTATTATAACATGTTCTTTTTTTTTTTGAAACTACATTTTTGATGTCTTAAAAAAAATTGGACAAACAAGAGATAAACAATACAACCACACATGCACAGAAGACCACGAGGTTGATGTTGTTTACCTAACTCCATTGAAATGAGAACCGGGTTACGTCCAGGAGGTTTTTATTAATGTATTTCATTATAGTGTAGGTTACATTGCACACATTGTGGCTTGAGAAGTTACAATGAGATGTTGCAGGCCTATTCGCCCTCATGTGATACTAACATATATCCTAGAGTGTAAATTCATCACTTATTTGTGTTATGGTGTAGGTTACATTGCACACATTGTGTGGCTGATAGACTTGTTAAGTTTGCTTTAGGTAGTGTGTCTATAGACATTTAGTTTGAAGAGGATCCTTCATGGATCAATGTATTTCTTCAAGCTGACTATGATATTATGGAGTTGTCATAAGTTTTTGTTTGTTGTCTTTATGGAGCGTGTGACACTCTTTTTTCTTCGTTCCAAGTTTTGTTTCACTGGATTTTCCTGGACAAGGTTTTAATGAGGCCACGTTTGTTCGCTCGAATATATAACATTTCACAATTTTAATGCAAATTTACTACTTCCTCTAAAAATAAAAGGGAGTTTTACTATAACACCCAAAATGGGGGTTGAAATTATAAAAAAACCCAAACACTATTTAAACATATAAACACACCCAAAACCCATCATTACACACACTCAAAACCCATTTATAAACACACCCAAAAAGTTGACTTTGGGGTTGATTTTGGGTGTGTTTCTATGTTTAAATAGTGTTTGAGTTTTTTTATAAATACATGTCTAGGATTGGGTTTATTTATAAATTTGTAAAAATGAAAATGAAAATATCTGTCTCGAATTCATGATTTACTTGATTTCAAGTAATTACAAATATGCGTTATTTTTAGCACATCAAGGTTTATGAGAGAGCTTTTATTTATTTTTTCTTTCTAATATAAGTGATAATCTAAATTATCAAGGAGTGAGACTTCTTACACATCTACACAACTATAATGCCGTGAGAATTTGAACATAAGACTTATGGTTTGCAAATTTCCACTAGGCTAGACGCCATTTGCTATATTGAGGGTTCAATATAGCCATCTAATGTTGAGGAGTTCATTGACCGAAAAGCTATTGTTGACCCCTCATTAGAACCCAGGTCCTCGATAGCCGCTCAACATAGGCTAGCCTTACTGGGTTTCTGATATTTTGGGCTCCCCATTGGCCCAAACCAACCCAATTTACTCTAAAATATTAGGCCCTAATAGAGTTACACATTGGCCATTGTTTTCAGATCCAAAATTGTCTGCGCCAACCAAACTAACCACCAAATCTCATCACCTTCTTCCTCATCCTCGAACCGTCTGAATCTCTCCGTATCGCTCATCACATTATAGCAAGACCCACATCGGACGAGAGATGCAGACCCGGTTCACAACCCTAGTTGGTCGAACCCTAATATCGACCACGCGGTCCTTCTCGTCGTCCACCCAAACCCCACCCTCGACCACCACAACCTCCTCTCAATTCCCACAGACTCTGGCGGGCCTGCGGGCCCGCCTCGCCGCCGAGTCTCCAATTCTGACGGACTTCGTGGAAGGCGAAGGCCCATACTCCGTCGAAGTTGGAACCAAGAAGAACCCTCTCCCCAAGCCAAAATGGATGAAGGAGTCAATTCCCGGCGGCCAAAAGTACACTCAGATCAAGAAGAAGCTCAGAGAATTGAAGCTCCACACGGTGTGCGAGGAGGCCAAGTGTCCCAACCTCGGTGAGTGCTGGTCCGGCGGCGAGACCGGCACCGCCACCGCTACGATCATGATTCTCGGTGACACGTGCACCCGCGGTTGCAGGCAAGTTGTTCGATGAAATGCGCTTGAGAGCTAGTCGCTGTGCTTTTTTGGTTTTTGTTTTGATGGGAGTTTTTGGTTGTGTGTTAAAATTTGTAGATTTTGTAATGTGAAGACTTCGAAGACTCCACCTCCTCCTGACCCCAATGAACCGTCGAATGTGGCGGAGGCAATCGCGTCATGGGGTTTGGATTATGTGGTGATTACTAGCGTGGACCGGGACGATTTGCCTGATCAAGGGAGTGGGCATTTTGCGGAGACCGTGCAAAAGTTGAAGACGCTGAAACCCAGTATGCTAATTGAGGCTTTGGGTATGATTTTTATCTTTTATTTTATTTTTTTTGGATTATGAATTTGTGTTAATAATAGTGTTTAAATTAGGATGATAGAAATCAACTCAGTATAGAATTCAGAACATTATGTTGAGTGGACTAAAGATTGCGTTTTGTATGTATAAATGAATGGTTAAGAGATTCTAGCTAACGGATGTTAAACCTGGAAATTATGTGATTGCAGTTCTTTTATGTCTAGACTTTTCCGTTGTTGTTTGTTTTCCATATGCGATGTTGATTTGCCATGTTGTCTTGTAGTTCCTGATTTTCGGGGAGACTCCAGCTGCGTAGAGAAAGTTGCAACATCAGGATTAGATGTTCTTGCTCACAATATTGAGACAGTTGAAGAGCTTCAGAGGGCAGTGCGGGATCATCGTGCCAATTTTAAACAATCTTTAGATGTTCTAATGATGGCCAAAGATTATGCTCCTGCTGGAACACTTACAAAGACTTCAGTAATGTTAGGTTGTGGGGAAACACCTGATCAAGTTGTGAGGACAATGGAGAAGGTGAGAGCAGCAGGTGTTGATGTGATGACATTTGGTCAATACATGCGTCCTTCGAAGCGCCATATGCCTGTATCTGAATACATTACTCCTGAAGCTTTTGAGAAGTATCGAGCTCTTGGCATGGAAATGGTATGCTTTTATCATTTTAACTAAGCTGGCTATGCTATTTGATGTTTCTTTGCAAAACAGGTTTTCTCATTTTCTCTTGTAGTTTGGAAGAAAAAAAAATGTTTGAGCACTGGTATAATTAGTTGCTCTCTCATGTCATGCTTGAGCACAACTTATAAACAAATGATCTTCTGGCCCACCTCACATATAAATTTGGTTACAAGCACGTTAGGCAGCTTTGGTTGCTCCCAGGTCCTATACCTGGAAACCAGATCAGGGATCAGGCAAGGTAACAGCTGTATCGAGCCTGGTTTACTCTGGATGTGGTAAAATCGTGTTATGAATATTTTGACAACTACACAACTGAGTGTCGTGAATATATGAATTGATACAATACCATCTCATTCTATGAAGCAAGCATATGATCACATGATCGTCTGTATCTATACCAGTTCAATCAACGGTTTATTTTGAATGTAACAGGGATTTCGATATGTGGCTTCTGGTCCCATGGTAAGGTCGTCATACAAAGCCGGTGAATTCTACATCAAATCTATGATAGAATCAGATCGGGCCACTTCTTCGCATCTTTCTGTCTCATGATAAGTGGGTTTGTTTCCTACCTTGTCGTCTTTTGACAAAGCGTCGGTCTGTATTCTTTTCCATCGGCGTACTCTGTGTATTGTACAAGTGATGATTATAGAGCGCCCAAGCATACATGGTCTTGTTATGATATCTTCCAGTTGTATGCTCAATTCATTGTAATTATCAGACACCACTCTGCTCCGCTGCTCTATTGAGGTCTTATATCACTGTGATTGCTGCTGTTAATCAGCTTATTAATAGAAAGAATAATTGATTATTCTTCAATGCCACATCCATTATACATGCTGCTCCTCTTTTTTATTTTGATTCTCGTTTGGCACTAAACACACACGAAGCGACTGATGTGGATGGCAAGAAGCTGCCTTGCAATACAATCCTTTTACACAGTGTAGTTAATAATATATGATTGCTTATAAGTCCCACATGTTTGGGTCTACTTGATGGCAATGGCTTTATAGCATATGCCAAAATCATTCGTCTTGTCGCAAAAGTTTACTTGAAAACCATCTCTCTTCTTTTATGTTGTAGCTTGCAATGATCCTAGGAAGGTTCGCCAGACTGGTTGCGGGTCCTCCTCCCTCGGTCAGGCCTGAACCACCTACCTACTAGTTAGTAGTAGGACTTAGTACTGGACCTACTAGAGTCTTCTTCACGCCCATATGTTATCCTTTCGTTTTATATTGAAGATCAGCGACTCTAGCATCTGGGGACCATATTTGATATGTTGGTGGCGCATGGGCATCTTTTGCTTTTGGCATTGTTTTTCTAAATTTTTGCCCGTACGAAACCTTTGTGTTTTCTATCTATCTATTCCTTCTCCTAAAAAGTTTTTGTTGCTCCGTTTGGGGTTCCCTTTTCAAGTCTCTGAGAAACCATAATCATTCATTGAGCGTGCTGTGGTGAGAGAGAGGTGAATATACCGTACACAAATATATATATATATATATATGTATATGTATATGTCACGTCAGCATTACCTGCAATGCAATGAGGCTTTTGCTGCATAAAGCTTTTGCAACTGAAGAGTGAAGAGGGCCTCATCCTCATCAGAACGCCCAAACCAATCAATCCATCATCAATATCTCTGCCCTAAAGCTCTTGGCTGTTTGGAGATAGTCTTTTAGCCTAAAGGTTAAAACCTGTGTCTCTGCGCCCGTCACTCTCTCTCTCCCCTCCCATTTATGACCGTTAAATTTTAAATCTTTCTTTCCCACCCAACCCTCCCTCACTTACTCACTAGCTAGCCACTACCAAGTTCCACTAAAGCGCTCTGAAAATAATCCCTGCTTTCACAAACCATAAAAACTCATAAATGGGTTGTTGTCTCGGCACCACCAAGACCCCAAACCAAGACCCTCACCACCACCCAAATGGCCCCAACAACCGCCACTTCCACGCTAGATCTTCGGTGACGGAACCCGACCCGACTCATATCCAGAAAACCCAACTCAGAGCCTCGACGCCGCCACCGCCTCCACATCCTCCACCGGTTGTTGAAGAAGAGTCAGTGAAGGAGGTTCTCTCCGAAACCCCCATCTCCAAACCCCAAATCCCCAAAATATCCCTAGACCAAATCACCCATCTGCCTCCGAAATTCCAAGAAGAGCTTCCCGATTTTCCTCCGCAACCCCAAGCAGAACCCATCCATTTTCCTCCGAATCCCCAGGCAGAGCTCACCCATTTTCCTCCGAATCTCCAGGCAGAGCTCACCCATGTTCCTCCGAAACTCCAAGCAGAGCAGCCCAAGGAGCTCTCCGAGGAGCCTTCTCAGGCTTCAGACCTTTGTGGGGTTAGCGAGAGCTTCTCATTGTCAACAACCACCACCACAACCACCATTACAGACGCCAGAGAAGACGAAGCTACGAGCAAGCGGAAGAGAGACGTGGGAAACAGAGACAGGGCGAGTGGGCCTTCTTCAACGACGGCACGCTGCAAGCGTCCTTACTCCGGCGAACTCGCCGGCCGGAGAGAAAAAGGAGTCAAGCTCCCTGCGAGGGGGCCGGATCCTCCAATGGGGAAGAGGAATCGGACTGAAACGAGGTCGTCTCGCGGGCGGGAATCGGGTCAGCTGAGGACCATGCAGCGTGGCGCGGGCCCCACCGGAGTCAGGCGTGATGCGGTGTCGTCCCGGTCGAGGTCACCAGCTACTCGGACGGCCGGTGGTGCTGGTCGGGCAGCTGTAGGAAGGAGCCCGGCGAAGGTGACTGGACGAGCCGCTGCCTGTGGCAGTTCATCGCAGCAGGGAGCAGTGGAGAGTGAGGGTAAACAAATTAAAAAGGAGGCGGAACCATCAAACGACGGCGTTTCGAAACCCCAGAAGCAGGGGAATGAGTCCCTCGAGTTAGAATGCTTCATCTTTGTCTAAGTCTGCTTTTTTAGACTACTGGTTGCATTTTGTGCGAAATGTTTTTCTTGGCTTTTCTTGAAAGCATTGTGGAATTGAGCTGTTTTGCTGCATAAACATTTGCTGATAAGATAGATTAGAGCAGCTTCAAATAGCAAAAGGGAAGTGCTTTTGAAAAAATGGGAAATTTTTTTTGCTTAAAAAAACGATGTATATATATTCTCTGGATATGGCATCATCAGGATTGGGTTGTGTCTTTATCTTTGTGTGAATTAGTGTTGAGCATCCTTGTTTTTGGGACTTTGTCTTGTGATTAATTGTGAATTAAAACCCAACAATCTTTCTTTGTTGTGTGTTGGATTGCAGCAGCAGCAGCAGGAGCTGACTTGCTGAGTTGTGGCTGCAAAACAATGTTCTTCTCCTTTCTTTCTTACTTTATTTTTTCAAAATATTTTGTTCAAAAAGTTGAGATTTGCAAATCGTCTAGGGATATGTACTGGACTGGAAATGGTCCTCCTCCTCGAATTGGCGGTATCTTCTCTTGGAATGGAATGGGATGGGCGGTGGGAAAGACAAAGACTTTTTAGTTCTTTCCCTTTCATTGGTTTTGGTGTAACTTTTTTCGTTTTGGTCTTGGTTTTGCATACAAATAATACAAAGGCTTCTAGTGTCCCCCAGAATTTGTTTCTGCTCGTACGGTCTGTACTCAGGAACATTTGGTGATTTGGTAGGAAATTTCCTCTTTTTTGTTTGGTAAATGTAAATCAACGTAGTCTTTCCCATCTCTCTTTTTTAACTTTAAAAGTTGAGAGGCGTAAATTAGACTAGTTGATTAGGGCAGCATCTAAGTTTGAATTCATCTTTCCGTAGATTATATTAATTTTTGATAATTTAGACTATTTTTTGTATTTAAATAAAAAATAAAAGCCTTCAATTGTATAGGTTTAGTGGTAATCTTTTCTGGGTTTTTAGCCGACTCTCTAACATTTCTTTTGGGCTTTAGAAGGTGAAAAACCAAGCAAGCTTGTTTGAGTGAGTTATTTTATAGCGAGGGCCTTATATATGACACTTAGGTAAGGTCACTTTAGCTGGATTGGCAGGACCAGTTTGTGGATGGTTATTTGATTTTCATCCACCGCAGGCTAACAAAGCCACAAACTTAAGTTACATAGAATTGAAATGAGCTACCAAGAAAACATATACATAAGTGGAATTTACATATCCTTGTGCTGATGATGAGTCTTTCTGGTTACTAGCTTCCTTCCTAGGTTCAAAACACTAATGTGATTGTCAATAACTAACCCAAGTTTTAATAATGTCTGAAACTAAAAGCACTTTTGTTGAAAACTAGGTATGATTCTGCTGATTTCTAGGTATGACTAGAAATTCAGCTTGAGGAGGAGGGGTTGAGGCATGGCTTGTGTTGATGCAGAGGCCACGCGGCGCGCTCTCTGGGGCATGGTGCAGGTGCAGGATGTGCAATGAAAGTAGGAATATCTTCTCCAGGCATCACCACAGAAACTTCTTTGGCATAGCTTGTCATCTGCACAAATTCAATACAAAACTATCTTACAACTCAATTTCCTTACAGCGCAAAAGCACAAATAACATGCAATTACAAATAAATCCAAATCAAGGAAAGCCACTTTTCTGGCGTGGTTGGTGGCTTTTAAAGATTCAAATGCAGCACAGCAAGCCCTTTTGCTTAATCATTCTTGCAATCCAAGAATAGAACATGAATATGAATATGATAATCACTCCTTCACTAGTGGGTTAACAAAAAGTAAACAAATAACAATAAGAAATTTCCTTCGCGTGAATTGTACACCTTCTAAAAATACTAAAGCTGTCTGCAGAATACTTAACCCTCTCCTCAAATCAAGGCTTCTCACAAACCAAATTCAACTATCAAACATCAAATATATTCACAATTCATCGATCACTCAATGTCGTACGGACACGTGGCACCCGAACATAATTTGTTTTATTATGCATAAGAAACAAATGAGTTGGTGGTATGCCTGTTTTTGGAGATCATACAAGGCATAAACATTTGGAACATCAATCACATGGTGAACATAGGTCCTTGCACCATGTGGCTAAGTTTTGCCATTCCCATGCTTAAAATCAGGGTTCATGGCAGTAGTTGGTCGAAGAACAAGTACTTGATCAGTATATAAATCTCATAATTTTATCAATAATTGAGTCAAAGACTCTACTTATTGCTTGATAGTCTGCCTAAAAAAACAAATTAAGAACAGTCAACAAAGCATTACAAACATTAATAATGAGAAATGGTTTGAAATGATGAAAATACGATAAAATTTTCATGATTTAAAATCATGGGTTTTGGGATATTAATAATCAAATAAGATTGCAAGTAATGCAGATCCTATAAACTATGTAGCCCAATATAGAAATGGAAGCTCCAAATAACTCACTGTCATCTTGATGAGATTGTTACTTAAATTAAAACCACTAACCCCCCAAATTAGCTAAAGAGAAGACAACAACAAATTCTACAAATAAAAACAGGGTTCTGTTATGTTCTTTCTTCTGTTAGTGACACTATTTTTTGTTTTTACTTTTGTTTTTGGTGGAGAATGACAAACCCATTTTCATATTGAACAAAATCCAGTGAAACTGGAATCAGCTTAGCTATAATTGCACCCCCATAAAAGAAAGTAAAAAAAGTTCAGCAGTGAACAAGAGAAATTAAATGAAGCTTACTTTGGGAGAGTGGTGATCAAGCTTGGGATTCTGGTAGACAATCTGTTGCTGGAGATCGAAACGAGTGGTTCGAGAAGTTGAAGGCAGATGTGATGATCTGGGCCTGAAAAATCTCTCAAAAATAGCCATAACAAGAAACATTGATATGAGAATGGCAGTAGCAACAAAACCCAAGGAAACTGCATTGACTGAGTTGTTAAAATTCCTCCACTGCTCTTCTTCTCTCTCTGTATTTTGTGCAGCCATCATCATGGCTGGTGCCATAGCTATGCCGCCGTCCCAATTGTCTTCATCCCCCATTTAGAGCCAAACCTCAGCAGAAACCTCTCTCCTCTCTTCCTTTATGTCATTAACAACTAAGCTCAGAAAAAATGGTGAGGAAAAAGAGAGAAACCCAGTTGTGCATTTCTTCACTTCATAGTGAATTGTAGAGCACAAAAGCAGAAAAAACAGAGAGAAAAAACAGAGAAAAAACAGAGGGAAAACAGAGAGATGGTTGGAGGTTGAAATGCCTACAGACGGAGGGAGTCTCTAGGCTTTATGGGTCGAATACAAGTCCTGCTTGGGCTAGTTTTTGTTTGGAATTATTATATACGAACCTTTTATTGGGCCAAGCGTTTATGTCTAGCCACGCAAACAAGTGTGGAAACTGAAAAGCTTCCAAAGTTATTACATTTCCATGCTTTTGTTTTTGTGTGGAAGATTGCAACTTTAAATTCTATAATAAATTGGATATAATTTTATGTTTTAAATTTAAAAAGTTGTGATTTGTGAAGTAAAGGCAACCAACGTCCAAGATTGACTAAGATAGAAGTCTCCTATTGCTTGTAGGAAAAGAAATCGTCAAACCACCTCAGGTTATGGTTCTTACAAAGTTGAAATTAGCTATTCGTCTCTTCATTGAACTACAATTCTCTAGATGTAGACGCTGCTAGAATCTGCGGATGTGAGAAGCCTGAACTGAGTTTTGCTCTTCCAATGTTGATGAATTTTTCAACTGCACAGGTCTTTTATTGAAAAGCTTAATCATTGATGGACAGTAGAACTGATCTGGCCAGGCCAGTCCTCATTTATCTTACTTAAAAAAACAAGACTGATGGATGCTTAAAGTTTTAGATTTCTATTAGAAACAAGTCTTTCAATCCCTTGGATGTAAATGGGGTTGCCACAGCCAATGCCATTTTATCTTCAATTGTTTCTCTCGTTCTCCGTTTAGAGCATTCACCACGCATGAGGGAATGGCAAGGACATGATATATAAGCAGGAGAAACAATGTAACAAAGCCTTATTCTGTAACTGTCCGACATTTGATAGCGCGCAGCTGCAAGTCTTGGTTTTGACATGTGATCTCTCTAATTCGGAAGAAATTAACCCGCCATACGCAACTTATGTTGCTAATGAGCATATGCAGTGCTGTAAACCCTTTTAACTGTGCATAGATTGAGAATACTGAGGATCACCTTGTTGCTGGTGCACCTAGGGGTCTTAAATTGGCTCAAAGCAGAACCATTTACTATGAAATGTTCCAAAATTTTCTTGAAAGTTCCTTTCTCCACAATGCGCAGCTCCAGAGGCCCAATTGAATTGCTTCTCCTTGAGACCACATAGCCATGATCCACAAATGATGCATCCATCTCTCTACAACATTCACCAAGAACCCTCTCTTCAACTTCGCCTTTGATCTCCCAATATATGATGTAGTGGCCTGGTTGAGTTAGCAGATCAGCATGGCTTGTAAAGTCAACCAGTTCAGCTTTGGACTTGCTCAGCAATTGAGACCCTCTCTCTACCACTATCTGAAGGTCCTTTTCTGTGTTTTTGTCAATGTTTACTGTCAATATAAGCTTTCTTCTGCATATAAAGTTCAATTTTGGAGTCCCATTGTGGAAACCAGCCACTTCCACCACATCCCCTAACCTGTACCTATAAAGTCCTGAAAACATTATACAAACATTCATTATTTTAAAATTTAAAATTAAAACAAAAGCAAGATTTTGCTTTTATTTCCCTCATTTTGTGATGTTTCAACTTCAACAGCTCAAATATTGATCAACACATCACACAGATCCTCATGCATACTCTTTTCGAGACCATGATATTATGGTCTTAGTTTCATCCACGTATCCTGACTACCTAATTTTTCCAAAATGTAACTAGTGGGCCATGAGTTTGAGAAAATGATCAGATTTTTCCAAGATTGCTGCTGGTCTGCAAATAATCAACAGTCCACGTGTCTGTATTGAATCGAGGCTTGGTTTGTTGCAGGAAAATATAGTGATGGGGCATAGACATGTACAATTCAAAGTTCTACTGATGAAAGTCGTTTATGTCAGGGCAACCAGTTGAGCTGGCCTAGTAAAGATGCTAAAATGCTTAAGAAAAACAGTCACTTTAACATGGGTTTAATATGTAAAATTAGATTAACTTCAAACACCGAACTGTCTCACGATGTTCTAAACCCAACTCACTTATCACTTGAATCGGCCAAAAACGGAACCCTTGGGACTGTTACATGCTTCATGTAGAAATGTTTGCTAAAAAATTGATATCCATGAGAAAAAGAGAAAAGAGAAGAGAAAAGCAAGAGTGACAACTCACCAGTGAAAGTAGTGAGGACTATCTCATATTGCTGTCCAACCATGACTTGGGATAGTGGGACTGGTTTATCTTCTATGAAATCATCAATGGCTAAATTGCAATCTTGCTTATGTCTATGGAGTGGTATGAACTCAAAGTAAGAAAAAGTTGGTACCACAGCAAAAGTCACATCCTCTGGAGGCAAACAAGGATCCACATTCACCCCAATCCAACTCTCAGTTGATCCATATTCTGCACTAACTAATGGCACATCCCCTGCAAAGCGTCTGAGTTTTTTCAAATATGGTTGCATTGATCCTGTCATTATAGAATACACATACTTGGCATTTGGCCAGAGCTTAGGAATTAGACCAAACCAATCCAAATCTTCCAAGCCCTTGCAACTAGCTTCGATTTTTGAAGCCAATGTTGGGTTTGGGGAGATGGTATCCAAGACCACTTTTCGCACTTTCGGTAGATTGATTCTTTTGCTTAGAGTGCCATCTCTGATGTCCTTGCACAACTCTTTCCAGAGTTCTTCAAAAGTGATGAAGGCCTGCACTATGCTATAGGCAAAGGTGGAGGTTATGAACTCTACTTGATCAGAGAAGAAGAGGCCAAGAAGGAGATGGCAGTATGTTGATTGTTTGCTGTCACCACTTGCAATGACTTCTTCTGGGCTGCAAGTGAATGACTTGGTTTTTTCCTGTTTGATCTTGAATTCTTGGCTGGCATAGTAGTGAGTTGTGGCTGTTCCTGCTGTTAATCCTCCCTTAGTTTTGAACTGTCTGCTGCTGTATATGAATTCCAGGATCCTCCCTCCTTCCCTTGTTGGATAAACTCTACAATCAAGAGGAAGAAAGCTCAGTAAAATTAAAGAGCCACTTAAAGAAATTTCTAAGTATTCATGATAAAAGATTGGAATATTGCCGTAAGATATAGGTTCATATAAATTAAATGAAAGATTCAGAAGTTCAGATAGTTATTCATAAAATAGAACAATGAAAAATTTGTAGAGTAGCCAACCTTGATCTGTAAGCTGCAGCCAACCTAAATATTTGAAGAGTGGTCTGTGCGCTATGGCGCGTAAAGGGTACGTACTTCTGTCTCCCATCTGTGGTTCCAGAACTAGAAGAACATTAAACCCAACAAAAAAGTGAGAAAGATAAGCCAAATTGAAAAAACAGAGGTAATGGTGGATTTTTTCTTTGAACTCAATACAACAGCAAAAATGTTCCGAGCAGGCATAAGATAGCACAAACAAGTTATATTTTACTCAGTTTGGTCGAAAACTAGGAATAATGTAAAGCACATAACCTAATGAAGGAACCTACCTTAAGGAGAGAGTGGTCATAGGTTGTTGGGTGAGTATAGGGCCAGTGTCCCCATTTGCAATTCTGTGAATATAAGGCTCTAAATCTGCATGTGAAGCAAGGGGCACCAAAGAAGTGTAGAGAGATTCCAATACAAATCCATCTACCTCTTGGATTTTGATGTCCCCCAACCATTGCCTGAGATATTCCACACTGCAGTTTTGCTCAAGTATCTCCCTGAGTGTCTGTGTTTGAACCAAACCAGCTTTCTCAGTCACATCTTCAAACCACCCAATGATGTCTTCTCCATAGTTGCCATTGCTCTGGTTATTCGTACACGCAGCTGGTTCCATTGGAGAGATTCTGAGAGGCTGCAGAAAATAATAAAGTTGGTACAATTGTTAGTGGGGGTCCTGACTGCTCTTGTTTCTCTCTAGCATATATATGATTTATATAGAGCACAGCACAAAATTCAAATCTCTCTCTTGGATTATGGCAATCTATCTTGAGCTAGCCTTTGTCGTTTATTAAAAAGCTCAACCAACCTTCTAATGTTGCACAACCTCACTCTTCTTAGAATGGTACGATGCCTTGTAGACCACAAGACATACGTAGTGTCATCCTTTTTTGAAGGAGAGAGAGAGAGAGAGAGAGAGAGAGAGAGAGAGAGAGAGAGAGAGAGAGAGATAGAGATTCTTCTTTGAAACGATATGGGGACAAGGATTGCCAAAGGACCAAAACCAATCAGCTTTAACAGCTTGGCCTAGCAGCATCATGCTCTATTTTTCCCTCCAATTACTAAGCCACCCTTTGAAAATTGAGAGGATTTTATGATATATAGTAGTGCCTCATTCATACATAAATACTCTCGTCTCTCATTTTTGGTGGAAGACCCCTCTGCCCACCTTCCTATTTCTACTGCTAAGGCAAGGTACAGAAATTTAGGTGGACAATGATCTCATTCTAGTTTTTAGGAACCCAAATTTTAGGCACATGTGGCAATAAGAGGAACACCACTTCATCAAGTCAAAGACAGAAAATGGTAAACACACCAAACCTACTATGACTACTTCGGTAAACACACCAAACCTACCATGACAATTTTGGTATGGGATAATTACTTCCTAACAAAGTTAGACTGAAGACTTGATCCATAGATTTATACAAAAAAAAGAAATACAAGGTAATGAACTAGTTTTCACTTTTTTTGAAGAATCATCTTTCCCATTTTCTTGCTAGTAGCCTGAAAGTATATTTGGAGCCATGAAAGAAAAGATTGGCGTTTAGTTGGAGGGAGTTTTGCCTGATGCAGACACATCATATCATTTTCCAAGAGCAAAGGCGCTTTGGGATGGAGATGCACAAAGAGGAAATCTACTTGCTATTTATGCTCACTTAAAGAAAGGGTTGAAGCTTGACGAGAAGATACCAAGCTTCCTTCAAGAAGCTATATTTGGCCTCTTATTTCCAGAAATTTTCATGCTCCTAAATTTTCTTATTCTTCATGATTTGTGGCAGATTATGCATATATATCGCATATGTATGGCGTGCTTGCTCAATCGAGTGGCGACTGACCTAAGCATTTCTTATAAATACATAATCACGATTTCCCTATTTATTACAGCTCACAAAAGTCTATATTCATAACTATTAAGTCAAGATGTAACTCTTGCAAGCAAATTTATAGTTATAGTGGTTTAGAGTATTTATTCTTATACTCCCTCATGAATCACGATCAAATTAGTTCGAGTCTCTTTCTTAGCTCCTTTTCTATATAAGAAAAATTAATTACTTGTAATTTCTTTTGTTATCAAAGAACAAGGTATTTTATCAAGATAGTTGTTAGATTTTGTTTTCCAACTCTTGTGGATCTCTACGGACCAGTCAGCCTTAGATAAAAACTATCCCCTCATTGCGTGCAAATTGGCAAAGACTGATCAAATCAAACCCAGATTTTGTGTAGGGAGAAGAATGCTTTACCACCCAAAACCCACTGGTTTTTTTTTATTCATAAACTCACTGGTTAATTTCACACCATTGGTGCACTGCATATTCTGCAGAAGAGACCCACACCACGCCCTATAATTTTGTAGGCACTTAATGTAATATCCTTTCCTAGCTGGATAATTAACAAGTGGTTGTGCATAGACAAGCTTTACTTGTCTCTGGGGCCCCTGCCTTCCAAATGCGTGCGTCCAGTGCCAGGACCATTTGTAGCTTCACTCTCTCCATTTCACCATCAGTGATGTAGCTACTCACAACTGTTTAAATCTCATCTGATCTAAGTCCATGTCCAAAGCTATAATGATTACAATTACTTGAGAGTTTTTCCCAGCCAAAATCAACATTTCGTTATTCATGAAATTAATCGAACATGTGTGTGTTAAGTTTAGGAGCCACTCATTTACAAGCCAAAATCTTTTTCCAGATCTTGTGGGGTTTCTAATTTTCCCACCTGTTTCACATAAGATTTTAGGGGTCAAAAACCAGCTTTTTCCATAAATCCAAATGATTTTAAAAAGGCACTAATCAACTTTGATTAGTTGATAAATTCTATTGATGTAAAGTTTCTTCATGATTTAACAGATGATGTTTAGCTTTGTTGCACCTTGCAGAAACAAATACATGACTCCGAAACAAATATATATTTTTTGGTCTCAAGATTGTTAGATTTAGACTGATATAATCTCCCCGGAGGAAACCGAAAGCTAGATATTTTCCAATGTCACAAGAAGAGAAGTTCTTCAATTACCACTAGTTTCTGCGATACCATAACCTGCCGACCAAACGGGGCTAAAGAATGAACAAATCTTATCTTGATAATATAAGGACATTACGTATGAGAACCAACAGTTAGAAACACAACGTCAATAACGTGACAAGGGTAGTGTAACGAAGAAGGCGACAGTTGGATCGTTGATATTTTTTTTTCCTTTTTATATTTCTTTTAAATTTGAATTTGCAACAAGTCGTCGGTACCTTAATTCTTGTCTGTTAGCGTCCAGAGAAGTCACTACCATAGAGTTTATACTTCATTTTGTTCCAAGGGAAAAAGGGGTGCTAGTGTTGTTGTGTTGTGTGAGCAAAGATTTCCAGTTGTACTTGCTAACTTTTTATTACCCCAGTGGCAAATAAAAGCTGTTGGCTATTGCAGTGAAAGTGGAGAAAATGGAAAAATAGAACAAAGAAGAAGAAGAAGAAGAAGAAACAAAATCTTCTCAAATAAGAAAAACCTGAACAAAATCTTCCCAATAGACATGATAAGCTTTTTTTGGCAAACCGATGAAGTCGCACTTATCACAGATGATGACATTAATGTGGAAATCAATCTCAAGACAACCAGAAAACCCTGGACCAAAATTAATCTCAGAAAGCAGCTCTACAGAAAATATAAAAACCCTGGACCAAAATTGATCTCACCCTGGACCAAAATTGATCTCAGAAAGCACTAGAGGATATTTAAAGCTCTGGACCAGATTTCCGGAAATATCACTTCAACTCTACACAAGAAATCTAACACTAGCCAACTCATAACCAACAAACAAATTAACAATTATTTGAGTCCCCTGCATTCTAAAACTCCAAAGTTCTAATGCTGCAAGTTCAGCAAGCAGTTTATACTTAACAATGGGTGCAAGACAGCAGCAGAAAAACCAAATTTGACTGAGGACTTAAGCCAAATGACCAGAATTCTCAAAAAATCAAGTCACTGAGGGACCTCATTCAAACAATAATATTAATGGACAATCACATAAGATAGAGGCTTAGAAAGACAAGCATCTTTGCAAATGATGAAAACAGCAGTTGATATGAGTAGGGTGTGCATGATTTTGTCCTATCCCAACACTGAAGCATCTCCACCCTTATTTCATCTTACTGTGTCGGGGACCCATCCTCATACCAGCTTCATCAAAGCATCAACCTAGATTCTCTAAATGAAATAACTACAAAATTCCATACTGTAGCTTTGATTTCGACAGCCATTCAAAGGGGAACACAGATTCATTATTTCTTTGGGGATGGGCCTTTCCCTGCATGAGCAATAAATCTCACAACTTCATCACATATGCAACTTGCAGTACAAACTAATGATAGTTTTGCAGTAATGTCAATAAATAGGTCTGGCAGTACACTCGATTAATGATATCTAGGTGGGTGGAATGCCTACCACAACAAGCAATTAATTTGGCAAATCATTACAGATGAATGTGCTTAGTCATACACACTCGTAGAATATGTAAAAATTAGGAACCAAATAGAGACAATATATTGAATATTGCTCAGTTGAGTTGCTGATTCTAAAGTTTTTTTACTTTCCCTGTTTAGTCAAAACTTTTCTCTGCAATTTTATTATTCTGGAAAATAAATCTATTGTCTCTTTCTGTCTATTTAATAACATTTTCTATTTAATAAATAATAAAACATGCTCATTTTGGACATTGAATAGAATGTTTTCTTTAGATTTCCGATTAATATATCTCCACCTAGTCATATATTTTTGAAAATCTCAGTTCATGTATGATTAGTTGCTCTTGATATAGAGGAGGAAAGCCACACCTAGGTACTGATACAGAGATCACATATACATTCAACATGCCATGTGGCCAAAGCGAACTGATTAGGTTCTTCTGCCATCCAGCTGGGCCAATAGAGACTTTGACAACTTTTTTAAGGTCCAAAACGTTTATGTGAAAGTTTCTTCAATAAATTGAATGATGTAATATACAGGGATTGAATTGTGAACATCAACTCTGCGATACAAGAGGCCATCTTTGAATTAGCTAGACATAATTTCTAAGAACTACAGCATCACTAAGATTCAACTGTCAAAGAGAATTCGGAACTTCACTCGCCTTTTGATGCTACCCATTCTGTCATACCCAATGCCGATCTTACTATGCATCAACTTCATAGCTAAATCTGCATTGCCTGCTTTCCTCAAAGCATTGATTAGAACAGTTCGAATTCGTCCTGGTATTTCCCTACCTCTGTCCACAATCCCATCAGCCAACTTGCAAGCTTCCTTGAAACGGCCAGCTTTGCACAAAACATTGATCATATCTTCAAAAGCTGTCTCAGGAATTACACCCATTGGTGCTAGCTCATCCAAAATCTTGCAAGCTCTGGCTACCTTTCCTGAGAGACAAAGCCCAATTGAGAGAGCCCTGAAGGAAGCAGCAGTTGGTGTGATGCCCTGATCGATCATCATATCCCACAGCTTCAATGCCTCTTCATTTTTGTGCTCCTTAAACAGTCCACTGATGAGTATTGTGTATGTATAAACTGTCTGATCACAACCTTCCTCTTCCATTTTCTTAAAGAGTGCTAATGCTTCATCAGTTTTTCCACCTTTAGCTAGGGCATCAATAAGGGAATTATAGCAATATGAATCCTGTGGACATCCCTTCTCAATCATCTTTTCGAAAAGCCTTTCAGCTTCATCAAGCCTCCCAGCTTTTCCAAGGCCCTCGATCAGACTAGAATACAGCATGGCATTAACTGCCATCCCACTGCCTTCACAAAACTGAAAATACTCCATGGCCTCCTCCACTCTCCCACTCTTACATAATCCATTGACAACAACGCCGTAAGTTACCACATCTGGTTTGAGCCCATCATTTTTCATTCTCTCAAAAAGCTTCATTGCCCCTTCAATGCTCCCACATTTTGCATATGAATCGATCAAAGCTGTATAGTTTGCCACATTTGCTTTACAACCCTTCTGAATCATATCTTCAAAAACAGCATATCCTTCCATACATTTCCCACCTTTACAAAGCCCATTGATAACTAAACTATACGCGTGAGGCGGAATTTCAAGTCCTTTCTCTTCCATTTCTTGGTAAAGACCCAAACATGAATCAAAATCTCCTTCTGAATAACACCCCTGTATTAAAGTCATATAAGTAATCTTATCAGGTTCCACATTCCTCCCCTCCATAGCTCTGAACTTCTCCATTGCTTTCTGGGTTTTCCCTGCCTTACAATACCCTTTAATCATTGTATTATAAGTCACAACGTCTGGTACAATTTTCCCACCTTCCATAACCTCAAAAACCCGCTCAGCGGATTCAATAAACATCGAATTTACCAATCCATTCACTAAAAAGTTATATGTATACAAACTAGGCTCAATCCCATTCTCCTTCATTCTACGCCAAACCCACAACAGCTCATCAACCATTCCAAGACAGCCAAAACTCTTAATCAAAGAATTAGCAGCGGCAGAATTCATCAAAAAGTTTTTTTCTTTAAGTTCAGCAAGAACATATCGAATACGATCCAAATCACCAGATGAAGATAAAAGGTCAATCAAAGACACATAGCATTCAAGCTTATGATGATATTTCTTTTGCTTACCAGCCCAAGCAAAAAACCGCATAGCTGTTTCGGGCTTTCCACGAAGCTCAGCAGACTTTAACACATATACAACAAAATTGGGAGACAATTTAATCAAGAATGTGTGACAATAAGAGTCTAAATTGGCTTCCATATTCAGAGACCCATCTAAAAGATTGAGAATTTGGGCAACCCATGGAGATGGGTCAAAGTCTTGTGGGTTCGATACTATATCAGAGACATCATTGAAAGGCTCTACCCATTCTGGAGGAGGAAGAGAGTTGGTGAAGACCCACCTGGGATTTGAGCTGAAACTTGACGTGGAGTGAAAACTCGAGGCTTCTGATGAAGAGTCGCCATGGATGTACGGACGGGGAGGCCTCGGAGGAAGAACATGGGTTGCTGAGAAAGAAAAGGGAGCTCTCAGTAGGGTTCTTCTCATCAGGGTTTTGGGTGCTTGCGAGTGTGCTCAGCGAGAGTGAAGCTAAAATGGTGAAATGGTTTATGAAGACTTAAAAAGGTACTGGTTATATTTTATAATTTGGATGATTTTAACACAACGGTCCCATGGTCTAGTGGTTAGGACATTGGACTCTGAATCCAGTAACCCGAGTTCAAATCTCGGTGGGACCTTTTTTTTTCTTTTTACATGTTTTTAAGCTGACATTATTTTCTTTTTGATTACCATCTTTTTTTTTTTCTCTTCCAGACCAAAGAAAAAAAAATATTCATCTCACAGACGAAATAAAAATGTAGTACTTGGGCATTTGTAGAACGCCTATGGAAACAATCTGTGCTGGAAGTGAATGTGCTGCTATGCATAAGCCCAATTACCATATTGGTTTACAAGGAACCAATCCTGCTGGCCTCACTCCAACACAAGGGTTACCCAAGGCCCAATTTGTTCATTTAGTTGGTTTCCTTGGTTTGAAAACGAATATGTACGGGCTCATGATTCAAAAATAAGGTAGGCTAACTTCTATGTAAATTTTATGAATCGAAAAGTTTCTCTTGAAATTTTGGTTGAGTTTACTTTAATTTTTATGACATTTCCCAAATTGTATACAACCTGTTAAATACTTATATTATTTACTTCGATATCTTTAACTACATTCTCAAGAATAACATGCATCCCAAATTTTACACAAAACAAAACTCGATAGTACGAGGAATTCATTGATAAGCAAGAAAACATACACCTAGTCAGGAGTCAACGACCTTAACTCTCGAAATGCGTACATATACATAAGTGAAAACTTAAAAAATAAAATAAAAAATAAGACATCAAATAAGGACTACTTGGTATTGAGTGAAAATCATGGATTATAGTCGTACCAAAAGAAACAAAAAACCCAGCGCCATATGTCCTTTGGGAGGGGAGGAGATCACTGCTCGTCCTCCCCTATCCTCCAAATTGTGTGAGCGTGCAGTAGGCTTTTCCCTATTTTCTTAGTCCACAGCTATTTGTTAGTGGTCTCTTCTCCTCCATTTGTGGGTTTTTGATATAGCTTTGCTTGAATTCTGAGGCTCGATGCCTCTTGTTATATGCCTTTCCTCAATCTCCCACAAAACCATCCCTCATTGTATTGTCCTTATTTCCCCCAAATATCCAAATCTCAATCTCTGCTCTTCCTTCCTAATCCCCCTTACCACTTCTCCCGCTATCAAAATCCCCTTTTCCCTTTTCTTAGCCAAAATTTCTCTCCCCCAATTCCACTTGGCCTTCCATTTCGGACGTTGCTACCAGGCTTAAACGCGACTTCTCGCGTGCCTCTTGGAATATGTGTAGAAATCTAAATTATGCTCTAGCTCAGGTACTTGGACCACCTCCTTTCATTCTTTTGTTATTGGAGGGTTGTGTCTTCCTTTGGTTGCAGTGTTCGATTCGGTGTTTTGGCGATGTCAATTTTGGTGGAGTTGGTGATTATTGTGTGGTTGCTTTTGTGTTTTTGTGCTTATGTTTTGTAAGGGTTTTTTGGTTTTTCTGGCTAATTGATGGGTTGTGACTTTTTTTGGTGTTTTTGCTGCTGTATTTTCATGTGTGGTGGCAGCTTTCCCCATCCATTTGGGCCATGGTGCTGTGCTTGGCTTCCCAACTTTGACAACACTGTTATTAGTCTGTTAGGGTTTGAATTTACCTAGCCTTTGGTAGGCTTTATGCCTTTAGTAGGATTTATGTATGTAAGGCCATCCCCAATGAGGTCTATATTTTGAGACTCAACCACCATGAGTCATTCTATAGTGTAGGCCTTATATATGACTCCTATGTGAGGTTATATCTCTTAACTGTTGGATCAGAATAAACCAATTTGATCCAATGACTAACCAATTTGATCTAACAGTTAAGAGATATGACATCACCTAAGGGCCATGTATAAGGCTCTCACTATAGAATTCTTGCAACCACCATGAGGCTCTCAACTATATAGCCCAAGACCCAAAAAGGCATCTCCAGTGGCATTGATTTTGGGCTCTAAATGATGAAGCCTCGTTGGAGAGGTCTCCAAATATGTGGATATGGATAGAGATCCTTAAGCCTAAGCGGGCCCCACATGGAAGGAAAAAGGTTGCTTCATCTAATCGCCCATAAGCGCATGCACAAACAACAATCCAGGTTGATTGCCCATTTAGCTTAGTGAACCTATAATGGGTTTCATAAACTACTTCCTTAGATAAAATTTAAGTATGCGTTGCACGACTTAGGGGGAAGGAGGTCCCTTCATCCTCCCCTTCCTCTAGTGGTTCTTCTCTTGCCTTCTACATGCTGCCTGTTTCCAGTGGATCTCTTTGTGAAGATCTATTGGCCCCCTTCACCCTTTTTGTGTGTGGGTGTTTTGCTCGAGCTCTACTTGAACTTTGAGGCTTTATGCCTCCGACTTTCTTTATTCCCCAACTATCTCTATATTTCTCATCCATTGTATTCAGTTGTCAATTCCACCATCCCTTTCCTTTTATCTTTCCTACCCACTCCATTCAAATCTCTTCTCTTTAATCTCGGTCCTATCTTTTCCCACTTAATTTTTCTTTTCATTATTGATTTGGCTTCACCATGTGGTTGTTTCGGCTAGTCGGAAACACATCTTCTTGCGTACAACTCAGAAGATTTGTAGAGTTCAACCTCTTGCTCTTGCTCAGGTGCCTGCACCACCTCCTTCTATTATGTAGTTGTTTGTTTGGTTATTGTGTTTGTTCTGGTGCATTATCAGTTTTGATTTGGGAGGTGTTGAGCTTCATGTGGTGGCTTCTTTTTTCTTGTCTGTGTTTATGTAATATGTGGAATTTTAGGGTATTTGTAGGTTGTGCGTTTTTTTCACTTTGTGCCCCTTGGTTGTGGCAGCCAATCCCCTTAACTTGTCCCAGTGGTGTTGTCTCAAGCGTTGGCGGCGGCGACTCAGTTGAGTTTTGTTTAGGGTTTGTCAGCTATTTCGGCCTTTTGTTTGGGCTTATGTGGGTGGGCTTAATGTCTTTATGAGCTTTAGGCTTGTTGTGGGCATTTGGGCCTCTGGCCTTTTTGCTTTGACGTTGAGCTCAATTTGTTGGTTCTCATTTTTATGTTGTATTTTTGTGCGTTTCTAATGAACTTTAGTTCTGACCAAAAAAATAAAAATAAAACCAATGGCAACTTTAAGAAATTCAATATACCAACATCAGTTTTCTTTTTTTATTTTTTGATTATTTAAGCAATTCAATTTTCCATATAAAATGCACCTCTTTTTTTGAAAATTTTCACACCACCAATATCATTCACCACATTTGTTTCTACTTTCAAAGTCTTAATAATATGTGTGTTTTTCGTTTCAGAATCTCGTGTAAATTTGATTATTTTGTTATTAAAATTTTAATATAAAAAAAATTCCCATAAATCAAATTACGCCATAAAAATCCAAATATAGAGCCCCCATTGTGGAAAAGATACCTTTAGAGTCCAAAATATTTCATCGGAGCTCTAAATGAGACTCTATCCACCATTTTTAGAGCCTCATTTAGAGACTATGATTGAAAATGCCCTAATAAGTTTTATGGCTATAGTGGCTTTATTCCTTTTGAGCTCATTTTTTTGAGTTCACTTTGATGTACTGGCTCTGAATTTCTATATCAATGAAACTTGTTTCTGACAAAAATAAAATAAAAATAAATCAGGGTTTGACCTATTTCTAGAAGAGAAGCTTAAACTTTCAATAGACTAGGAGCTAATTGATCATGCATTTTTGTTTGCTGTTACAGCCGCCGCGAGCATAACTCCAAATTTGGTATTCCAAGTCTACGCATGCATGGGTCTTGGCAAAACAAACAAAGCACGACTTGTCGTTGTTGAGGTCATAATGATAGATTGACCATTTTGGAAGTGTACAATTCAGAACGTAAAAGCTTCACACAAATAAGATTAATTGCTCTTATGGATTTGTTGTATTCAGAGAAAACTAATTTAGATTGAAATAAAGCACCATTGACTTTATTGAAACGATTAATATATATGTCATCTACGCGTCGTACATTTTAGATCATATGCATATGCTTATATCATGCATGAGCTCAGTCTCAGATATGCCTGCTGCTTAATTTTATTTTTATTTTTTTGGTAACACTTTAGTTTATTGGTTGTGTTTGTTGTACTGGTTGTGTTTGATGTGTTTGTTTTGTTTATTGGTTGTCTTTTTTTCACTTTCTAAACTTAAGAGTTGCACTAGAAAAATGGTTAGAAAACATGAATCTAGAAGTGCAAAAAGAAATAAAAAGAGAAAAATAGAAAAAATGATTCAAACTCAAGGAGCTCTTGATAAGTTTTTAAAAACTAGTTCATCAATTGAAGATTCAGCTGATGATTTACTTAATGAAGGGGTTGGTGATCTCAGTGAAAATGAAAATAATATGGAAGAAATGATTTACTTTTTTTTTTTTTTTTTTCAGTTTTATGTCTTCAGAAATATGTATGTTGTTACTTATTATTGTTTCTTTGTCCATTTGTGCTACCATTTGTTACTTTTCTTATGTTGTATGATTCTTTTTGCAAACCACGAAGAGGATTTTGCACGTAAAGTCATGTGATGAAGCCTGAAACAAGAAGCCAATCTTAAGGGAAAAGATTTAGTATTTTGAACAAATACTTAGTTTTAATGTATCTTTTGAGAACACAAATTACCAATTTCAGGGACATGTTCCCATTATTAGTTGCTGGAATGTTGGTTTGTAAATTTGTAGTTTCCTTCATGATATTAAATATCTAATATGAATTTTATTTATTTATTATGGAGATATGTCCTATTATAATGCATACTACCTCTTTTATTCACGCGCTCTACGCGCTACATAAAATCATTTTATTTGTTATTTTTTTTCGCAATTGTATACTGAGAGAAGAGGCCTCATTTAATTTATCGCCTAAGACCACCCAAAATTCAAGACCAGACCTGATGATGCATATATTGTTTGCGGCCCATCATA